TGTAGTGCCAAACATATCTTGTTGCTGCATCGATGAACGTTATGACATAGTTGAAGTCGGATTCAGTGTCGTCTCGAGGCATGTTTAAGATGTCGCTGTAAACCTTTTCCATCGGTGCGTATGCAGGTGCACTTGGATTGTGATGTGACGGAAAAGGTTGGTGTTGAAGATCTGCTTCGGGGCATGTGAAGCACCGTGCGCGAGGTCGTCGAAGTTCCTGTCCGCTTGTTGTAAGGAGAGCGTTTCGGCCTGGATGGTTTGTAGTACCGTGCTATTTGCACGATGCCCAAGGCGTTGATGCCAGATGTCGTCGGGAGCTCGATGGCCGGGCGATCGGTGATACATGTCGGTGTTGGAGAAGAACGCGACGACGGTGGCGGGACTTCGGCAGACTTCGCGTTTGGTGGGCATGAGTTGATCTGCTTCGATTGGCGGTCCTCGGATTGCTGATGGTGATACTCTGCTGGGTCGTGCTGCTGTGAATTCAGGTGATGTCGATGAAGAGACGCTTGCCGGTACTTGTCTTTCTTGTCAAATGACTGCTAACGCCCGTGTTCTCTCTGCTGCAGGTATGGTGTTGGAGTACCAGTATCCATCTTGGTTGAAGTCGGGGTCAAGGTCCGGTGGGTGCGTCTATGCGGCGAATGATACGATGCCATCGCTATCGGCGGTGCCGCGGTCGGGGACAAAGTCCAACATGAAGACGCCGGACTTTAGTAGAGCGTGACCGATGAAGAGGCCGCCCTTCCAGTGGTATAGGCGAAATTCGTTGGAGTCCGAGTCGCACTCCAGGTGAATTCCTTTTGCCATTAACTGGCTGACGCTTAGTAAGTTGTATCCCAAGTTGTTGACGATGAGGACCTTGTTGAGTTGCAGTATAACGTTTGTCTCCATGGATTGTAACCGAACCACTCCTTGTCTGTTTGTCTTCAGGTTCTCGTTGTTGGTGACGGTGATGATGACGTCTCGGTTGAGACATCGTTCTCGTTGCACGAACCGCCCGGAAGAACACATGTGTTGGCCGCAACAGCTGTCCAAGAACCAAGTGTTGCGTCCGGTGGGTTCGGAGTTCGCGACTGCAGCGTACGTTGGGTTGACCTGAAGTCCCTGTGAGCGCGGCGGCGATAGTTCTTCTTCATCGGGAGCGTAAGTTGGCGGTGATGCGGGTGCGCAGTTGTCAATGTGTACCATGCAGTTGATGATATTCGGTGTATTTTGTGCAGATGTGGAAGAGTGCCTCGGCGGACTTACTTGAGTGGAAGCGACTTGTGGGTCTACTGGACGATAAGCTTGGGGACGTGTGCAGTTGACTTTGGAGTTTCCGGATGTTTGGCAGTTGTGGCAGAACGGCGGTAAAATGGTGAGTCCTCTGTTGTCGCGTTGATCTTGCCTGCCGCGTCGGTTGTAGTTGTTGTCGTGTCTTCGTTGAGTGTAGAAGACTAATGGTTGTTGTTTCCTTTGTTGTCTTTCTTCAAACAGGTCCATCTCCTGTTGTTCAGCATGGAGCTCGGCGCAGAGGTGCATCTCCGAGATTCGGCCGTGGACGCGAAGGAGCGAGCGGGTGGTTCGCCATTCTGGCCCGAGCCCAGCGAGGACAAGCGTCACGAAGCTTTCTTCAGTGATCGTTCCTCCGCACCGAAGCAGGCGGTCGTGGAGCGTTTGGCATCGACTCATATACTGTATCGCTTTTTCCCCGGTCTTCATCTGTATTGTTGTCAGCTGCTGCATGAGTCTGCTTTGTGTCACGCTGTCATTTGCTTGATAGAGGCACTTGAGGTGATGCCATGCGAGTTCCGCGGAGTTTCCGTAGCTCCTATACGTTCTGATGCTTTGCTGTTCTTGTGGTGACAGGTTTCGTAGGAGAACTGTGTACGCCAGCAGCGACTGATACGTGAAGATTTCTTGTTCTTTTGCAGTGCCGTTGCTTGGGAATGGCAAGGACCCGTTGAAGTATCCCAAGAGATGCGCAGCCTCCATCAGCAGCTCGAACTCAAAACTCCAGGTAAAGAAATCGTGTCTGTTGAATGATGAGGATGTCTGTAGTTTTATCACGTGTGAAAACTGCGCCTAGAGACTTAAAATATCGTTTGGTGTCTGTTGTGATGCAGCTGCTGTTGGTTGGGCACGGGGCGGCATGAACTCGAACGTCCCCGGTGAAGAGTGATAAGGCGCAAAGGTAGGCGCTTGATTGTGTCGCCCGAACGATGAGTTGTCGAGACTCATTGGCGCTAATCCCATGTTTCCTCCGTTGCTTTGTGTTGAATGCGTAGGTGTCCTTGTCTGCTGCTGCTGGTCGAAGTGTGACATGAAGCTGAAGAACCTTTCCATAAGGTTCGGGTCCACGCTTGAAGAGGGTGATGGGGTCACAATTTCTGGTGCTCTTCCTGTTGTTTCTTGAGCAGCGCTGGTCTCGGTTTGCAGTCCTGAAGTGTGCAGTCCAGAGTTACCGGGTTGAGTATCTTGGGCACTGGGTGAGCCCGTAGAGGTTTTCTTGCCCTTGCTGTCCATGACTTGTAATCAATGAAGTCGTTGGTGTGCTGATTGTAGATAGAGCGTAGTTGCTGGGAGTTTGGTCTCTGACCAGCTCTCATACCATTTTGGGCTGAGAAATGCCCTTAGGATCTTTCCAGAGACTAAGTCCCAGTTGTAAAAGACTTGAGTAGTGCAGCGGAAGTTGAGGTAGTTGAACCCTTGTACTAGTATATGAGAACAAGTGATTGATTAAAGGAACAAGCATACAGCAATATATAGAAAGTAGGAAGGTAAAGCAGTTGTAGAGTACAGTTGAAAGAGCGGTTATCGAGTCGCACAGCGACTCGATTGTCGCTTCGGTTACCATCTTTGCAGTTGTAACTGTCAGTCGCAACCTCCAGCTGCGACCCTTCGAGTCCTTTCGTGTTCTTTGTCCATCCCCTCGTGTAACCTCCGTTGACTCGCATACCCATTACGACTTTCCTCGAGTGTGGTGTTACACTTCAGAAACGCTTAAAGCCTGCGGCTAAAATAGCAGACCTGGAAACCACTTGAATTTGGTGCTTTGAAATCCGTCTCAGTATAGAATGGAAGGCAGCTTTGAGTTCAAGCCTGAACAAGAAAAGTGCGTCGAAACAAATTCTGGTCGAGCTTGTTGATTGGAGGAGTGGCGAAAGAACTCGTTTTGCTGCTGGTTGCGATACGATCATTTGGGTGCGAATTGGGAAAAAACACTGTGTGCATCGCACGGAGTTTCTACGACAGGTTTGGGCGAGCAGCTTGCGACGAGGTGAGTCAGGCGCTTTATGACTGGGGAATTCAAGTGATTTCCAGGTCTGCAATTCCGGAATCAGCTACTGTTCGCCTGAAAAACACTGTTCTGCTCGCATTTTCACTGTTCACGTAACCACGAATTCGGTCGCACGACGCCAGGCCTCTGGATAGGATTAGAAGTACTCTTTCTTGTAAGGGTACTCGCTTGCTGCCACTTTTTCTGTAAGGGTATATTTAAAAGCTACTTTGTAATATAAGGGTCCTAAATATTTGTACTTTTTCACATAAGGGTATAACTCCAGCGCAGCCTTACACTTTACTGTAGGTACAGGATCTCGCGTGATCAGACGACTGACGTGTTGCAGATTTGTGACGACGTGCCTTGGGTGGCACTCGACAGGGTGCACCAAGATTTTTGTTTTTGTTTGTTAGCGCTGAAGTGGGGGGAATGTCGCACCTCGGTAATTTTGCTGTTAGTGCGTATTTCTACATTAGTGCTTTCAGTACCAGAGAACCAAACTTCGCGAAGTACCAAATCGAACCGAACAGGAATTCGCGTTTTGACCCTCGGACCTCACCGTTTCGCGTTTCAGAGTCCATTCCGGGTTTGCTGGTAGTGATTACTGTCTTGTAGAAATACGACCTCATTCCCTAGACCCTTCCTGGTCGCGACCTCATTTCCCGTTGGTGCCGCACTCGTTTTTTGTTTTTTTTTTTTTGTTTTTTTTTTTGTTTTTTGTTTTTTTTTTGTTCTTTCATTTCTTTAGCTAATGTAGTGGCCGATACGACTCTACCAACACGAATTATACATTCAAGTCGGCAAGTTTTGTAACCGTGCGCATGAATTCTTGGGTGAGTGGCAGCAAAAAAAACGTAAACCATTAGCAGAAGAAATTGACGACTTGAATCCCCGTCGTGCGCGGGCAGGGGCCAGGTAAAAACCCGTGGAAACTTCAATTCAAGTCGCCGAGATTCCCTCGCCGAAGTGGGTAGGGGGGAAGAGAAAATTTGACATATCACGTCCAGGGCTTTGTTTTCGTTTCAGGCTACCCTGTAATTTCAAAGTAGTTATTCCCCCGAGTCTGACTGGAACACACTTGGAACTGGGGGACTTAGCCGAATCCTCCGGGTTGCGAAGGTGCTACAGCGGCTTTGTCTCTGCGAGTGGGGGACTTCACCAATTTTTCGGGGTCGCTCGAGGGCTGTGGGAGGAATGCCTTAGGCAGTGGGGGACTTAGCCGAAATCTTGGGTTGCGGGGGGTATAGGAGGAATGACTCTCGGATTGGGGGGACTTAGCCGAAATCTACAGGTTGCCAAGGGGATAAAATATTTCAGGGGGGGATCGCATGTGTGATTGTGTAAGGGTGATTTTACACAACACTTTTCCGCATCAGGGTCCCTACACTCGACCACTTTGAAAAAACAGGGTCCCGTATAGATCTAGTTTTTTTCATAAGGGTCAAAAACTAAACCACTTTTAAAAATAAGGGTCCAACAGCTACCCCACCCTTATTATAAGGGCCGTAAGGGTATTTTACCCTGATATCCTGAGGCCTGCACGACGCGTATTGCACTGTTCACCGAATGGTTTCGTGCAAAAACAGTCGCCAAACTGCCACGGTCAGATTCCGCTTTGCAAAACGAAATGTTTTTATTCTGTGTCGTTTACTCTAAAGATCAAGTCATGTGCCAAGTTCAAGAGCAAATTAAACAGCCCTCTTGATTGCTATTATAGCTACGGGCTTTAAGTCCTTGAGGTATTTCCAACAGCAGAATTAGATTGTGCAGGACAGGCAGTTAATTGTCGCAAAATAATACACAAGTAACAACACAAACATCGAACAAACCAACGGTAGCTGGTCTACACTAGAGAAACGAATTGACGGAGTCCCACTGACCTGACAGTGTTCTCCCATGTCAAAGCCTCATGCTACATGTGGCACGTCAACCACCACATCCCCACCACCACCCACTCCATCCCCTCTCCCCTCCCCATGACCACCCTCCCTAAAATCACTACCATCAGCGAACCCACTGCCACCACACCCAACCCCTCCCGCCCCACTTCCAACCTCCAGAGGTACTATCTCTTCCCCTCTCCGCCTCCCACTCCCACTCCTCCTCCCACTCCCACTCCTCCTCCCACCCCCACTCACACTCCTCGGCACACCACTACTATCCACACACTCCTCCTCCCCCTCACACGACATATAATCATCAGGCACTCTCCCCAGCTCTACTATTTGGTCCGCAATCCGCCCTCCTTCGTCGTCTGTCAGTCTAGTTGCCTCTACTAAGTCATTCTCTGACTGCTGCTTAGTGCGTGGAGATCTACCAGAAAGGGCGGGAGAGCTAAGACGAGACGATGTGTGGTGGTTATGGGGGGAGTTACGCTTCGAGCCAAGCCCTGGGGAGCCCTTCCACGAGCCGACTGGGGAGGCTCGGCGAGACCCTGGTTTGGAGGCTGGGGAGCTTCGGCGAGAGTTGGGTCGGGAGAGGCGGTTGCGCACGGCGGGAAGAATGGGAGCGTCTGATTCGTCGACTGCTGCTAGGTCTGTCGCACCCATTCCTCCCCCCTCTCCCTGCCCCCCCCCTCCTCCTCCTAACCCTCCTTCTCCTCTTCCAGACCCCACCCTTGCTACTGGTGCAGCAGCAAAAGCCGATCCTGCCACTCCTGCTACCCCTGCTGCTGCTGCTGCTGCTGCAGGGTCTGACGAGGTGGAAGCATAGGGCGCATACGGAACCAGCCCATTCATAAAAGGCACTCCGTTCCCCTGCGGATGCCCGTTGCTACTCGGTAACAGAACAGGGTTACCAGAGGAAGAAGCAGAGCTGGCTAGGGGTGGAACGGCGGGGGGAGGCTCGGGGGCGTCGGCTCGGAAATTGTGGCGGGAGGGGGGAATGCGAGAGCAGAGGACGGAGAGCCAGTTGCGGGGGCAGCCGATGTTGTAGGGGTTTGCTTTCTTCTCGTATCGCGCTCTGAAATTCTCGTAGGTGGTCTGATGAAGTGGCGGGAGCGGGAAAGAAGAGGAGGAAGGAGGGGGGAAGAGGGGGGGGGAGTTGGGGGAGCAGAGGACTGAGTGCCAGTTGTGCACGAAGCCGAGGTTGTAGGGGTTGGCTTTTTTCTTGTACAGCGCTCTGGCATTCTCGTGGGTGGCCTGATGGGAGGGGCAGGGCAGGGGCAGGAGGGGGAGGGGGAGGGGGAGGGGGAGGAGGGGGAGGGGGAGGGGGAGGAGGGGGGTTGGTTGGTGACAAAGGGAGGGTAGAAGGGAGAGGGATATGACTAGTGCGTTGATTACGTGTGTAAAATTGACCGAGGAGACCCAGTGAGTCTTTATGATGTCTCAAACAAAACAAACCCTACGCCCATCTGGTTGCGCGAGATGAGGAAGGAGTGGAACCCTGTGAGCCCACCCACGAACCACACCATGATGAATATGTCAACCATGAGCACAGCCGCCATGTACCCCTGTGTACCTCACTGTGCCCCTCTATACCCCCTATAAGGTGTCTCGAACCAAGCCATCTGCCCACCTGGTTGCGCGAGATGAGAAAGGAGTGGAACCCAGTGGGTCCACCCACGAACCACACCATGACAGACGTGCAAAGCGCGAGCACAGCCTCCATATATGTACCCCCACATACCCCCAAAATACCCCCAAAATACCCCCATATACCACTCACACAGTGCAGTGCCTCAAACGAAGCCCTATGCCCACCTGGTTGCGCGAGATGATGGAGTGGAAGGAACCGCGTGGGTCCGCCCACAAACCACACCATGAGAAACGCGTACACCATCAGCACAGCTGTACCCCCATATAGCCCTGTATATGCCTTATAAGGTGTCTCACCGGGTTGCGAGAAATTAGAAAGGAGTGGAACCCCGTTAGTCTGCCCACGAACCACACCATGATAAACGTGTAGACCATGAGCACCGCCGCCATGTACCCCCATATATCCCCATATATTTACCCCAATATACTCCTTATAAGGTGCCATGAAACCAAGCACTGTACTGACCTGATTGCGCGATATCAGGAAGGAGTGGAACCCCGTAAGCCCCCACGAACCACACCATGATAAACGTGTACACCATCAGCACCGCCGCCATGTACCCCTATACCCCCACATACCCCCACATACCCCTTATAAGGTGTCTCACCTGGTTGCGAGAAATTAGAAAGGAGTGGAACCCCGTTAGTCCGCCCACGAACCACACCATGATAAACGTGTACACCATGAGCACTGCCGCCATGTATCCCCATATATTTACCCCAATATACTCCTTATAAGGTGCCGTGAAACCAAGCACTGTAATGACCTGATTGCGCGATATCAGGAAGGAGTGGAACCCCGTAAGCCCCCACGAACCACACCATGATAAACGTGTACACCATCAGCACCGCCGCCATGTACCCCTATACCCCCACATACCCCCACATACCCCTTATAAGGTGTCTCACCTGGTTGCGAGAAATTAGAAAGGAGTGGAACCCCGTTAGTCCGCCCACGAACCACACCATGATAAACGTGTACACCATGAGCACTGCCGCCATGTATCCCCATATATTTACCCCAATATACTCCTTATAAGGTGCCGTGAAACCAAGCACTGTACTGACCTGATTGCGCGATATCAGGAAGGAGTGGAACCCCGTAAGCCCCCACGAACCACACCATGATAAACGTGTACACCATCAGCACCGCCGCCATGTACCCCTATACCCCCACATACCCCCACATACCCCTTATAAGGTGTCTCACCTGGTTGCGAGAAATTAGAAAGGAGTGGAACCCCGTTAGTCCGCCCACGAACCACACCATGATAAACGTGTAGACCATCAGCACCGCCGCCATGTACCCCTTCCCCAGCGCCGCCAGCAGGGAAATGCTCTCCCCGCTGGCCCCCGGGTAGGAGTTGTCGACGAGCAGCTTGATGTAGAAAGCAGAGAGGGTGAAGACAAAGAGGCAGAGGAGGGTGGTGGTGGTGACGAAGAGGAAAAAGAAGGGGTAGTTTCGCTGCGAGGAAGGGGGGCGATGGGGTCAGGGCGAGCAGGGGCAGGGAGGAGACGGGTAAACAGGAGAGGTGTCGGCAGTGCGGCCCATCTACCCAGCAGCACACAGAGCTGCCAGCCAGCGCCGCCAGCAGAGAGATGCTGTCCCAAGTGACCCCCGGGTAGGAGTTGTCGACGAGCGGCTTGATGTGAAAAGCAGAGAGGGTGAAGGCGAAGAGGCAGAGGAGGGTGGTGGAGGTGACGAAGAGGAAGAAGGAGGGTAGTTTGGGGGGAGAGGGGGGAGCGGGGGGGTGGCGGGAAGACCTGGGGATATAGGACGAGTGAGCGCTGCACCACAGCCATAAAACCATGAGCCGACATGCAGTGGTGGTCCAACTCCCAACCACCCACCCACCTCCCCCCCGGGCTTACCCTGCCAATGCATTGCCCCACCCATGGGCAGAGGTGGTCCCTCCCCCCCCCCAACACCCCCACACAAGTTCCCCCCCCCGTCCACCCCCCCCCCCCCGGGCTCACCCTGCCAATGCATTGCCCCACCCACGGGCAGTGGTGGTCGAATCTCTCTATGCAGTTGTCGCATATGCTACAGTGCGAGCATCTGGGCGGCCTGGTTTGTCATCATGTGAGAGCGGCATGGAGCAGAAATTCGGGGGAGGGGGAGAGGAGGGGGAAAAGAAAGTGTGCGCGATTGGGCGAGGGCGGGGGGGGGGGGGGTGGGGGGGGAGGAAGAGATTGGACGGGGAAAGAAAGAGGACGGTGCCCGTTAACCACCACCTCCTTGGCTCGTGGCAACAGCACACGTGCACAGCATGCAAGGAAGGTAGATATGGTGAGCCCACGAGACGCACCTATAGAGCAAGCACGTGTCGCAGTACTTGACTTTAACTGTGTGCCCGTTAACCACCACCTCCTTGGTTCGTGGAAGCTTCTTTGGCGGCCCTCCTGCTTGCTGCTCCCCGCCCCCCCCCTCCTCATCTGGCTGGGGGGGTACCAAGTTGCGAGGCAAGATGCCAGGGTCCCTGCTGGCTGTGACGAGAAGGATAAAGAGATTCTGGGGAAGCAGGCGGGGTTGGGGGAGTGGGGAGGCGAGAGAGGGGGGAGGGGGGAGGGGGGAGGGGCGAGGGGGGAATTTGAGTCGCCTCCTTGTCTGGCTGCGGGGGCACCAAGTTGCGAGGGAGGATGCCAGGGTCCCTGCTCGCCGTGACGAGAAGAATGAAAAGGTTCTGGGGAAGGAAGAGGGGGAATGGGGGAAGGAAGAGGGCGAATGGGGGAAGGAAGAGGGCGAATGGGAAGGGAAGAGGGGGAATGGGGGAAGGGAGGAGGGGGAGGAAGAGGGGGAATGGGGCAAGGAAGAGGGGGAATGGGGCAAGGAAGAGGGGGAATGGGGCAAGGAAGAGGGGGAATGGGGCAAGGAAGAGGGGGAATGGGGCAAGGAAGAGGGGGAATGGGGCAAGGAAGAGGGGGAATGGGGCAAGGAAGAGGGGGAATGGGGCAAGGAAGAGGGGGAATGGGGCAAGGAAGAGGGGGAATGGGGCAAGGAAGAGGGGGAATGGGGCAAGGAAGAGGGGGAATGGGGCAAGGAAGAGGGGGAATGGGGCAAGGAAGAGGGGGAATGGGGGGAAGAAGGAGGGATTGAGCTCCTAGAGTCGTTGCCTCCTCCTCTGGCTGCGGGGGGCACCAGATTGCGAGGGAGGAAGGGGGGGGTCCCTGCTCGCCGTGTCGAGAAGGATTGAAAGATTCCGGAGGAAGCAGTTGGGGGGGTGCAGGTAGAGGAAGAGGAAAGAGGAAGTGGGGGGAGGGGGGAGGAGGAGGGAGGGAGGGAGGGGATGGGGAACTTGGGTCGCCTCCTCATGGGGCTGTGGTGGCACCAGGCCAGATTACGTGGGAGCAAGGGCTCCCGAATTTGAGAGGACCTAATATCGTACCCAGGCAACGACGCATATGGAGACGGGGGAAGGAAGGAGAGGGCGGGGGGGGGGTGGGGGGGGGTTGGGGGGGAGGTGGAGGGAGGAGAGGACTTGATCTTGCACCCAGGTAACGAAGCATATGGAGACGGGGAGGGCAGCGGCGCAGCCAGGAACCTTGTAGAGGCGAAGGGAGGGAAGAAGAGAGGAGGGGGAGGGGGGGGGAAGAGGAGGGCGAGGGGAGACGATCTTAAAAACGTACCCAGACGACGAAGCCGATAGAGACGGGGAGAACGGCGACGCAGCCCGGGAATTTGCCATCGTAGGGCGAAGCGACAAAGACGCAGAAGAGAGTGCCGGGGGCGAGGAGGAGGACGAACGTGTGAGGCACAGCAATGCGAGGTGACGTGAACCAGGGGTGAGGCACAGCGCCATGACGTGACGTGAACCAGGGGTGAGGCACAGCGCCATGACGTGACGTGAACCAGGGGTGAGGCACAGCGCCATGACGTGACGTGAACCAGGGGTGAGGCACAGCGCCATGACGTGACGTGAACCAGGGGTGAGGCACAGCGCCATGACGTGACGTGAACCAGGGGTGAGGCACAGCGCCATGACGTGTCGTGAACCAGGGGTGAGGCACAGCGCCATGACGTGTCGTGAACCAGGGGTGAGGCACAGCGCCATGACGTGTCGTGAACCAGGGGTGAGGCACAGCGCCATGACGTGACGTGAACCAGGGGTGAGGCGCGTACCCGGACGACGAAGCAGACGGAGACGAGAGGAAAGCAGAACGGGGGGTGGAAAGGTGGGGAGAGCACCCCGGATTCGTACCCAGACAACGAAGCAGATGGACACGGGGAGGACGGCGACGCCACCCGGGAGCTTGCCATTGTAGGGCGCAGCGACGAAGACGCAGAAGAGAGTGCCGGGGGCGAGGATGAGGACGACGGAGACCAGCAGCGAACGGACGTCCGGCCCGAAGATGAAACGACCCCAGCACAAGAAACGCTGAAAAAGCGTACAGGTGAAGAAGGGGGAGGGGGGGAGAAAGGTTTGCTTAACTGCATGAGTAGATGGCACATGGTCGCATGGCTGCAAGACAAAACGGCTGCATGTTTTCATGGCTGCACGGCTGCATGGCAGCACGGCTGCATGGCAGCACGGCTGCATGGCAGCACGGCTGCATGGCTGCACGGCTGCACGGCTGCATGGCTGCATGGCTGCATGGCTGCATGGCTGCATGGCTGCATGGCTGCATGGCTGCATGGTTGGTGGGGCCGAGGGTGGAGGCCTGGTGGTGGGTCGCGACAGCTGGTGGGTCACGGCCTGCTTACATTGCTTCAGAGTCAGCTCAAATGTCACCTAGTGTCGGGCCGTGCTTACATTGCTTACGTCACCTAGGGTGGGGCTGTGCTTACATTGCTTAAGTCACCTAGGGTGGGGCTGTGCTTACATTGCTTACGTCACCTAGGGTGGGGCTGTGCTTACATTGCTTAAGTCACCTAGGGTGGGGCTGTGCTTACATTGCTTACGTCACCTAGGGTGGGGCTGTGCTTACATTGCGTACGTCACCTAGGGTGGGGCTAGGCTTACATTGCTTAAGTCACCTAGGGTGGGGCTGTGCTTACATTGCTTACGTCACCTAGGGTGGGGCTGTGCTTACATTGCTTACGTCACCTAGGGTGGGGCTGTGCTTACATTGCTTACGTCACCTAGGGTGGGGCTGTGCTTACATTGCTTACGTCACCTAGGGGCGGGCCGTGCTTACATTGCTGCCTTTCCAAGCCTGGTAGACCTTCGTCATGCTGACGTCCCACAGAGCCGTTGCTGACGCAGGCCTGACGTCATTCTATCTCGTCGCTCCCTCAGCCTCCAATCAGACCGCGCCGAAGAGTGACCTGAACTTTGTTTTTAAGTTAAAAAAACCTGCTCAAGTCTTAAAGAATCTTCTACGCGAAATACTGTACGCCTCCCGAAGTGGAGGTAGTATTCGCGTGAGACCCAGTGCGAGCGAGTAACGGAAAAACGCGGCAGGTGGGACGAACTAATCGGGGCAACTCAACACTGCCTGCACCGACGAAGCATTTGTGGTTTCCTTATCGCGTATTCATGATGGCGACTTGTGCTTCGTAGGGTAACACCGGAGATGCTATTTCGCACGGCACAGCTAGCGGGAAGCCTGAGGTTGACGTGGAGTTCGCGAAGCGAGTCGTCAGCAAACGCGTACAGAAGGAAGTCAGGTGGGATGAACTATTATGGGACTAGGTTAGTCGGCGACTAGCGATGAAGGAAAGATTAGAGAATCTGCTGTAATTATCAAACGGCTGCGACAACGACGGGTAGGCACGCGGTGTACAACAGGCGTCTAGAACCGAGCCGATTTACCATTAGGATGCCACGACACAAGCTAGTGCCAGCGGTGCGAAATTAGGTTAAAACTGGAACTATACCGCAAGGCATAATCTACACGGCCCTCGGTGGAGTGAGAGAGGTAGCTATACCACGATTTATTATCCTCACCTCAGGAGGCTTTGGCTTTGCACTGTCTTGTACTGTGAGGCTTCCATGCGTGGCAGCCAGATGCGTACGCGTTTTACACAGGAGCTGATTCGTTTGAAGCTCTAACCATCCAAAACAATTCCCAAGGCCCACCTAGTCGTTGCCATCGATCTCCCCAGAGCAGGCCCGCGCGATCGGCAGCTCAAATTTCGCCGGTCGCAATCGTCGCAAGGAGCAGTCGCTTCGTGTGAGCATCCCACCCTTGCGTCATAGGTACTTCCTAAGAACATCGCACACGTGCTTTCAATTTGCACAGTCGGGCTGCACGAATTACCCTGGTTATATTTGCAGAATCGGGTTTTATATCGCAGTCAACACATGTTCTTACCGAGTATGAAAGTAGGATAACTGACACCACTCGAAGCGCCTTGCACCAAATGCTGGAACGGTCATGCGAACAAAGCGAGTCGCATAGAATTCCTTACAGGATGCTGGTTACAGCACCTTTGAATTTCGCTCAGCGGCTTCAGCGCGTTTCGATCGACTCCCTCTGGGCGCTACTCGTTTCCGACCAGAATCTCCCCCCAATCCCCTTGCACCCCGATATTCCCGAACTCCCTTGGTGTTCAGGACCCAGCCCCACTTCCCGTACCTCCGCTCCCGTTGCTCTATTGCCCAGAACCGCGCCACTTGACTGGCGAAAACGACGGGCGAACCTCAAACCAACGTGAATCGTCGCGTCGCACAGCTGTCGACGACGGACTGTCGCGCGCACCCACATCCCCTGACTGCGTGCCGCGGGCCTCGCGCTCTCGCTCGTCTCTAGCTGTCAACCCAAGGCGAGCGCTCTGTGCGCAAGCACTAGCATTAGCGCAGCGCGCCCGTGGGGGACCAGGGCCCAGCTGCGACTGGCAAGCCAGTTAGGCCCGGGCTGACTGAGCTGTTTTGGTGCTGGAGCCCAGCACCCAGCACCACCCCGCAGCACCAAGAATGAAAATATCCGAACCGAGCAGCAAATAGCTGCATCGTTTGTGTTTCGCCCGTTCCCCTTGCTCTGTTCTGCTGTTTGTTTGGTTCTTCTCGAGGCCTGCTGTGCAATGGTTGCTACCTGGCTTTTCTGCAACTCCACTCCGCACTCTCTTCCCAGGCTGTGATTATTCAGCTCTCTTCGCTGCAAGTCTTTTCACTTCGAGACTCGCATCTCCGACTCTTGCGGAAGTCTCATTCCCACGCTGTTTGGCGAACTTCGCAGAAGCGGTACCTCTCGCGAAGCGTCTAAACGTCGCTCCTTGGCACTTCAGTAGTACGGGTTAGTTGGCCAGAACTGACGGCAAGACTTACGGGTTAGTCTACACGTCTACACGCCGGCCTATTCTACTGGCAGTGATCACGCGCATTAAGTCATTGACAGCCGCAATCATAGAACAGTACCTCTCAGGTGAAAAGTGCAGTAATCTCCGAGCACTGTATATTCTCAGCATCAGCATCAACATCAGCATCAGCACCCGTATCAACACCATCGTCAGCAGCAGCACAGCAGGCCGCCATGGCGAAGCCACAGAAGTCGCTCAAGGGAAACGTGTCCGAGATGTCCAAGACCTTTCTCCGATTCGTCAACGTCGTCATCGTTTTTGGCGCAATCTCCACCGTCATCCTCCAATTCGTTATAAGATCCTCCCCTACGCTCACAGGCTGGGCGTTCATCCTCCTCGGCCTCCTCGTCTTAATCTCCGGAATTTTCGGCACAATTTCCTCCGGCCAAGCCGGCTGTTTTAACTGCCACATGTTCTGCCTGGCCGTCAGTTCCGCCGGCCTCTGCGCGTCGTTCCTCTGCACGTTTCTCCTATTCAACAACACCGTCGATGCCATCGATCCGACGATGTCGACCGCAGCGGTCGGGGAGCAGTACGTGCGCATAGTCGGCGCGCTTTACTTCGTGCTGTTCGCCGCGCAGATGGTCGTGCTGCTGCTCGCGACGATGATCCACGTGTGCGGGTTCATTGACTATAACGAGGATCTGGAGGCGGTCGCGACGGCGAAGCTCGTCGCGAAGATGCAGCGGCAGGAGGAGGAGGAGCGGCGCGCGAACGCGGAGGCGGCTGACGCTGCAGCTTCGTCGAAGCATCAGCTGTCGGAGAAGCTGAAGAGCAAGTACAAGCAGTGGACGCACGGCGACGCGGCGCCGGCCTTGTCGGATTACGACATGGAGGCGTCGCAGCTGAGCGGAAGCAGAGGCTACCACGCTTAAAGTTAGCGTCTGCTCTTGGGTACTTGCTCCTGCGGCTCCTGACATGTCGAATTATGACACGGAGGCGTCGCAGCTAAGTGGGAGCAGAGGCTACCACGCTTAGAGTCGCCTCGCCAGGCTTCAGGCTTCAGGTGCCAGTCACCAGCCTTTGAGTAAGCGTCTGCAACGCAATGATTATATTATTTAGTTTGGCTGCCAGAATTACTGCATCCGTGTGATACTGATGCAGTTCTCTAGGATTGGATGTTTCCTCCCCATACTTACTAGCTGGTGGCCACATTGCCACCACCCAATAGACCTGCTGCAAGGAAATGGTATTTCCTTATCACGGGATTTAGTTAGTAAGGCGTACACCGCTATAACGGGGTTGCCACGAAATTCAAATCACGGTACCCAAATGTGGCCTCCTGACGAGCCGCATGCATTTTGCCCGTCTTGCTGTTTCATGCCTAAATCTAGGTGTTTCACGCCAATTTACGAACCACACGTTGCAGCTTTGCCGAGCCACGGCCGTGTGCTCTAAGCTAGCTATATCCATGCTACCTGCTGTTTGAATGTCGTGTCAATTGTCTTGTTTTCTCATTACTCAAACCTTCTACACATGCTTTGAGCGCTTCAATACACTAGACCAAGTCCTGCATAAACACGGATCTTTGTTTGATGTTCCAGCCGACGTAATGAAAGTTATGGCATCTTTCACAAGGAGTGGTGACTGATTATACAGCCCATAACCACCCCTTTCTTGCCTGCAATTTGGCAATCTCAGTCTAGTAGCAAACTTCCTCAACTTCATGCTCGTAGCATACTCTCTTACAAACGGTTTCTCATAAATTCCAATCTACAGTCTAGAAACCTTCTCCTGATGAAAAAGCATACATCCTGTCTCTGTTACCTAGGCCATCTCCTGTTTTGAGAGGCCAGGAGAGGGCAACACGCGTGCTACTCTTGGGAATGCTGGAACCTATTGCCGGTCCGTCTCCTCGTCCATTAGAGATTTGCGTCCCCATGAGGAAATCAGCGACCCCCACACTCGCTGCCCCCAGGCTGCATCTGCTTGGAGCACTTGGGCTGTCGGGGAGTAGGGTTTCTTCTTTGGAGGGGGCTTTCCTGCTTGCTTCGTACCCTGATCATGTGAGTGAGGAGGGGGGTAGGGAAGATTGTGAGTAAGATTGCGAGAGAGAGCAAGAGATGAGTGAACACCACACTCGCTTCCCCCAGGCCGCATCTGCCTGGAGCACCTGAGCAGTGGGCGAGTACGGTTTCTTTTCTGAGGAGGCTTTGCCCCTTGCTTGGTGCCCTGATTGTGTGATTTGGGACGCTTGTGGGGAGTGGGAAAGATTGGAGGAGTGGGAAAAGAAAGATGAGTGACCGCCATACTCGCTAACCAGGCTGCATCTGCCTGGAGCACCTGAGCTGTTGGCGAGTAGGGTTTCTTCTTCTGAGAGGACTTCCCGCCTTGCTTGGTGTCCTGATCGTGTGAGTGGGAAGATTGTGGAGGGGAGGGAAGATTGCGAATGGGGAAGATTGTGAGGGGGGAAGAGATGAGTGGACCCTACACTCGACTTTTGAGGCGCCTCATTTTGAGGACTTTTGAGGCGCCTCAGAAGAGATGAGTGAACCCTACACTCGCTGGCCCCGGGCCACATCTGCGTGCAGCACTCGAGCTGCTCTGGAGCCCAGTTTTGACTGTAGCTCAGCCCGGTTGGCTTCTGGGAGCCTAGACTTAAGGTCAGTGTCCTGTGGTTTGAGGATGGGAGGGTTGTGCACGGGCTTATTTCCAGGGATGACAGTGAGGGGGTTGAGCTGGCAGCAGGGGGAAATTGGAAGGCATATACGCAGCAGAGGGACGCAGATGGGCTGATAGGCACTCGGGGGTGTAGGGGACTAGGTGTGGCAAGAAGGAGGGGAGGGGTGAGGGTGTGTTGGGGGGCTGGGGGGAGGTTGAAGGAACAAAACAGCCCTCCACATGTCTGTTTCAGTGCATGCTCACACCCCTCTTCGGATATCCCTAACCTGCACCCGTGGTATGCACCAGAATATGCATGAGCGGCCTACTCCAATCCCTGCTCGCTCGTTGGCACAAGGCTCAGGAATCCAAGGGCAACACCGTCGTCCACCGGAATTTTTTTCGGATTTTTTTGACTTCCATTTCGCGCCTTCTAGACACAGGCTGCGTGTGTCAGTACTCACCTTCCCCCATCCGCCATCTCTAGAAGCACACTCGAAGGCTACTCCCTCACCTCTCTTGCGTCCGGCTCTGGAGGGGAAGCCTGGGCACTCGTCTGCTCCACTGAACCGACCGCCTCCTCCCTCGCCTCCTCCTCCTCCGCATTCTGCTTAGCCTTCCCTCCTGCCTGCTGGCTGCTCCCGCCCTCCGCTGGGGCGGACGCTACAGCCTCCTCCTCCACCGGCTCATTGGCTTCCACCGCCTCTGCCTTCTCCTCGCCCGCCCCCTGCAAGCCGACCGTGGCATTGGGTCGCTCAGTCTTAGGCTGTGGGTGACAGTAGCTCTAACTCTTAGGCGACACAACCCTCGTGCAGCACTGGGCAATCGCACGAGTCTAGACGCCCATCTCCTGGTTCTGCTGAAGACTTCTACATTCTTCCGTTACTTCTCTTGGCAAATGTATTTCTGTAATGCAGCTAACTGAAACCCAAGAGCAAAACAAAATGAACCCAGGGACCGTACCTTGGCTGCAGAATTCCCGCTCGCGAGCTCCGCCTCTTGAAACTCTGGAGCCAGCGCCGCAGCGGCGGCGGCCGCGCCTGCTTCCGCCGTCCGGGGAAGCGGCGGAAGCTCCTCGTTGTGCCAGGGAAGGTGCAGAAGCAGCTTCCCCTTAGCGCTGGAGATCTCGGCTGTCTTATTCGGGCCCGGTTGCCAGACGACCTCCCCGCCCTCCGTCACCATGATGAACTTAAACTCGATTTGCGACCCTGCAGGGAGAACCTGCGGGTAAGAATCACAGAGCAAGCCGCCAGACAGGGACAGTTGATGAGTTGCTGCGAAGAGATGCACCGAGACAAAGTTCGTACCCAAGGCGAGGAGTCTACTAATACCAAGTTAGTACCCAAGACAAGGAGTCCATTAATACCAAGACGACAAAGTTACTATCCAAGTTTGAGGCGCCTCAAAAATGGCCGGCAGAGAGGGACAGTTGATGGGTTGCGAAGGGATGCGCCGAGACAAAGTTAGTAACCAAGACGTGAACGGTTGACGTGTCAAACATGACGGGCCGGCGTGAGTTTGCAATGGCCGCCGTTGCACCGAATAGAAACGAGGGGGGAAGGGAATGGAGGGGAACGGAGGGAGAGGTTAAGAAGCAAACGTACAGTTTGAGCCGACCAGACATGGCCGGGTGACCATTCCATCTGGAGCGCTCTGGCGGGTTCCCATTGGCCGAGCTCCGGCGCTCCACCCACTACCCCGAAGGCCTGTCCGAATCCGCATTCCCGGACCAGAGTGATCTGCACCTTGACTCCGCTCGCGGAATTCGCCGCACTTTCCGCACTTGCAGCTACTGCAACTGCAAACAATGAAGGAAAGGTTGGTGGAAAATCGATGGTGAGGGAGAAATCGTCGTTAGAAATGAGCAGGAGGGCGACGACAGGTCGCGCGACGAAGAGAATTTGCAACACGAACAGAATTTGCAGCACGGAGAGAGTCTGCAGCACGGAGGGAGTCTGCAGCACGGAGAGAGTCTGCAGCACGTGGCGTAAGGGATGGATTGTGTCAACACACCTGCTGATAATCTCTGGCAGCGTGACTGATCTCTCACCTGCGAGAGAACATCAGGAAAATCACAGCCACCGTGCGCAATATTATAAGCAGTTTGTAAAGCGCGCCGTTCAGTCAGCTGAAGCAGAATGTTGCTGCTGACGCAACAGCATAATAAGATCGTCTTGTAGTAGTGGTAAGGCAGAAAAATATGATAACCGGCAGAATGGCGATCAGCAGAACGGCGACGTACCAGCTGTAGCTTGAACCGTGGCAAGGCGGCCTTAGTTTCGGGTTGTAGGGAAAACGACGCCGATGGAGCATTACTTCTCAAGCACGCATGAGCGTTTCGTAGTCTGGCAGTGTGGCTGGGAGTGTGGCATCTGGGGAGGGACAGGCCAGCAGACTCCATTCTAGTGATTACACACGATAACACCATCTGCATAAGAAGGAAAGGTAGTCAATGTATATCTTCCAACGTGCTTCGTCACTAGAAAGAAACGACCTGGCCTTAGCGCTCAGGTGCACGCAGGGTGGGGTGAAGCTGGGGAGAGATTAGCACTAAGGGAATGTGGCTTAGGATCTTGGAAAAAGGATGCTGGATGTTTGACATGACAGGGAAGACATGGCTGAGTGCATTCATGCAAGGAAGAGGTGGAACAGAAGGATCAGCAACAATCCTGGGAATATCCAAGCGTGGCGAAACCAATAAATTTCGTAAATCCACAAACTTGTTTTCGTTAATGTCGTTGTTGAGGGGTCTATGGTGAGTCACGAATGCACGAAATATGTAACGACCTCGTTGAGCCAAATGTGGAAACTGATTTCGAGCAAAAAGGAAGGACACGCTGGCTAAAAACGTGCCAGCTGTCGACCCTCTGGCCAACGATCGGTCTCTGCCACGTCGAGTGGCAAACGCGCTCCCTATATCAAGAGTGCTAAAATCGGGAGGCAATCTGAGCCATAAACAATCAGAATTGATCGATCGTGTCAGGCCAAGACCAGTCATTGATCGCACGTCTGCCTCGTCAGCACCCCTGAGTTGCTGGAAGTCGCAGAAGTATCTAGAACTTCAGTTTACGAAAGACAGCAAATTGTCTGTGAGATAAACATGTACAGCAGAAGGTGTAGACACATCATCTCATTTACTCGGTTTGAGGTCTGACACAAGTCCGAAACGGTCCTCGAAGTTGGTTCAAATTTTGGCGGGAAACTTTGACGACTCGAAACCTGGCATGGTAAACGGCATTCCTCCCCTCCCTAATGGACGGACGGAGGTCTGGCGCGCTTCGTAGCTTCCATATGGGCTCCAGCGAAAAACCCCTACAGTATTCAGAAATCGTTTCCGTTCAATCCCAGCAGCACGTCGATGGTTTTGACGGGCCCGGTCCTGGTTCCATCGTCGCGTCAAAATCGACGCTTCAGATGCAACAGACAGAACCAAGGCCCTCCGATCCAAACGAAAATTGTATTGAGGCCAACAAATGACATTTCCAAGGACGCAGGCAGTCACGCACAGCATCCGTCAAGCGTGACTGTTTTCGTTTCAAGTCCGTCGGGAAGGAAGGAACCATTTCCCAACCCATTCATGTCGAATGCTAACAATTGCTTTCTCAGCTTGCACTCGTTGATGCATGGAGGTTGTCCTTTCAGCAGTCCGAACATTGCGGGAGAGACTCTTGTTATTTTCAGGCCTAAGAAGCATGTCCTTCATGTCGCTGTACGTTCCTTCATCATGTTACCTTATTCTCGGTCTTTAGTTACCTAAGTCAGTTGAAAATAGGGTCAGTTGCCCGACTAATTTATTCTTCTGCCTGCTGGCAATGGAGTGGGTACAGGTAGACGAGGGGCCCGATTCTATTTCAGAAAGTCCAGGTCAATCCTCCTTAGTAGCATCCGAAGAGTCCAATCTCCGAGGGGAGAACATAGGTGCCGAATCCGCTGCTATTAGTCGCCCCGATTCTCCTATCAGCGCAGTTTACGGCCTTAGAGAAACCCCACTTGAGGAGCCCTGCAGTGAAGATGCAGTATCTGGACCGGAGACACTAGATACGGAAACAAGGACTTGCCCGGAAAATCCGGAACAGGCATCGCTTGGAAGCGAGGTCATCCCAGCGGAGGAAGAGAGGAAGGGAGGAGGGAAGGAAGACGGGAAGAAGGAAGAGGCCAATGACCAGGAGAATCTGGAGGATAAAGGAAACCAGGATAAATTTTACTTGGCGGAATCAGGAGCAGAAAGTGAAAGTGACATTGCTTGGCCGGAAATGTCAGCTGAATCTTTGGATTCCTTTGGGATGTTTTTCAGTCCCTCTAAAGCCCTGCCTGACGAGCTTCAGGAGGAGACATCTGCACTCTCCACTGCTTCAGAGGGTAGAAGTTCGGATGCGACAATGGCAGTCGAGGGAAGAAGCACTGCTTCCGAGGATAGAGAAACGGGTCTGAAAGCTGAGCCAGTCGAAGTCGTGCATCAGGAGAATCTTCAGGAGCATCTGCAAGAGAATGTGCAGGAGAAGCCAACAGAGGTCCAAGTGGTGGTACTGACGAACCAAGAAGCGGAGGGTCAAGAGACGCTGGTGGGTCCTCCTGAGGAGGTAATAGCTCCTAAACAGCACCCTCAGTCTAGCACAGACAAGCAGCAGCAGCAGCAGCAGCAGCAGCAGGAGGCTCCGGAGAAACTCCAGAAACACTTGGAGGAGAAGTTGCCGGAGCAGGCACAGGAGATCAAGGCAGAAGCTTCGGACGAGTCACTTCAGACGACTGCCGTGGTTCTTGAGCTTGGCAGCACGCACAAGCAGCAGCAGCAGCAGCAGCAGACTCTTTCAGAAGAACTCGTGAAACACTTGGAGGAGAAACCGCCGGAGCAGGCACGGCAGGCAGCGGAAGCAAGTCTGGATGAGTCCCCGCAAACGACCACCGTTGTTCTGGAGCTTGGGAGCACGCAGCAGCAGCAGCAACAGACGACGCAGGAGGAGGAGCAGGAGCAGCAGCAGCAGCAGCAGGGTACCACCCCAGAGAATGTGGCGCAGGGCGCGGCGGAGAAGCAAGTCCAGGCTACGGGTGAAGAGCGGCCGCTGTCAACGCTGGGAACGCCATGTCAAACCCCGCCGGTAATACCGGAGCAAACCACGGCGAAGCAGCACGGACAAGCGACACTTGTTACGGAGCACCAGTCAGCACCAGAGAAGCCGCTTTCAGTCGCCAACAAGCAGGAGCTTCCAGCGGAACTGCTCTCGGATCTCGACACGCCTCAGAAGCCGCTTATAACAGCGGTCTACAACCAGAGAAATCCAGCGGAACCGCCTTTGACATTTGATATTCCTCAGATGAGGCCGCATATAGTGGGCAACTTGGTCAGCAAGCCGCAGAATGCAGCGGAACGGCTAGTGCCGGTCCTTGAGCCGCCTCAGCAGCCGCATGTAGTGGGCAACTTGGTCACCAAGCACCAGAATGCAGCGGAACGGATCAGCCTAATCCCGGAACGGCTACGCCAGGCTACTACTCCTGAACGATTTGGACGTTCCCAGATCAGCCATGTTACCCAGGCCACGCAGGCTATCCAGATCACCCAGCTTACTCAGATTACCCACGCCGCCCAAGCCACCCCACAGCGGTTTGGATGGACGCCGCGACCCAAGCCGGCACGAAGCTCGTCCCCGGACCCGTCGGATTTCAGCGACTTCCGACGGTCGTCAGATTTAAACGATTTCCGTCGATCCGTGGAGGTGACGTCCTCCGTCAGAGCGTCTGGCAATTTGGCGGCCCAGTCGTGGCGGAATAGCGTCCCGGAGAGTGACGGGTTTTCTTTTATCGGGGGCCTCGTTAGGGCGCCAAGCGAGCGGTCGTTCGCGCTCGCGCCGCCCGAGCCGAGGAGAATGAGCCTTCCTGGAACTTACCGGCCGGAGATTTACCGGCCACAAGAGACTTACCGGCCACAGGAGGCACCTTCGCCGGCGAGGAATGACGGCGGGTGGGTGGGCCGGCCGCGGGGTGTGAGGGGGAGTTTTGACGGGGGAGGCGCAGGCGGAGCGGAGAGGCGCATGCGGAGCAGCGCAAGCGGCGGGGAGGTGAGGGGAAGAATGTACGGCGTAGGTGCGGAAGGGAGGCTCGGATTCGGCGCAGGCGGAGGGGAGATTCGCGGAGGGGAGATCCGTGGAGGGGAGATTCGCGGAGGGTTTTCCGCGGAAGGGAGAGGAGCATACTACCCGGACACGAGGGGGGGATATGGCGCTGGGGGGGGAGGTATTGACGCGGTTCCCTTGACCACGCGCGCGGGGAACAGCGTGGGCAGCGGAAGCGGGGAGTACGGGAGCGCCGCGCTGATTGGGACGGCGCATGGGCCGCAGCCTGTGACTGTAGCGGTGAACATCCGGCCGCTTATATCGAGGGAGCTTACAGCGAGATGCATGGAATGCGTCACTGTTCCTCCTGGAGGCGCGCCGCAGGTATGGGCTGTGAGAGATATGCAGAACTGTGTGGTACAGAGCGTGAAGAACGGTGACACGGAGAGACGTGTAGAGTGGTGTAGAATGGCTGCTCACCTACGCCCATGTGTACGGCGTGGGCTATGGTCGGGCCATGCCCTTGTCCCACACCTCCACATCCCCGCCCCTCTTCCTCCCTGCTCTTCCGCCCCCGTTCCCCCCTGTTCCCCCCTGTCCCCCCCTCCCCCCTCATTGCAGGTCCGGGTGTAACCCGATTGGCTGTTCACCTAGGATCATGTGCATGGCGGGGGAGGTGGACTGCCCATACCCACCCTTCCCTTTCCCCATCCTGCCCCGCTTCCCCCCCCCCCTCCCCCCACTGCAGGTGCGAGTGTTACCTGACTGGCTATTCACGTACGACCATGTGTATGGTGGGGGCGGTGGGCGGCCAATGTCGTTGCTGTTTGATGACTGCATCGAGCCGCTGGTGTATGGGCTGTTCGAGGGATACAACGCTACGGTGTTCGCCTATGGGCAGGTGAGACAAGGGCACGGGCACAGTGCGTGTCGTCTGAAGGAGTGGGAGAAGTATTATAGAGGATGGTCGGCCCAAGTCGTTGCTCGTTGCTGTTTGATGACACATCGAGCCGCTGATGTACGGGCTGTTCAAGGGCTACAACCCTATGGTGTTAGCCTATGGCCGGGTGAGAGAAGAGCAAGGGCAAATTGTTTGCGAGTATATGAACGGGGAGACAACTCTTGGGGGGTCGGCTTGTGTTGTCGCTGATCAACGACACCGCTGTTTACGGGCTGTTTGACTGCTCCAATACAACGGCGTTCCGTTCTCCGCCCCCCTTCCCCTTCCCTCCACGCCTTTCCCTTCTCACTCTGCCCCTCCATAAATGCCCCCCCCTCCCTGCTGCGCTTCTTACTGCCTGCCCCCTCCCCAGACGGGCTCAGGCAAGACCTACACCATGGGAACAGCGGGGCACAGCGGCATGTACGGCGATATAGACGGCAGCGTAAGTGGCAAACTCTAGCAAGTCTCCCCATCTGTGTGTCTCATTAGATCCCCCCTCTTGTTTCGCCCCTCCTTACTTGCCCCTCCCTCCCTTCCCCCTCCACAGACGGGCTCAGGCAAGACCTACACCATGGGAACAGCAGTACAGGGCGGCATTTATGGGGACGTGGACGGCAGTGGGCCGAGCGCGGTGGAGAAGGACGGCGGCGTGACTCGGCGCGTAGTGGACACGCTGTTTTCAAGGGTGGAGCAGCTCAGTGGCTTGGCGCGCTTCCAGATCCGCGTGGCGCTCATAGAGGTGAGTGGCGCTGATAAAGGTGAGTGGAAAATAATCGAGGTGAGGGGCGCTGACGGACGAGAGTAGGGTTTATTGAGGTGAATGGCGGTGATAAGAGGTGATTGGCGTTGAAAAGAGGTGATTGGCGGTGATAAGGGGTGAGTGGCGCTGAATGAGGTAAGTGGAAGATGATTGAGGTGAGAAGCGATGATAAAAGTGAGTAAGGTTCACGTGCCATCATGAGCATCCCACACTCCCCACTCCACTGCCCTTTCACCCCAACCATCAGGTTCACAAGGACGACATCCGAGACCTGCTGGAGCTGATCAGCCTAAGGGGAGGAGGCGGAGGCCACATGTACGCCACTCAGCTGCGTCCCGCACCATCACGAGAGCAGCAGGCCGAGACACCTTTCTCCCATCCAACCCCCTCCCACCTTCAGATCCACAAGGACGACATCCGAGACCTGCTGGAACTCACCAGCCTGGGGGGAGGCGGGGGCCACATGTACCCACACTCGGCTGCGTCCCGCGCCATCATGAGCAGTGGCCCGAGCCGGCAGCCAATCAGCATCCGCGAGACAGCGGGGGGAATCAGCCTGACAGGGGTGACGGAGCAGGTGGTGCACTCAAGAGAGGAGGCGATTGCCTGTCTTGAAGACGGGCTGCTCTTCCGGGCTACTGGGGGGCACAACCTGAATGCACGATCCAGGTGAGGCCTGATACTTGAGGTAGACAAGGCGGGTTGGGAGGGCACTGGGGGGGACACTCAAGGGAGGAGGCCATTGCTTGGCTGGAGGACGGGCTGCCATGCAGAGCCACTGGGGCCCACAACCTGAACGGAGATCCAGGTGAGGTTTGTAGGGTTACCAGGCGGGACGGATCTGCCTGACAGGGGTGTGGAGCAGGTGGTACACTCAAGGGAGGAGGCCATTGCTTGGCTGGACGACAGGCTGCCATGCAGAGCAACTGGGGCCCACCTGAACGGAGATCCAGGTGAGGTTTGTAGGGTTACCAGGCGGGACGGATCTGCTTGACAGGGGTGTGGAGCAGGTGGTACACTCGAGGGAGGAGGCCATTGCTTGCCTGGACGACGGGCTGCTATTTCGTCCTCTCACTTATACACTCCTCTCTTCGCCATCACTACCCCCGTTGCCCCGTACTGCCTGTCTCACGCCATCTTCTCAAACATGGACCAGTTCCCCCCAGAGGAGGAGGATGACGATTGCCATTCCACTTACTCACCTCTCTCTCCCCTCCCCCCCTTTCCCCCCCTTCTCCCCTCTCCCCTCTCCCCTCTACAGCCGGTCTCACGCCATATTCACAATCTTCATTGACCAGTTCCGCCCCCGCGCAGGGGGGGTGGGGGGAGGCGCGTACGGGCGGGGTGGAGGGAGAGGGGGGGCGGACGAGGAGCATCTGTGCGCGAAGATGCACCTGGTGGACCTGGCTGGGTCTGAGCGGATCAAGCGCACGCATGCTGAGGGCGTGAGGATGCAGGAAGGTGAGCGCAGGGGACCAGAGGGGCTGGGATTATAGAGGCCGAGAGGGACAAGGAGCATCTGTTCGAAGATGCACCTGGTGGACCTGGCTGGGTCGGAGAGAAACAAACGGACGCATGCTGAGGGCGTGAGGATGCAGGAAGGTGAGGCCAGAATGCAGGAAGGTGAGACGATGGAAGAATGCTGAGCTTGGGTGGGCGGGCGAGAGGGGTTCGATTACGAGGAGCGTCTGTGTGCAAAATGGATCTGGTGCACCTCCCTGCCTAACCGCCTTGTGCCCCTTGCTGACCCCCTTGTGCCCCTCTCCTCTCCCTTTCTCCCAGGCATCCACATCAACCGTGGGTTACTGGCATTGGGAAGTGTCATCAGTGCGCTCAGCACGAAGGACAAGGACGGCTCTCCCCACCAACCCTCGTTTACCCGTCTCCCCATTGTACATCCCCCACCCCTTCCCCAGGCATCCACATCAACCGCGGGCTACTGGCATTGGGTAATGTCATAAGTGCACTCAGCACCAAGGACAAGGACGACCGACGCAAGAGGGAGGGAAAGGGCGGGTGGCCGTCCGGCCCCACGCACGTGCCGTACCGCGACAGCAAGCTGACAAGGCTGCTACAGGACTCGCTGGGTGGCAACAGCCGGACTGTTATGATCGGTGAGTGTAGCAAGCGGAATGTGTGCTCGAGTGCTTAGGACCTTCCCTTTGATATTCCGCTTTTTGTAATCAGTGTAGTGCTTATAATCTCTCCTCTTCCCACATGTGCATGTGCATGTGCATGTGTGTGCTCTGACTATGCAGCGTGTGTGAGTCCATCAGGCACCCACGTGGACAAGACAATTAACACTCTCAAACGCGCCGACTGAATCAGAAACTATGTTTCCTCCTCCCTTCCCCTCCCCCCTTCCCCTCCCCCCTTCCCCTCCTACCTCTCTCGACAACTTAATCCCTATTGCCAGTGAGCCCATCAGACACCAACGTGGATGAGTTGATCAACACCCTCAAGTATGCCAACCGCGCCAGGAGCACACATTCCCCTACCCCCATCCCGACCCGCTCCTTCCACGCCCCTCCGTTTCCCATGCAGCGTGTGTGAGCCCCTCGGACAACAACGTGGACGAGACGATCAACACGCTCAAGTACGCCAACCGCGCCAGGAACATCTGCAACAAGCCCATGGTCAACCGCCTGGGCGAGGTGGACGCGGAGGAGGTGCGCCGCCTGCGCCAGCAGATCGGCCTGCTACAGTCCGAACTCGCCCGCGCCTCCTCCGCCGCCTCTGCCGCCCACAACGATGACGAGCTACAGCAGCTACAGCAGCGGGTGGACTGGTTAGAGTCTAGCAACGGGAAGTTAAGGCAGGGGTTGGCTGAAGCCCAGCAGGCGTTGTCAGCTCAGGAGCAGAAGGCTGCTGATGCTGAGGGGACTTGTGTTAAGTTGAGGAGAGAAATGGCTGCTGCAATCACTGCGTTGGACCAGGAACGGACCGAGGCTGCGCTGCTCCGGCGTCGAGCCGAGGAGATTGGTGCGGCGGGAGGGGAGAGCGGGAGGTCGGGGATGGATGGGGCGGAGGTAGAGAGGCTGAGGGAGCGGGTTGCCGAAGCTGAGGCGAAGGCTCGGAGGGAGGCGGAGAGGGCGGAGGAGGTGGAGGGTCGGGCTGAGGCGGAGAGGCAGAGGGCTGACGGAGCTGAGGAGGAGGCTCGGCAGGCAGTGGCTCGGGCAGAGGAGGCCGAGGCTCTGGCTTGGGAACTGAAGGTGCAGGCAGCTGCGGTAACTGCCAGAGCTGAGTCAGACTCGGGAAATCTTGCCGAGGCTCAGGTTGGGTGGGAAAAGCAGATTGGTTTGGTTCGGGAGGCTGCTGCTGCTGAGGGGGTGAAACGGGCGGTGCTAGAGGCGAGGCTAGAGCAGCTTCAGGAGGAGTGTGAAGGGCTGAGGAGTAGGGTGGAGGAGGAGAGAGTGAGGGCACAAGGGGCTGAAGCTGCTTTGGCAGGTGAGAGAGGGAGAGGGGAGAGGGACGTGGAAGTTGGGAGGTTGACAGCCGAAGTTGAGGTGACTAAACTGCAAGCGGAGGTGACTATAATGAAAGAGCAGGTGGCAGCAGAAGCAGCTAGAGCAGCAGAAGCGGTTGCAGCGGCAAAAGAGGCGAGGGAGGATCTGCAGGTGTTTAGACAGGATGTACATGTGCTGTCGCAGCGACTGTCCAGTGCTGAGGAAGCTCTTAAAGAGGAAGAAGCTAAGTCGATGGAGCTAGAGATTGAAGTGGGGAGGCTTAAAGCGGATCTCGCTGCTGCTGAGGCTGTAGCAGGTGTGGCTAAGACGAGGGTCGATGAAGCCGAAGCTGAGGTTCGGCGGGCCCGAGCCGAAGGAGCGGAGGCTCGGGCGAGAGCGACAGATTCGGTGGGCTGGAAGTGGAGGGGTGGGGATGGGAGTGAAGATGGGGGGGAGGAAGAGGAGGAGGTGGAGGGGGAGAGAGTGAGGGAGGAAGTGAGGGTGCTGCTGAGGAGTGTGGGGGAGCTTGCAAAGGAGATGGGGTTGGAGTGGGGAGGTGGAGATGAGGCACAGGGCGGGATGCCAGGGGAGGAGGCAGGGTTGGTTCGGGTGCTGGACGAGGTTCGGCGCAGGCTCGGGCTCACAGCAAGCAGTTCGGCTGGTGTAGGCTCGGGAGGTCAGGGGGATGGAGGGAAGGAAGGGGAGGGAGGGGAGAGCAAGGAGGGAGGGGCGTTTAAGGAGGGAGGAGAGGGACGGAAGAGCAGCAGTGGGGAGGATGAGGATGAGCGGGTGTGGGTGGAGGAGGTCAGGAAAGCCCTGACTGCAGCCCACGAGCAGGATATGAAGGAGGTCAAGAGGGAGATCGAGGCATTGGAGAAGAGAGCGGAAGAAGCCGAGAGAGAGGCGGAACAGGTTCGGACGCAGCTGGAGCAGGCTCGGAATAGCCTGATAATGGCTCGGGAAGAGGTGGAGCAGGCTCGGAGGCAGTCGGAGGAGGCTCGGGGGGAGCTGGAAGAGGTTCGGGCCAAGGCTGAGTGGGCTGAGAAGGGGAGGGAGGCTCTAGAGAGGGAGGTAGAGGAGGGGAGGGAGAAGGTGGGGGAGATGGTGAAAGAGATGGAAGGACTCTTGAGTGAGGTGAAAGGGGGGAAGGGGCGAGAGGAGGAGGCGCAGAGGAGGAGAGCGGAGGTGGAGGAGGAGGTGGAGAGAGTTAGAGAGCGGTTGGAAGAGGTTGAAGCAGAGAGAGAGGCGTTGAAGGGGGTGGTAGAGGAGGTGGAGAGGCAGAAGGAAGAGGCAGAGAGGAGGAGGGGGGAGATGGAGAGGAGGGAGGAGGAGTTGGGAGGAAGGGTGGAGGAGGCAGAGAGGAGAGTGGAGGGCGTGAGGGAGGAGCTGCGGGAGAGGAGCAGGGAGTTAGGGCAGATGGAGGTGGAACTGGGGGAGGTGATGGAGAGGCGGGTGGCGGCAGAACAGCATGCTGCGATGGAGGCAGAGCATGCAGAGAGGCTGGGGGTAAGTGTGTGAGAGGGGGGGGCATGCGTGTGTGAGAGGGGGGGGCATGCGTGTGTGAGAGGGGGGGGCATGCGTGTGTGAGAGGGGGGGGCATGTGTGTGTGAGAGGGGGGGGCATGTGTGTGTGAGAGGGGGGGGCATGTGTGTGTGAGAGGGGGGGCATGTGTGTGTGAGAGGGGGGGGGCATGTGTGTGTGAGAGGGGGGGGCATGCGTGTGTGAGAGGGGGGGCATGCGTGTGTGAGAGGGGGGGGCAGGTGTGTGAGAGCGGGGGGCATGTATGCGTAAGTGAGTGCATCCACATGTGTGAGTAGCACGTGAGCGATGTCAGTGTGTTGTGTTTGTGTGGGTCTGTGTTTGTGTGTGGGTCTGTGCTTGTGTGCATGTGAGGGATGCCCTTCGCGCTGGTATACAGTCTCATTTCCTTTCCCCCTTACTCCTCCGTAGCTCTTAGTGCATCCCTGCAGCTCTGCACCCCTTGAGCCCTGCAGCCCTGCAACTCTGCACCCCGGGAGCCCTGCAGCCCTGCTGAAGCTGCTCGTGGGAGCCACCTTCCTTGGCCTTCGCCTCCAAGCACCACCTTATCTCATCCCCCCCCATCCCTGAATCCCCATGCCTCCTTCCCGCTTCCCTCTCACCAGTCCCAACTGCAGGTGCTGCTGAAGCTCCCTGGCACGGCCACCTTCCTGGCACTTCAAGCACCTCCAGCTCAAGTTCTCTCCTCCCGCCCTCATTCTCCCCCCCCGCCCCCTCCTCCCCTCCCGCTTCCCTCTCACCAGTCCCAGCTGCAGGCCCTCCTGAAGCTGCTAGGCACGGCCACCTTCCTGGCCCTTCCCTCAGAGGAACTTCTCTCGGAGTTTTCTGCCAAGTACCCTGACCTGGAGCACATACTGCTGCTCATGGCGGTGGTGGCCTAGCTAGCAAGCACATGTGTGGTGGTAGTGGCTCCCTCATCTCTTTCCCATTCCTCCGTCCCCGTCCCCCTTCCCCCCCACCAGAAACAGCTGCAGGCCCTCTTGAAGCAGCTAGGCACGGCCACCTTCCTGGCGCTACCCTCGGAGGATCTGCTCTCGGAGTTTTCTGCCAAGTACCCGGACCTGGAGCACATACTGCTGCTCATGGACGAAGCAGGCATGGCTGGCATGCACATGGGTGGCAGCAGCTTGAACAGCCCTCGTAGCCTGCACATGGCCAGTAGTGGCTTGAACAGCCCTCGTAGCCTGCACGGTATGGGCTTGTCGGGTGCGGCTTCCCCCTCCGCCTCGCCCTTCCACTACACTGTGTCGCACCTCTCGTCCTCGCTCACTCACTCCCCTGCCTCTGAGCCGCTGGAGGGAGCAGAGGACGGGGAGGAGGCGAGGGAGGAGCGGGAGGAGAGGAGTGAGAGGGAGATGGATGAAGGCAGGGAGGAGGGAGAGGAGGGAGAGGAGAGAGCACTTGCAGTTGTGGGTGGGGAGGATGATGCCAGTGCTGATGGCAGTGGCCAGGCCAAGGCCATTGTTCCGAGTGCCCACAACAAGGAAGATGGGATGGCTCTTGTGGCGGAAAGGGATGGGGAAATGCAAGTGGCCCTTTTGGATCCTCAGCAGCTGCAGGAGCTGGGGCAGGGGCAGGGGTGGGAGCGGTGTGGTAGCTTCACTACAGTGCCTGCGCACGTTGCGGACGACCTTGCTCTGGTTACAACCCGCGGCAGCAGTGGTAACCAGCTCGTTGGCGCTACACCCACGGAGGAATCCCCGTCTGCGCCTAGGGGGGGTGTTGAGGGGGCGAGAGGAGCCGGGGAGGAGCGAGAGGAAATTTCGGTAGAGGAGGTGTTTGGAAGTCCGGATAACGTGGCGAGAGAGGAGCAGAGGAGGAAGGGGAGGAGGAGAGGAAGGAAAGGGAGGAGGAGGGGCGCGGAAGAGGAGGAGCAGCAGGCTTCTGAGATGAGTGCGGGCCTGAGCCTGCAGAAATGGGTCCATGATGATGCTGCTCAAGGGGATGCTGATGATGACGATGATGATGTGAGTGGTGGCCGTGGCGGGGGCGGCGGTGGCGGTGGTGCTGGTGTTGGTGCTGCTGATGACGCTGCTGGTGATGTTCTTGGCAGTTCATGGGGGCGATCTAGCCCACAGCAGAGCTACACTGTCTACCTGGATGGTGCTGCTGCCACTGGCGAGGATGCAGCCACTCGCCTTGCTGATGGGAAGGAGGAGGAGGAGGAGAACATTCGTGCTGGAGGTAGTGAGGATTGCAGCAGCAAGGTGCCACGGAGCAGTTCGATGCGCAGCCGGCCGTTGTTCTACCTCCCCCCTGATCCTGACACGGACAAAGCAGCAGATCATGCATCAGGGGAAGCGGCAGCCAAGGCAGTTGAGGCTGCAGGGGGCGACCAAGCAATGCGAGAAAAGGCGATGAATGCTGGGGAGAAAGGAGATAGGCTTTCGAGTTTCAGCAGGTCAAGAAGCAGAGGTGGAGGAGGCAGGGCATCTTGCATGAGGCCCTTTGGAGCCGATTCTTCGCCTCCCTTAAAGCCCACTTCCAGGGCCAACCTGCCAGACCATGCCCTTGCTGCCGCCCTCACTGCCTCTGGGCATCTCACAAGCCCTGCCCTGCTTGCCGCTGCTGGCGGCTCTGCAGCTGCTGTTGCCGCTGCAGCTGCGGCTGCTGCTGTTGCACACAGAGAAGAGGCAGAGGAGAATGAACGGGGGGACATCATGCAGAGCAACTCACCTCTCATGGCGCCTCGCGTTTCCTGTATGCCCATCTCCTTTGCTAGATCACCACGTGGCAGCACTGGCAGCACTGGCAGCGGTGGCGGTGGGGGAAGCAGCAGCAGCAGATCGCACTCGTTCGCAGGAGCAGTGCTGGGGAACATTGCCCGGTCTCACGGACTAAGGACTTTTAGGCGCAAGCTGAGAGGGGGGAGTAGCGGGGGTAGCAGTGCTGGGGGGAGTGTGGCTGGCGGTGACGTTGCTGTGGTTGATGTTGCTGGTGGTGGTAACCACATGCGCAACCATACGAGCCACATGCAGGGACGTGCATCGCCGTATCATGGGATGGAAAGCGGTGGAGCCATGTCACCATACCATGGGGGGGCATTCCCTTACAATGGTAGTCATGGGGGGAGTCCCACGCGTGGCGGTGGCATGAGCCCCTGGAGGGGCAGTGAGCATGGGTCGCCTATGAGGGCTGTGGGAGCCCAGGGACTGCATGCACATGGGAATCATGGGAATGGGTATGGCAATGGTGGGGCAAGCCCAGTGCCTGTGCATGGCTCAGGTAGCCCTGGGCCTGAGCTTAGTCCGGAATCCACGAAACGACGGGGTTTAGCTTCCATGTTCAAGAAGTCCCAAACTATGCCTCCACGGAGATAGGCCGAAATTCATATTGTGTTGCCCTTACTGGTCAATACAGGCTTAGGTCAATTCGTAGTTATGTACCAGATCTAGCATGTAGTTTGTATAGTGAGTGGGTAGTATTCACTCTTTGCTTTGCTAATGTTATAGCTCATTTTGGTGAGGATCATGTGGTTAGTCTGTTCTAAAAAGCAGGGATCATGTGCCGTGAGGGGAACAGGGGCACCACTCACGGGTCAGAATTGCAAAACAACACTCTTCTTGGAGAAGTGGGGTATCGATCCCCATACCTCTCGCATGCTAAGCGAGCGCTCTACCATCTGAGCTACATCCCCGATGCCCATTCACCTAAGCAAATGTATTTATCTCTGTTTTTTAGCTTGGATTTTCCCTTAAGAAATCACAGCCGCACACCTCAGGGTTTCTGTGCACATGTCACTGCCACCTGTCCCACTAAGAAGGAAGCGAGCTGCGTGTCGCTCGCGGGATGAAAGGACGGAACGGAAGCAGGGGTCGACGGGTGGACACGACACGACACGACGACATGTCACTGGACCTGACCCAGGCCGTTCGTTGCTTCTCCGTGACGCACAGTCGAACTGTACACTAGACACTGTACAGTGTTTCTGAAACCTGTCCCGTTCCATTCCACCCCATTCAGCCCAAACCAAGGGCACACAATGAGACCATTCCAAACCGCAGCGAACCCTAGTCGATTTTATATCAACCCATACCTTTTCCATCAATTTCTTCCCACACCACAAGCCACCCTCGGGAGTCAGGAGCACTTCGCCCGAGCATTACTCCTACGGAATGCTCATGGTGGCTGTTGTAACTGCACAGCCACGGCCACAGCCACAGCCACAGCCACAGGGTCTGTTGGCTATAGTGCAAAAGAGCGACAAGCGTCTGTTGCCGAAACACCTAGAGCTTTCCCCAGCGGCAAGGTCTGAATTGGCGCTCCCTCTACTCTCCCCCCGCGACTTCCGGGAGAGATGAGGTGCGCATAGCCCAGCTCTCACCGCAGCTCTTACCACAGCTCTTACCGCAGCGGCTAGGCACGCGTCTGCAACGATTCCCCGTGTGGGGCGTTCCGTTGCTGCTAAGCTGTTGGTCCTCCGGCGTATTGTCGCCACGCTAGACACAATGGTGTCAGTACAGTCAGCAGCCACGTTAGTGTCCTCTCGGTTTAGAACACCATTTGCGGCGGCACCCTACGCTCAAAATCCGCGTCCGTTCTACACCACATCCTCGCTATTGACGAGCAATTCGACCTCCTCCTCCCGCGCCTCCTCCTCCTCTCCGCTATCCTCTCCCTTCTCCTCGTCCTTCTTCTTTCCTCGTCGATTAAACACGTCGCATGCTAGTCCCATTCGTACCTCCGCTCGCCGCCAGCCCCCTCCATGCCACGCGGCAGTCACTGATAGGTCCAGGCCGGGCTCTGGAGCCGCGGGCAGCGGAGATGCGTACAGCGCGAATGGCGCAGCAGCGGGGGGACCGGGCGCGGGGGGAGCCCCGCGGAAGCTGCGCGTGGGGGAGATGGCGGCGGATATGAAACGGATGCGCGCGCAGATGGAGGAGGATGAGCAGGTGCGGCGCAATCTCCCCCCTTCTTCCCCATGTTTTCCGGCCTGCCGCTTTCCCCCTACACTCACGTGCCCATGTTTCGGCCCTCTCCTGCCCCCTTCCCCTGTGCTCCCCCTCCCCCCCCCCTGCTCCCCCACAACCTCCTAACACCTGACCTTTTTCCACTGTACGCACACTCGGTCGCTCCTTCCTGCCTCTTGATCCCCCCTCGCCCTCCCCCCCCCCACCCCACCCCGCCTCCCATACAACCGCCTTCGTCCCTGCCTCCGCTTTGCTAATCCTCCCTTCCCCCCCCCTCCCCTCCATTCCCCTCTCCCCCCGCTCCACCCCCGCCTCCCCTCCCTCTCCTTCCCCCCATTCCTCCCCCCCTCCCCCCCCCACCCCCCCGCGCTATGTCAGGTCGCGTCGCTGATGCGCGGCTTGCGCGGGCAGAACCTCCGCGACGAGCAGTTCGCCGATGCTGACGTCACCATGCGGCTCGTGGAGTTCGACACCGGGAAAGCCGGCGAGGAGGCGCTGCCGCTGGTCTACGACCCGGACTTAATCGCCACCTACTGGCAGAAGCGGCCCGGCGCGATCTTCAGCCGAATCATGCAGCTGCTCGCTGTATCGGGGGATTTCTTAACGAAGGTCGCGGCGGATATAGTCACGAAGCGGCTCAAAGAGAACGAGGTGAAGCGCGCGATGGAGCTAAGAGAAATAGTGACGTCCTTAGGACCGGCGTATATCAAGCTCGGTCAGGCGCTTAGCATCCGGCCCGATATTCTGTCGCCGGCGGCGATGGTCGAGCTACAGAAACTATGCGATAAAGTGCCGTCGTTCGATAACGATATCGCGATGGCTCTTATGGAGGATGAACTCGGCCTGCCCCCGTCGGAAGTTTTTTCGGAGCTCAGCCCGGCTCCGATCGCAGCAGCGTCGCTCGGGCAGGTTTACAAGGGGAAGCTGAAAACTACTGGGGAGGCCGTCGCGGTGAAAGTTCAGCGGCCGTATGTGCTGGAGACGGTCACGATTGATCTGTACATCATCCGACGGCTGGGGTTGGCTCTCCGCGGCATTCCCCAGATTGCGACGGACGTGGTTGGATTGGTCGACGAATGGGCCGCGCGATTTTTCGAGGAGCTGGATTACGTCAATGAAGCTCGCAACGCGGAGCTTTTCGCCGAGTCGATGGCGAAAGACCTCCCCCAGGTCGTGGTGCCGAAACCCTTTATGGATTACACCTCTCGCCGAGTGCTGGTAACCCAATGGATCGACGGCGAAAAGCTTTCGCAGAGCACCGCCGACGACGTGGGCTCGCTAGTCAACGTCGGGGTGATCTGCTACTTAAAGCAGCTCCTAGACACGGGACTATTCCACGCCGACCCGCATCCCGGGAACCTAATTCGAACGCCGGACGGCAAGCTATGCGTGCTGGACTTCGGCCTCATGACGCGAATCACGGAGGGCCAGAAGTACGGAATGATCGAGGCCATCGCGCATCTGATCCACCGCGATTACCCCGCGATCGTCGAAGATTTTGTTCTCCTGGATTTTATTCCCGAGGGCGTGAATCTGAACCCGATCATGCCGGTTCTCGCGCGCGTGTTCGACCAGGCGCTCGAGGGCGGCGGCGCCAAGGGGATTAATTTCCAGGAGCTCGCGGCCGATCTCGCGCAGATCACCTTCGAGTACCCCTTCCGCATCCCGCCGTACTTCGCGCTGATCATCCGCGCTATAGGCGTGCTCGAGGGTATCGCGTTAGTAGGCGACCCGGACTTCGCTATAGTAGATGCGGCTTATCCGTACATCGCGCAGCGGCTATTAACGGACCCGTCCCCGCGTCTCCGCGCCGCGTTAAGATACACCATATACGGGCGGTCCGGCGTGTTCGACGCGGACCGCTTTATCGACGTCATGGAGGCATTTGAGACGTTCGCGGCGAACGCTAAGTCGGGGCGGGGCGCGCAATTCGCGGACTGGGGCGCGGATGCTGGTGGGGGAGGGGAAGGGGTAGGCGCAGGGAATGGCGCTGCTGCTAATGGCGCCGCCGCTGGTGCTGATGTTGATGTTGAGGAGGTTGTAATTGTGAATGGCAGTGCCACGGATGTCGCTGTATCCACAAGTCTCGCTCTCCCTTCCTCTTCCTCCTCCTCTACTTCCCCCTCCTCCTCCCAGCCCCCCCCCCTCTTCCCGCCCTTCCTCCTCCCCTCCTCCCCCTTCGACTCCCTCTTCCCCACCACCGCCATCGCCTTCCCAGAAGCTTCCCTGCAGCTCTCCGAAGCTGAGCTCAGCTCGGGCAACGCCCGGGCGGCGCTCGCTTTCATCCTCTCCCCTCGTGGCGCATTCTTCCGAGACTTCATCCTCGACGAGGTGGTGAAAGGAGTGGACGCCTTGGCCCGCGAGCAGATCGCCTCTCTCCTGAACATCCTCTCCAACCCCACGTCGCCCAGTGCGACCTCGGTGATAAGGAACACCCCGCTGGCGGGAGCGTTGCCGCTGCTCATGCTGCTTCCGCCGCTGCCGGGGCAGCAGCAGGTGCAGGAGCTGGTGCACGCGGTAACCCCGCGGGTTACAGACGAGGACCGGGCGGTTCTGGAGAATCTGCGGAAGGTCGTGGCGTTTCTCAGCCGGGGGAGCGATAGCAGCAGCAGCAGCAGCAGCAGCAGTGGTTATTCCACAGACGAGGAAACCATGTGGGCTGTGGATGGTGGAAATTCCCAGCAGTCCCAACAGGGGCCGTTGCTGTCGGTGCTAAGGGACCAGATGGCTGCTGTGGCTCTGTCTCAGGAGCTGGGCTCTCTGCTTCCCAGCGTGGCCGTGCAGATTGTGCCCGAGGTTGCAAGCCGGTTGTCGTCTCGTGTGACTGCTAGGTTCATCCGGGATGTGTTTCTAGATGCTTAAATCTTGATGTGCTGGTGGTTGTGAAAAAACAGTATGCGTGTGCATGTTTTTCCTGCATTTGTTCTGAACATATCTGTTTTCACCTTAATATATTTGGGCTTCATATCTATGGCTTTAGGGGAGTGGGAGAGCAGTGTGGCATGTAGGGCTGTTGGGGCAAAGCTAAATAGAGAATGTCTTGTTGGGAGTATTATCCACATTTCACAACATTGGCTTCTGTAAGTGTTATGGAATTTCTAGGCTCAGATCGGTTTCAAGTGGTTTCCTCGATAGTGAATTCGAACTTCCGCCGCCGTTACTCACGCCACGAGTGTAAACGACAACACTCACCGCCTTGGATGCTGCTCTTGTATTGCTGATCTGGCGCACGCTTAATGGAATATCCGGATCCTTGGGTTCGGATAAGGCTGCAATTTGCTGATTGAAGGCACATGGTACGCTTTCTCGTGACAGCTCCGACTCCCGTTGGTTCTTAAACCACGTGGTGTGATGTTTAGAAAAGCCTGCTGAGATCAGCTTCCGAATCAGCTGGAACTGCCACGGCAGCATGCTGAGGTGGGCTTTGCGTGTACAAATGAAAGTGCTTGCACAGTTCTTTTCGCTTCTTTGTGCATCGCCTGCGTGAACCTTTTTTCGCGGGTGATCCTGACACACCTTGGATCCTGGAGGGCAAACTGCAATGCTGATTTGTCGTCTGTCAAGTTCTTGGACACACAGACCCGCACGCGCTAGAAGCACATCACCGCAAGCTCCGCATGGCCCCCTTCCATTTCCCCCGCAAACCCCACGATTCCAGGATTCGACCCAGCATCGACGGGGTACAGTATCTCTACGACTCATGAAGGCTGGGCTCCACACGTAAATACGGAGCGAATACATTATTCCTGAGTCACACGGTTGCACAATCTGCCTTGTACAGTACTCGCCAAACAGCATGCCAGACTTTCATGGCAAAACCAAGAGAACGAAATACACAGGGTGCACACCTAAGGCTCAGCTCAATACGTGGCCCAATTAGAAACCATCGCCCATTAGCGTTGGCACACGGGCAACGGCCCACTCAACGTGGGCCGTGAACAGAGCCAACAGTGCAGCGTCATCATGACAGCGGTGACGAACATGCTGCACAAGACGAAAGATGTGCGCCGCAACCGTTTTCGCCACAAACTTCCAGCCCCGCTCAGAATAGCACTCCTGCGAAGCTCAGCGAGCTTTTCCTTGAGCTCGCAGCTCATTCCAGGGGTCGTTCTCAACATCCGACAACCAACCAAGGAACAAACTCGAAAACGAATTCCCACAATCCACGCAGCAGTTATTTTTGCGACACGAACCTTCAATTCATAATGTCATAAATATTTAGAACACGCCCCTAACACTTGGAACTGAAATGCGACTCCAAACCCTCGCCACATTTCACAGAGTATAAAAGGGAGCAAACCAAACCAGAGAAACTCACTCAATATCTCACCCGCCAACTACCACTCTGGTGCTATACCAGAGAAACTCACTCTTGCTCGAAAGCGCTGAAATTTAACACAGGGTAACTAAGTGAACAATGGCTCGCCAAAATATGCCACTCAAACCTACCCCGCAAAACATAAAAACGGTAACCTTCGTGCCCGTGCGAAAGGCCCACATGCCCGTGACGATGCCGTGCGAAACCCCTGCGCGTTTTTGTTTACCGGCACCCTGAAAAGTTGTGTTCCTCTGTCAGGCTCAAGGTGTACTGGAGTTTCCTGCCAAACCAAGTTGGTCGCGCTGATCAGGTATTCGGCCCCGAAAATACTCTCGCTAAGCCTAGGGTATTCGGCCCCGAAAATACTCGTTAGCGTACGGAATTGCCGAACATGACCCGTAGCGTAGGATTCATCGATGAGCTAACATCCTTCAAGGCAAATGGCCTTGGCCAGGGCTAAGAAAAGGCCATCGAAACCCCAGGGACTGTTATTCGCGGATACTACTGTCCATTTGCGAGTGATGCAACGACGATAAGCGCAGCAAAAAAACGGAATCAGGTGGTAAACAGATATTATTTTCGATACATTAAGAGTAATTACCCTGTTTGCCGGAGCCCTGGATCTGGTGACTCCGATCAGGCATCTCCAGCGCAGCACCTCACACACCGCCCCGTCCCGCCTCCGCGATCACGGGAATGTATCTCCCGCACGTCGTTTCTGTTCCGTTCACTCACTTCCCCTCCCCTCCCCCTCACCCCATCATCACCCCCTCGCCGTGATCATTTCCGCACAGCCCCCAACCAGCATGTTTCCTTTTCTCCCCCCTTTCCCTCTTTCCGCGTGCTGTCACGTCACGGCAGCAATGCAGTTCAGTCAGTCAGCCCTCCAGCCCCCGCTACGAAAGACGAAAAGCCGCGGACAAATATCCTTTCCCCCACTGCTGATTACCCCCGCAATTTCCCCCACGTCTTCCGCCTTACCTCCTCTGCGCTGTGTCCGCCTTCCGCCTATGCTTCCCGCATTCCCCTCCACCCACTCCTCCCGCTTCTCCTGGTCACACCAAACCAAACCCTCCTTAACTCCTCCCTTGTCCTTAGGATCCTCCATTATTCTTCTATTTACTACATAGATTCCTCGTTCCGAGCTCACATACTCGCCCAAAACAAGCTTCTTCCGGCGAGTCGTCCCTTCTCCCTCGTGGCCACCTCTGTCGAATCTCCAGCTTTGATTACACAATTTTACACTGACTAATGCTGCTGGTGTAGCATTAGTCTCTCACTCTCAAGCCCGCACCGCTGGCTTTCTACACGAGTCAGCATAGTACGATGCCTGGGGGCCAGGCCGTAACGTTAAATTCCCCTAAAAACCCCTCCATTGGTCCCGGCCGGTTCTCCTCTCTCTGCTCCTCGGACGGGGATAACTGGGCTGATGTCAAGCCCAAGGTATAAACATGCTCAATCTAGTCAACCCCCCATACCCGGGAAAAAAAAAAAAAAAAAAAACCATAAATGCTTATCAAGCCCAGATCACCGTCTTTCTCCGCCCACGTTCCGTCTAAAACTCCAATCGCTTCACTTTTCGTTTTCGATCGATGGCGGTAGATGGACTTGCCTGCTGGATTTAGTTATCAGGCTAATGACATTTTGCACTCTTCCTCCTTTTCGGTATTAGGTCTGCTTTAAACGCACGCATGTGAACGCGACGGACCCTGATGCGACAGATTCGTCGTCGGGCGACGAGAGCTGCGGCACGCACTGGGTCAAGACCTCGCGCGTGAAGATCGAGCCTGAGGTAAGGCCGAGCCTGAAATAAGTTGAATCGTGCATTGCGATAATCAGAGCATCTCGCCGTCGAGCCTTTATAACGAACAGCTATCAGCACATTGAGGTTTTTTTTTTTTTTTTTTTTTTTTTCATTTCCTCGCCCCTGTTTTGCCCCTCACCCCCTCCGCAGGCTGCGGCGCATGCGCACGGTACGCGCGTAGATTCCGGAAGCGAAGGCGCGATGGGAAGCTGCCTTCCCGCTTCCGCCGGAGCCTTTCCATTTTCCACCCCCGCCGGGACCTCCCCCTTTTCTGCCACAGCCTCCCCGTTTTCCGCCGCCGACTCCCGACCCTTCCCCCTTGACCCCGCGCGAGCAATGCAGCCCCCCTTCTTTCCGCCATATCCGTCTCCGTACTTCGCGCCGCACTTGCCGCCGCATTTACCGCCGCATCTGCCGCCGCATCTACCGGCCTGCCCAAAGCAGCTCGCCAAGTGGCAGAAGCAGGCTTCCGTCCCCGTCCCCGTGTCGTCCGCCGCACTTCGTGCCGCCCATCGCGGCGACAATCTCCCCGCTGCGCCTGGCACGATGCCGTTAGGAATGCTGGGGGGTCCCTGCTCCGCATATCCCATGACCGTGAGTTACGGCGCAACTTACGGCGGGTTTTACGGGCCGGCAGAACTGTCAACTGCGGGAGGGAGTTCCGTTAAATCTGCTGCGGCGGCGGCGGCGGTAGGAGGGCGGAACGGAATTCCCGCTCAACCCCACTTGCCCTCCGCCCGTCCCGCCCCTTCCGCTTCCGCCCGTCGTTCCCCTCCGCGTGCTCCCTCCGCTCCTTCCACTCTCTCCCCGCCCTCTCCGCCCTCCCCTGTTTCCGCCGCTTCCCCTCCTTCCGCTTCATCCGCCCGCTCCGCCTTGTCCGCGCCCTCGGCCCCCTCTCCACCCGGCGCTCTCGGGCCCGCAGCCGCCGTGCCTGCGCCACATCCTCCGCCCCCCGCGGCTTCCGCGCGCGCTGTTACAACCTCCGCCGCCGCCCCCGCTGCTGCTCCCGCCGACGCAGCTCCCCCCGTGGGCATGCAGGGTGCGCCTGCCCCCTACCCGGCCCCCGTTTACTGGCGGATGGCTCCGCCGTCGGCGGCCGCTTCCATGCCAATGGGCTATTTGACGGCCATGCCTGGAATGGCCGGCCAATCTGCCGGCCAGCTTGCCGGCCAGTCTCTTGCGACGACGCAGTATGGCGGTTTATACGCGGTAGAGTCTGCTCCGTTTCTTCCGTTTGCGCCGCATGAGGGGGCTTTTGCCTTTGCGCCGATTAGTATGGGCGCGGGGGGGCTGGCGCAGGAGCACGGGGGAGCGGGGATGGCGGGGATGGGGAGTGTACCGCAGATGGGGGGAACGGCAGGGATGGGGGCGATGGGGGGGGTGGGGGGAATGGGGGGGATGGGGGGAATGGGGGGAATGGAGATGGGGGGAATGGGGGGAATGGGGGGGTTGCAAGGGTTTCATGTGGTGCGTAGTATGGAAGATCTGCAGCAGATGCAGAGAATGCAAAGCTTGCATGGGCTGCAAGGGATGCAAGGGATGCAAGGGATGCACAACTTGCAAGGGTTTCAAGATTTTCAAGCCATGCAAGGAATGCAAGGCGTGCAGGGAATGCAAGGGATGCAAGCGTTTCAAGTGATGCCACCGATGCATGGTATGCATGGCATGCAAGCTCTACAGGGCATGCAGGGGATGCCTGGCATGCACCTGATGCAGGGGATGCAGGGGATGGCAGGGATGCCAGGCATGCATGGGATGGCAGGGATGCCAGGCATGCATGGGATGCAGGGGAAGGAGAGGCACGGGAAGCTGAAGAGGGGCGAGGGAAAGGATAAGGCAGTGCACCGATACCGAGGCGTCAGGCAGCGACCGTGGGGCAAGGTGAGCTGATTGATCTGTCAAAATGGGCAAATAATTTCAAAAAGGAAGTGAACAACTTTTCTCTTACAACCTCTTTCCTTAAACCCTTTCCTGGTGTCCCGTAAACCCTTGCCTTACACCCTTTTACCCTTCTCTCTATTACCCCCCCTCCTCCACTGTCACAGTGGGCGGCTGAGATTCGGGATCCAGCGAGGGGCGTGCGGCTGTGGCTGGGGACGTACGACACTGCAGAGGATGCCGCTAGGGCGTATGATGCTGCTGCAAGAACCATAAGAGGCCCTGACGCCCAGACAAACTTTGCCGACCCAAACCCTCCAGCGGCTGGTGATGCTGCTGGTATGGGTTCTGCTGGTGCTTGTGATGGTGGTGCTGCTGGCTCTGCTGCTGGTGGCAGTGCTCTTGGCACCGGCAGCATGGCTACCGCTGCTGCTGCTGCCGGTCCTGCTGCTACAGCTGCTGCTGGTGAGGCGGCTGGCGCTGCTACAGCTGGTGCTACAGCCGGCTGTGTCAACGGTGTCTCGCCTTTCCTGCGCACCAAGAGGAACAGCAAGGCGCACAAGTACATGCAGGAGTACTGCAGCGACACTGAGAGGTGAGCTGCGCCCAGAATCCGATTTGCGACACCTGCTGCTGCCTTTCTACACCACCTGAGCCTTCTCATCCCCTTGTGGACATGCCGTAGTTTATATATATATATATAATTTTTTTTTCCTCTCTGTGCTGCTCTTTCAACTCCATTTCTAACTTAGATCCTCCCTCCTGTGTGCTGTCTTGCAGTTTCGCGAGTGAAGTGGCTTCGGAGCTGTCAGATTGCAACAAGCTGCTGTCTTCAGGTGCTCCAGGTGCTTCAGGTGCTTCAGGTGCCATCCCTGCATCAGGTGTCATTCCCACCGTCACAAGCACAACCTGCACAACCACCCACCCTGCTCCTGCTACTGCCGCCGCCACCGTCGCTGCTGCTGCGGCTGCTGCTGCTGCTGCCAGTCCAGCATCCCAAGTGCTTCCACATCCGGAGAAGATTGAGAAGGCAGAGAGAGCAGAGGGTAATGGTAACGGCAACGGTAACATTGATGTGCTCATTGATCTGCCAGCTGATTTCACCGACATGTCAGCATGCCTGCTGTTTCCAAGCTCTGGTCCTGATGCCTCTGCTTCAGGTGCTGCTGCTGCTGCTGCTCCAGGGTCTGCCACTGTTCTTGGAGTTCCCGCTGCTTATGGCGAAACTGCATTTGCTCATGAGCAGTGTGCGTCGACGATGCTGACTAAGGTGGAGCAGTGTCAAGAGAACGATGTGGATGCCGGCCTGTGGACTCTGGACATGCCGTTGTATCTAGAAACAGGTGATGATGGCATGGACAGCATTTTATGGTAGTGGCGTCTCACTTCGTTGTATCATATTGACATAAAAGAGCTACCTTATTGACCATCTCTGGAGAAGGGCGTTACAATGCGATTTTTCATTGCCAAGCCTTGGTACTTTTTTTTCTACCTGTAGGTGTATGGTTTTCCCGATAACTGTTGTGATCCATTATCGCGTACAAGGATCAGTGGGTTGGCTTGTGTTGTGGGCAATTGCTCGCCTCGCCACTATCTCTGTGTGATCACCAACTGGCCGACCAATATGACGTGGGCCTGCTGACAACAGCAGGTGGCCCTCGCTGATGGAGCTGACCCCCAGGAACTGGAAGGAACGATTCTACAGTACCATTGACCATCACCGCTCCGTCTGTTTCTTTCCCATACTACGCCAGTCTGCAGGAAATCTGGGCCGTCAAGTTTCTTTCCCCGAGCCCCACCCCAGGCATCGTATGGTTCCCATCAGGCGGGACGGAATTCCTTCTGCCCCTCACTTCGGTTCGGACCTAGGAAACCCCGCAGCACTGGTTGGTCAGGGCAAGTCCCCAGCCGCCAGTTCCCCGATCCCTGCAACTAGCCCCATCGCGGATCCCCCCCACCAAGTGCCACCTTGGGTCCGCCGACCGCTCAAGGGCTCCGCAACCTGTAGTACACTACTACTGGTCTGGCCCGAGGGATGATGGGGTGGGTTCTCTCCGCCAAGCAAAATCTGCGTCGCTGTCCGCCAGGCAAAACCTGCATCCCTGTCCGTCAGTCAGAGCTCTTGGTCAGCAGGAGGGAACCTCCCATCGTTCGAGTTGTCCACACTCCTCCAAGCCGTTTCCTAGGTTTCGTCAGCTGAGCAGCTGTTGTTGCTGATTGGACAAGGGATTTATTCTAGAAGAGCATTGTTGGGCTTCATTGTTTGACTTTTCTCTCGTCGTTGGCTTGTGGTCCCCTCCCTTCTCCTTCATGGTGCCCAATTGATTAGGGTTTCCGTGTAGTCGGGAGGGATCAGTGGGGGTGTGTCATCTCTGGTGTTCTTTAGGTTCGGTGGTCTTTAGTCTTGGGAATTTAGTCACCTAACCCTAACCCATTTCCAGCCGTAAGTACAACTCTTGTTGACACGTCGATGCTACGTTCGCACACGCCGTAACGCGAAGTCGTTAGCGTCGCGAAACCTCCGTGTCGCTCGTTATCATTGTACACGATGCCTACGGTCACAACCCACAGCCAATCGAGGACCCTAAAATCGCGTATGTAGGACGGAGTGCTTCCCAATCACGGTCGCCCATGGCTATGGTAGAATCCGGTAGAATGCCCTCTTCCGATCACGGATCTCCCACTTTTGAGGCGCCTCAAAAGTAGTCTTCCCATTTACGGTTGCCCATGGCTATGGTAACATCCGGTAGAATGCCGTCTTCCGATCGCGCTTCGGTTCCTGTTCCGTGGACCTCGCGCTCGTCCGCTTCAGGTAACGGCGGGTAACTAGTCGCGAGCTTTCTGGTCAATTCCCCCTGGTTATCCTGGTTAGGGTTTGAAGTCCACGGAGCCCGTCGTTAGGACCTCGCGCTCTTCCGCTTCAGGTAACGGCGGGTAACTAGTCGGGAGCTTTCTGGTCAATTCCCCCTGGTCATCCTGGTTAGGGTTTGAAGTCCACGGAGTCCGTCGTTAGGACCTCGCGCTCTTCCGCTTCAGGTAACGGCGGGTTACTAGTCGGGAGCTTTCTGGTCAATTCCCCCTGGTCATCCTGGTTAGGGTTTGAAGCGGTAGTGAGAAGTCCACGGAGCCCGTCGTTAGGACCTCGCGCTCTTCCGCTTCAGGTACCGAAGGGTAACCAGTCTTAAGGTTTCGGGATGGCTTGCATACGGGTCGGGGTTTGAAGCAGTTTATTGTTGCTCGAGTGTGAGTTTCTATAGGTTTCGCTTGCATTTGCATTGTCTTAGCTACCCGCAGTACTTCCAAAGCTGCCGTTTTGACAGTTATATTTTGGTTATTACAGATCCCGTTGATTTGCTTTGAGGCGCCTCAAAACTATTTTGGTTATTACAAATCTCGTGGATTTGTCCTTTTCCCTTTCAGGACCACTCCCCGGTGCGATGCTCCCATCTGCCGCACCTCGACCGACCCAACAGCGTTCTTATAGCGAGGGAGTTCCGCCGCACTGCCTCGTTGACAGGCCACCCGCCGTCCGCGGAATCCCGGAGCTCTCCACGTCTCCTTCCTTTGAGGTTGGTAGCAGTCTCACCCTTCCGACACGCTTTAATTCACCAAGCAACCACTTTTCGACAAACGATGACTTTTCATCGTTTGACGTTTGACGTTTGTCGTTTGACGTTTGACGTTTGTCGTTTGACGTTTGTCGTTTGTCGTTTGACGTTTGTCGTTTGACGTTTGTCGTTCGTCGTTTGACGTTTGACGTTTGTCGTTTGTCTCGGACTTCTCATCGTTTGTCTCGGCTCGGACCGAGTAGCCTTCGCGATGAAGAGCTTCAACTTTGGCTATCACTCCCGGAAAATTTCCGTTTTGTCGACGTAGTGGGGATGAGCTTTCGGAAGCATCAGTCTCGTCCGCAGTTATTCTTCCTCCCATTCTCATCAACTTATATTGTCCCTCTTCTCCTATCCTCTCTCTCATTCCCACCCATCTGCAGGAGGCGTCTCTCCTCATAGGCGAGGCTATGCCCTTCGATCGCCCGGGCTGGCACCCCCGCGCCCGCGGTTCCTCCGCAGCCGTCCGCGCTCTAGGCTCCTCCGCATCCGTTCCCGAGCTCGCCACTTGGAATCCTGAGGCTCCTGGGGTTCAGGATGTCGGCGCGAATGCTGCTTCCCACGCTCGGTTTGCCTCGTACGCACTCGATCCGTCTAATCAAGACTCGGCTCCCGCCCGAACCAGGCCAGGCTCGGGCCGGACCTGGAGCCTCATGGAGGAGGTGGAAGGCTCGGAGGACGACCCGGAACACGTGTCAGGCGATGGTGGCTCGTGGGATGGCGGGCGGCGAGCGCTTGCATGGTACGGTGGCAGATTACCCACGGAATTTAGTGAGGGTAGGGCTAGAAGCGGAGGAGCGGTGGGGTATGGAGGTATGGAGTACGGTGGGAGGAGCAGCAGCTGCAGTCAGTTGCCTGGGGTGGAGGAATCTAGTCCCTTAGATAGCCACAACAAGAGCAGCAATGCCCATTTTGGGCATACTGGATTCGTGTTCACGGCTATTCGGCCTGACGCGCACGCAGGGGAGCGCGCAGGGACAGGGCCGCGGGCGGGACAAGCGAGCAGAGAGCACAGGAGGCAGATAGGGGGATCGAGTCCCACCAGCTCGGTGGAAGGGGCAGGGGGAGCAGCGCAGGGAGGGCGGGGGGGAATGAGAGAGGGGGGCGGATTAGGGCGGGGGGCGGGCGAAGCGTGGTCGCTGCCGCTGCGGTGGGCGGGAGACAGGTTCTTGGAGACGGTTAGTGAGCATGGGAGCTTCGTGCATAGGGCGTCGGACTGTGAGGCGGTTGCTGAAGCGGCTGGCGCCAAGGCTGCTGCTGACGCTAAGGGCGGCAACGCTGAGGCTGCGAGGCCTTGGTTCAATGGGGCATCTGGAGGGACGTTTCCAGAAATTGATGCAGGGATGCGTGGAGGGCAGTTCTCGGCCCATCCTGTGTTAGAGCAGCAACGCTGGGCGTTCTCGGATTCGGAGATGGGGTGGGGGGAAGCAGGTGGAGGTACACTACAGGGAGGGGGAACGGCTGGTGGCGGGAGGGGGGAGGGCGGGGCTCATGAGAGGGATGAGGGGGCGGACGTGGAATTCGCTGATTGGCTGATGGTTCCTGGTGACGGGGAAGAGGAGGTTTCAGGCGATTTGTCAGGAGATGGCAACAATGAGCGTATGGCAGACGGTCATAGACAGGGGGTTATAGTGGGTGATGCTGGTGTTTGTGACGGTGCTGCTTATAGCGAAGCACAAGCTGGGCAGGGGTGCGCTGACAGCTGCGGTTTGCCCAGCGACCAAGGGAAACAGGGGGTAGACTGCCTAGCAGAGGGGATGCGAGGGCGCGGAGAAGGCTCTATTGCGCAGGGTGGGGAAGCTTGTATGGGGGATGGAGGGCCGGCACAGGAGGGCGAGGGGGCGTTGGGACATGAGGGGAATGGAACGGTGGAGCACGGTGGGGAGGAGCTGGACGTGGTGTCGGAGTGCCTCAGCCTGCCCGACGACCTTGCCTGGTGTTCCTGGCCGGGCTGTGAAGACATGGCCACTGCTCATGCCGTGGACACTGTTCATGCCGTGGACACTGTTCATGACCCCATGCACGGCCCAGCAAAGGAATCCATGCATGGCGGTTTGGAAGCAGCAGCAGAAGCAGGAGGAGCGTCTGCTGCAGAAGCTGACGCTGCGGGTTCAGCTGCTGCTGCTGCTGCTGCTGCGGCTGTCACTGGGGTAGCAGCAGCAGCAGCACGCAGAGGGGCAGGCCCGTTGTGCCGCGGGCACCAGGCGCTGACGTCAGACAAGCGTGTACGGGGCGGCTGCCTCATGAGCGTGCTACAGGCGGGCGTGGCGGTGGATTTTGCTCACACAGGCCACGTGGATGCGGATGTAGCAGGGATGTGGCCATCAGGCACGGATGTAGCACGAATTGGTCAACCAGGAGCGGATTCACTGGGTATGAGCCACGGAGGGGGCGAGAGCGGGGCAATAAGCACCGACAATGTGAATGGGGAGGACAGGGAGGAGGAGGAGGAGGAGGAGGAGGGGGAGGATGATGATGATGATGATGGCATTGATGCTGCCTTGGAGCTTAACACAGATGCTGATTTCGGGGCCTTCCCTACTCCCTTCCCATCCGGCCCGTTTGCCAGTAGTCCTTTTCTTGGCGGGTTCGGGCACCCCGGCGGTGGGCATGTGCTATTTGACGAGCCACCCTTTGACCTGGATTTAGCGGCCTTCTGGGGCTTCGGATCGGCGCCTGAGGATGTGCGAGGGTTGACTGCAGGGGGCGTTTTAGGAGCGGAGGGAGCAGCCGAGGGCGCAGCAGATGGGCCAGCAGACGGCGCAGCAGCAGGGACTGGAGGGGAAACCGCGGGGGGCGAGAGTTTAAGTGCTGCAGGGGAGGCGGACGCAGAGGGAAGCATAAGAGGGACAGCTGAAGGGGACGTGGCAGCTGAGGGGGAAAGGGAAGGGGAAGGAGAGAACGAGGAGGGACAAGAGGGAGCGGAAGCAGGGGCGGGAATGGAGGGGGCAGCAGAAGAGGCAATGGACTGCGACATGATGTTCATGGCATGGGGCATGCCGCACATGCCCCCCACCCACCAGCCAAGGGCTCCAGTGAAACAGGCCAAGCAGCAGTGCAAGGCCCAGCAGGCGCAGGTCAAACCAGCGCAGGCCCAGGCGAGGGCCCCGCAGGTGGAACTTCAGGTGCCAGCTCAGGTGTCGGATCCAGCACCAGGGTCTGTCGCTGCGGCTGCTGATGCTTCTGGTGTAGGTGCTGCCGCTGTGGCGGCTGCTGGTGGGGGTGCTAACCGTGTACCCTCTTCACATGCCTCTATGAAACAGCCGTTGAAGCAGGAAGGGCCATCGCTGGCTAGGGCCCAGGATGGGCTAGGAAAGCCAAGCTGGCCCGCTGCTCAAGGTACAGTCTCCTATTTCACCTCCCCTTAATCTCCCTCCTTCCCTATGCATATCTCTCCCCTGAACCTGTTGCTTGCCAGTAACGGTTTCATATCTCTCCCCTGAACCTGTTGCTTGCCAGTAACGGTTTCATATCTCTCCCCTGAACCTGTTGCTTGCCAGTAACGGTTTCATATCTCTCCCCTGAACCTGTTGCTTGCCAGTAACGGTTTCATATCTCTCCCCTGAACCTGTTGCTTGCCAGTAACTGTTTCATATCTCTCCCCTGAACCTGTTGCTTGCCAGTAACGGTTTCATATCTCTCCCCTGAACCTGTTGCTTGCCAGTAACGGTTTCATATCTCTCCCCTGAACCTGTTGCTTGCCAGTAACTGTTTCATATCTCTCCCCTGAACCTGTTGCTTGCCAGTAACGGTTTCATATCTCTCCCCTGAACCTGTTGCTTGCCAGTAACGGTTTCATATCTCTCCCCTGAACCTGTTGCTTGCCAGTAACGGTTTCCTTGCCCTTTCCAATCGATTCCCTTTCTTTTACCACGTATTATCTCTTTCTACTCATCCCTTGCTGGTCTCCATTCCTCACTTCCCTTCTCGCCCGCCTCCCCTCTGCGCGTCCCGCCCTTGCCTCCATCTCTCCCCCTACCCTCTTGCCATTGCCATTGCCATGTCAGATATCTCAGCGCGAAAGAGATCGGCCATGTCTGTCTCTGCCGTCTCTGATCGTCGTCCCTCTACCAGCAGCCCAATGCCCTCCCCGTCAGACTATTGTCACACTCCCCCTCTCCCCACCCACTCCTTGGGTTCCCTCCCCTCCCATTCCCTCACCCCCTCGCGCACCTCCCACCCCGTGCACCGCTCTACATCCGCCTCCACCGCCCCAAACCCTCCCGCACCACTCTCAGCAGCACTTACTACCAGCGGCCCTTTGAAAAGAACCGCTACACACGCAGGCCGATCCGCTGCCCGCGCTATACCCTCTAAGAGGCTCTCCGGGTCTCGATACAAGGCCCAGGGAGGTTCAGCTGCGTTTGTTGCGCCTGGGAACCCGTTTGGCGCGTCCCCGTCCCCACCGTCCAGCGTGTTCTCCCATCTGTCCACGTCAGCACCCCCTGCTTCGGCTTTCCCTCCCCACACTCCCCACACTCCTCACACTCCGCACATGTATGGTATGACGTCGCTAGCACATGCATCCCGGATGCACGACCCCATGGGGTTGACTGGGGAGCGCATGGGTATGGGCAGTGAGGGCATGAGTGGCATGGGTGGCGTCAGTTCCACCCATCATGGGCCCTATGGCGCTGCTGCTGCTGCTGCTGCCTCTACTGCTGGTCGATATGCGTCTGCTGGTGCAGCAGCAGCTGGTGCTGCTGCTGCTGCTGCTGCTGGGTATCATGTGCATGGGGCAGTCCACAGACATCCCCAAGCGATGCCTGCCATGCATGGCGGTATGGGTGCCATATATTTCACCTCCAGCCATCATGCACCATCACATCCATCACATCCATCGCATCCATCACATCCCCATGCGCCGTCCAGCCTCCAGTCCTCATCCAGCTTCCACGGTGTGTCGTTTCTCGCGCACTCCCCCCCCTCCATGGCCCATTCCATCCTCTCCCACTCGCCGCCCACGCCACACCCCTTCCACTACCATCCCAGCCATTCCCTGCCGTCTTTATACCAGGCAAACCCCCAAGGTATGCTACAGGAAAAAGGTAGGCGGATTCGCCTCCGTACCGATCCAGCTGCCACTATTGGATTTGCTTATAAAGGGGCTGTCTCGGCGCCGGGGACTGCTGCTCCCGAGGCAGCTGCGGGAGGTTCGGCAGCAGCTACCGTGGCTGCTGCTGCAGGTTCGGTGGTCGATGGGCTAGGTCCCAAGGGGCTTGGCACTCGCATAAACTCGTCTGCTAGTATTTCCACTGCAGGTGCCTCCTTGCCTAGGGACAAGGAGGAAGGTAGAACCGGTGAAGGTGTTACAGGGGAAGGTAGAACAGGGGAAGGTGTCGCAGAGACTGCAGCAGCACCGTGCGATTCGCCCCGTATTCCACCCATGGTGCTGGTTCCACCGTCCATGCGCAGTGACGAAGAAGCTTGTATGGGGGATGGGTCTGGAGCGGCAGGGAAGAGTGAAGGCAGTAGACCTGTAGCTCAGATCAGCTCGCGTGGTGCTGTTGGTGGTGCTGGTGCTCCTGGTGGTGGAGGTGCTCGTGGTGGTGCTGGTGCTCGTGGTGGTGGAGGTGCTCGTGATGGTGCTGGTGCTCGTGGTGATGGAGGTGCTCGTGGTGGTGGAGGTGCTCGTGGTGGTGGAGGTGCTCCTGGTGGTGCTGTGAGTATGCAGGTGGAGGAAGGGATGGAGAGGGGGAAGGGGAACCAAGGAGCAGGACAAGGGGCAGCAGCAGCAGCAACAGCAGCAGGTGGTGCTGCTGCTGCTGGTGAGGTTGGTGCTGCTGTCACTGGGGGCGCTGCTGCTGCTGGTAGTGCTGCTGGTGGTGCTGCTGTTGGCAGCAGCAGTGGAGACGGCAGCACTGCTGCTGCTGCAGCAGCAAGCAGCGCAGCAGGTCAAGGGGCTGGCAGTGGTGGCAGCAGCAGCAACAGCAGCAGCGGCAGCCAAAGAAAAGGACCCCCAACCCCAACACTTTACCCCATAAAGGCTTCCCCAATACCAGTGCCGGTCCCAGGGAAGAAAGCGCAGGGCAGAGGAGTAGCAGCAGCGCGCTTGATACAGCAGCAGGAGCAGCAGCAGCAGGAGAAGGCAAGGCAGCACATGGCAGCATCAGCCCCAGCAGCAGCACCCTCAATGATGGTCCACTCATCCTCCTTTTCCCCTAGTCCCTCCTCTCCTCTCACTTACGAGCAAGGTCTTTATGGCGTCCCACCTCCTGTTGGTATGGCGCCTGGAGCAGGGTTCGCCCCAGGATCTTTAGGAACAGCAGGAGCCATGTCAGGTCGTTTTCCAGGTGGTCAGCCAGGTGTTTTTCCAAGTGGGTTTTTCCATGGGAGAATGCTGGCCTCTGTTGCGGCACCTGATCGCATGCACCTGCTGATGGCTGGTGGGCCTGGAGCAGTGCGCCAGATTACGCCTGGTATGGGTCAGGTGCCTGCAACAATGGCTCAGGTGCCTGCAACAATGGTTCAGGTGCCAGGTGGCACGATGTTTGCTGCAGCATCAGGTGGAATGATAGCTGGAGTTTCACCTGGCAGCACACATTATCTGCACCACCCACACCACGTGCACCACCGCATGGGGCTTGCATCTGGAGCTGCAGCAGCAGGAGGAGGAGCAGGAGGAAGGGTTGCCATGTATGGCATGGCGGGGAGCAGCATTAGCATGAGCGGTGGAGCAGCAGCCGTTGGAGTTGCAGGATCAGGGGGACTAGCAGGGGCCACAGGAACAGGAGGCATGGGAGGAGGCGCAGGGGGGGCAGCAGGAGGAGTGGGAGGGGGAGTGGGGCCAGGGGGCGTGAATGCGGAGCTGATAGTGAAGAGGAAGAGGGGGCGCCAGAAGAAGGTGCCGTCTAAGATCGGCCCCTGCGGCGCCACCACCAACCTACGCCCCCTCGCCCCGAGAAATTCTGCTGCTGCCGCCGCTGGTGGTTCTACTGCTGCTGCTGCTGGCGCTGGTGCTGCTGGTACTGCTGGTACTGCTGGTGCTGCTGGTGGTGGCGGTGGTAATGCTGCCGCTGCTGCTGCTGCTGCTGCTGCTGCTGCTGGTAGCAGTGCCGCAACCGCTGCTCTCATGTCCGGTGCCGCTTTAGGCACAGCACAGCCAACTCCGGTCCCTCTCGTCCGGGTGGCACCCCACCCCCAGCCCTCGTTTCTGGCACCCTTGCCAGGCGCGCACCTGTACCCCATGCCCACACACCCTTCCATCCTTTTCAACGGGGGCATCATGGGGGTAGGCAGCGCTGCTGCACTTCCCCCCACCGTCCCTTTCCCTTTTCGACCTGGAGGGAGGGGGGGAGGGAGTGTGATGGGGAATGGTGGTGGGGGAATGTAAGGAGGGTGGGCGAGGGTGGGAATGTTTTGAGACGTCTCAAAACTAGTGTGGCGGGGAGTGGTGGTGGGGGGGTGTAAGGAGGGCGTGTGAGGGTGGGAATGCCAGGGCAAGGCAAGGTTGAACCAGTGGTTTGGGAAGAAGGAGGACGGGGGGGAAGGGATGGATGGCTGTAGCATCAGGTTCGGGTTGTAGCAGCAGGGTCAGTTGCTGTAGCAGGGGCTACTGGGGCTGTAGCAGGTGATTCTGGGGCTGCAGCAGGCAGATCTGGGACTGTAGCTGGGGGGTTTCCAGCTGTAGCAGCAGGGTCAGCTGCTGTAGCAGCGGCTGCTGGGGCTGTAGCAGGTGCTTCTGGTGCTGCAACGGGCAAATCGGCTGGGGGGTTTCCAGCTGTGTCGGCAGGGGCACGGGCTGGTCGGGTGCAGGGAAACATGGGCTTCACATATGCTGGTGGATGGACAATGATTCACTTCATCCGACACTCGCCTTTCCCGTTCTACCCTCCCTCCTGTCATCTCACCCTCCCCCCCCTCTCCCCTCCGCGCTTTCTCTCCACTTCGTTTCCCCTCCCTCTCTCCCTCTCCCTTCCCGCTCCTCCCCGTCCCTTCCTTTGTATTTGGGCGATGTTACCATGTTACTACCATGGTTCGACCTGGCCTTCTGTCCTCCACCTGAGGCTGAAGGTTACCACCTTAGTATAGGATCCTGCCTGCCGTATGATATGGCATTGGCAGCCCTTCGCGGGATACTGGAGACCTATTAGAGTCTTGCAAGGGGCCTACCCTATAGTGGTTACTATGCCTGGTTAGTAGAGGCCTAGTATATTCTTCTCTTTCTCCCACTTGTTTGTTTCACCTCGATTGGGTGAGAGAGGGGGAGGGAGGGAGGGGGGGGGGGGCAGCCTGTGCATATGTTTAAAATGTTCATTTGCTTGATTGTGTTACCCTGTGTAAATATTCCCCATTGGGATTATTATGGGATATGTTAAAAAATTGAAGGGTTGCTTGCTTCAACATGTCTTGGAGGGGGGTACACTATGGAGGGTTTTGGTGGAATGTTTACTTCCCTCATCCAGGCGTGGTTGCTTGGTTGGAGAGAAGAGGATAACCTGATCAAGACAAGACTCTTCAAGGAGTCTGCAGAGCAGTTGTCATATTGTACGATAATAAACTTTTCTTTGTGTGTTCACTTGCAAAAGCGAGCTTCTTGTGTGACCTTGTGCTTATGTCAGGTGGTTGAATCACGGTGGTGGATATGGATACCCCCTACACAGAGCAAATGGGTTAGGCGTCTGTAATTAATTTTTGCAGAACAGGAGGCGTCTCGAAGTGTACATTGTTGAGAGTAATGTTGAAGTCTTTACTGTAGACCTTCGAAACACGCCGTACGGTCTCCTGCAGAAGAGGCAGAGGGGTAGATTGCAGACAGGAAAAGGTTTAGACGTCGGTGAGCAGTTTTTGCGGGACAGGAGCCATCTCAAAGTGCACATTGTTGAGCGTTGGAGAAGAAGAGCGAGAAGGAAAGATATAGTTGAGTGTACCAGTCCCAATAATGTGAAATGGTGTGAGAGCAGCAATGGAGACGTGATGAGACCAGTCATAAAGAGGATGCATTGTGGAATGACGGCAACAGGAGGGTTTGGTTTTGACGCGCCAAGCAGCAATGGAGATGTAAAGTAAGCAGTGATGACGAGGATGCCTTGTGGAATGAGTATGCTTTCGAGTCGACTCAAAAGCAAACGGTGTGAGAGCAGCAACGGAGATGGAAGCAGTGATGACGAGCAAGGTGCATTGCGTGAGCAGGAACGGTGGAACGGTGAGGAGGCGCCTCTACAATAGACTCCTTGTAGGCGCCTCTGCGGTGAGAGCAGCAATGGAGATGATGAGGATACCTTGTGGAATGAAGGCAACAGGTGGGTTTGCGACAACAGCATGCAAGCCACAGGGCTAAGAGTGAGAGAAACGTGCAAGGTTGGGAGCCAGGGAAGTTAGGTGGCAGCGCAGTGAGACATCCATATGAAGCAACCCATGTATCATTGCATATCACATATCCCATGTCGCATATTGCATAAAACATGTCTTGCGTATCACACACTGCATACCCCATACCACACATCCCATATCAGACCATTGCGTGCCCGTGTCACCTACCACAAAAGCCAGTACCAGACGTCGCATATCACAAATCGCATATCGCATATTGCGAACTGCATACTACAAACCACGCACCGCATGTCGCACTTCGCATATGACATAGAACATTTCAGAATATAACGAAAAGATAATCACGTACCGAGTCGTAGAGCCGGGCGAGCTTGAGGTCTGTCCCCGTGGCATGCGCCTCCTTGCCAAACTTAAACAGGTGTATATTGGAGTGGTTGTAACGCGCGGTTACCCGCCTCACCCCCTCCTCCAGGCGCTCAAAGCGGCCCACATAGTCGTACTGTATCCGGTCCAGAGCACACAGGTCCACTTGAGGGGTGATGTGCCGGTCCAGGGGCTTCTGCCCCCTTATAAGGTGCTCCACTAAGCGCATGAAGTCGTGGAATGACACGAGCTGCGTGACTGGGTCTTTGAGCAGGTCCAGGAAGGGCTGGATGGTGCCAAAAAGTTCCTGATGGGGGCAGATGGGGGGAGAGAAGGGAGAGGAAGCGAGGGGAAGGAAGGGAGAAAGGAGGGTATCGAGTAGGCCCAAGAAGGGCTGGATGGTGCCGAATAGCTCCTGTTGGGCGTGTAGGAGGAAGGGGGGGGGAGGGAAAAGGAGTGGAAGGAAATCGGCATCAGAGGAGAAAGGAGGGATTAGGGGATTTTGAGTCTAAGAAGGGCTGGATGGTGCCGAATAGCTCCTGATGGGGGGCGCGGGTAGAGGGAAAACAAAGGAAGGAAAGGGAAGGGAAGGGAGGGGAGGGGAAAGGAAGGGAGGGCAAAGAGGTGGAGGACAGAGAAAGGTCTTTAAGCAGCCCTAAGAAGGGCTGGAAGGTGCCGAATAGCTCCTGATGGGGGGGGGTTGTGGGGGGTGGGGGGAAGAGGGGAGGGAAAGAAGAGAAGACCAAAGAGGGGCTGGGCTCACCCCTTCCTCCAGCCTATCAAAGCACCCTCAGTCTCGTGGCAATTCTTGAGAACGGGTTGTGCACAAACGTGACCTTGAACAGCCCGCACTGTGTCATTGCCCGCGTGGCCTCGCGCTCGGTGAACTTCTGGGAAAGATCCCCCAGGCCATGTGGCCTCCACCCCACCCACGCACCTACCTTGCTGTTTGCTCCCCTCCCGCCGATAGAACCCCCTCCCTCCCACGCACCCACCTGATTCCAAAACTCTCTCGTGCCCCACTTTTTAGAATTCTCATAAATGACTCCACCCACGCACCCGCCTTACTGTTTGCTCCCCTCCCTCCCTCCCTCCCTCCCTCCCACCCACCCACCTGATTCCAGAACTCTCTCGTGCCCCACCCCTTGGTCAGGTCTGGCGCATCAGTAACCACCAGCTTGTTTAGGTACGTAGACACGATTCTCGAGAACGGGTCCCGCACGAACGTGAACTTGAACAGCCCACGCCTCCCACTCCCATTCCGTCCACCCACCCACTGACCCTACCCCCCACTGACCCTACCACCCACTGACCCTACCACCCACTGACCCTACCACCCACCTGGTTCCAGAACTCTCTTGACCCACACCCCTTGGACCGGTCCGGCACGTCCGTGACAACCAGCTTGTTAAGATAGGTAGCCAGTACGTAGACTCTATCCTCGTTTTGAGGCGCCTCAAAACTAGATAGGTAGACACGATAAGTAGCCGGTACGTAGACTCTATCCTCGAGACCGGGTTGCACACGAACGTGCGCTTGAACAGCCCGCGCCTCCCACTCCCCACTCCCTCCACCCACCCCTACCACCCACCCTCCCATGCACCCACCTGATTCCAGAATTCGCGGGTCCCCCACCCCTTGGTCCGGTCCGGCGCATCGGTAACCACAAGCTTGTTTAGGTACGTAGACACAATTCTCGAGAACGGGTTCCGCACGAAGGTGAACTTGAACAGTCCGCGCCGCGTCATCGCCCGCGTGGCCTCCCGCTCGGAGAACTTCTGGGAGAGGTCCCCCAGCCCGCTGGCCTCGTAGCTGTGCGCGAGCAGATGGTCCTCTGGCTTGGGGAGGTTGAGCATGGCCCGCAGCCACATGCGCCAGCTGGTGCACGCCACCTTGGGCAGGCCGCAATAAGCCAGGTTGAGGGATGCTGTTGATAGGGATAGTGGGAGATGAGGATAGAAAGGAAGGGTCGTTGGGTGTGCTCGAGCAAATGGTCCTCTGGCTTAGGGAGGTTGAGCATGGCCCGCAGCCACATGCGCCAGCTGGTGCAGTCCACCTTGGGGAGACCGCAGTAGGGTAGATGGAGGGATGCTGCAGAGGGGGGGGGTGATGGGGAAAGGGGGTACAGGGGAGGGGAATGAGCTCTGGGCAGGGGCACGTTGAGCATTACCCTCAGGCACAAGCCGCCGACTTGTGCAGGCGAATTTAGGAAGACACTTTTGAGTCAACTCAAAAGTCACGACTTTAGGAAGACCACAGTAAGGCAGGTTGAGTTGAGGGATGCTACAGTGAAGGGGGTGGGTGGGAAAGGGGGTAGTAGAGATGGGAGGGTGGTTGTGTGAGCAAGAACATGCATGCATGCATACATGGCATGGCATGGCATGGCATGGCATGGCACATGACAGCATGGCACTTATGCTCAACCACAAAGAACTTGGCAAAAAGGTTGCCGGGGGATGGGAGGGAGGGAGTGGGGAAGACTGGCATACGGGCGGGGGCACTTGGAAAGGAGGCAAATGCAACCACTGTTCATGTGACAACACTCACGATGTGAGACTTCTCAAGGCAACACTTACGCTCGACCACAAAGAACTTGGCATCGAGTTGGCGAGGGATGGGGGGGAGAGGGGGCGACTGGCAGACGGACGGCGGCACTCTGAAGGAAGGGTTGAGGGCGAGCCCCCGGGCTGGCATGGCACAGCAGAGCACGACACTCACGAGGAATACACAAAGAGCAAAACACTCACGTTCGACCACAAAGAACTTGGCGAAGAGTTGGCGAGGGATGGGAGGAAGTGGGGGCGACTGGCAGATGGGCAGGGGCACTCTGAAGGAAGGGTTGAGGGCGAGCCCCCGGGCTCGAATGAAGTCTGCTGTTGGTGACGGGTGCATGTGCAGCATGGCCTGGGCTTGAGAGAGGATCAGCAGCTCGGCGAACTGGCATGGGGAGAGGGCAGGGAGAGGGGAGAGGGGAGAGGGGAGAAGGGGAGAAGGAGAGGGCAAAGGAGGAGCAGAGGGGATGATGAAGTTCGCTGTTGGCGACGGGTGCATGTGCAGCATGGCCTGGGCTTGAGAGAGGATCAGCAGCTCGGCGAACTGGCGTGGGAGGGGTGTACGGAGGGGGCATAAGGAGAGGAGAGGGGTTGCTGGAGAGAGCACTGGCTCGAATGAAGTCGGCTCTTGGCGACGGGTGCATGTGCACCATGGCCTGGGCTCTTGGCGACGGGTGGATGTGCACCATGGCCTGGGCTTGAGAAGTCTATTTTTGAGGCGCCTGAAAAATAGACTTCTCACGCATGTGCAGCATGGCATGGGCTCGAGAAAGTATCAATAGCTCTGCAAAGTAGGGTGAAGGGGGGTCGGGAAAAGGGTATAGGAACCGGTTTGGGAGAGGCGAGGAGATTTTTGGAGTTCTCAAGTCGTAGGTGATTCTTGAGAATTCTTTTAAAAACCTTTTTGAGAATTTTCTGAATTTACCAACCTTTTTCAACATTGAAGAGAATCAGGAGCTCTGCAAACTGCATTGGGTTGGGAGAGGTGAGGAAGAGGAGGAGGAGGAGGAGGAGGAGGAGGAGGAGGAGGAGGAGGAGGAGGAGGAGGAGGAGGAGGAGGAGGAGGAGGAGGAGGAGGAGGAGGAGGAGGAGGAGGAGGAGGAGGAGGAGGAGGAGGAGGAGGAGGACAAATAGAGGGGAGAGTTGAGAAGGAAGAGGAAGGCGCACGGTTGAATGTGGTTGAAAGTGGTTGAATGGGATTTGCTGCATGTGCTGCAGACGCGGCATAAGCTGTGGTTGATAGCGACAGCTTGTGCGAGTGAGCTTGATATGCTCTGGCCACCTCCCCTGGATCCACCATCCTCGCCCTCCCAGCATGCACACACCCATCCACACGCATGCACACACCCACCCACATGCATGCACATGCATACACTCAACTCACCTCATGCTGTTGACACGCTATCAGCACTCGCCGTGCTCGCGCCACCTCCCCTGCATCCACCATCCTCGCCCTCCCCTCTTCAATCGCCTCTATCAATTCTTCCACACTCACATTCGCATACCCCTCCCTGCCTTCCCCCTTCCCTCCCTTCGCCCCTCCTCCCCCTCCCCCTCTCTCTCCTCCTCTCCCTCCTCCACTCCCTCCCTCTGCTCCACCCGTCGGAACCTCCAACGCATGCCTGCCCTCCCGCTTCGGGCCGCCAGGTTCGGCAGCCGAAGCAGGTTCGGCATCCATCAGGCCCGGCGTGGCCATGAGCTTCTGGATCGCAGCATCGGTGCATCTAGCGGCTCTAAACTCAGCAGAGGGGGGCATGAATGGGGCACGATTGGGGTCAAAGAACTCAGCAACAGTGGTGGGGTGGGAGGGGTTTCGAGAGGCTATGGTGAGCTCGATCGACGGGCGGCCTAAAATTTCCATTGCGATGCTCCGGGCAGCGCAGTCGGAAATTTTCCTGTCCGGGGGGCAGCCGGTGCAGGAGGATTGGTCGGAGGGGGCCTGGGAGGGATGGGGGGCAGAGGTGAGAGGAAAAGAGAAAGTGAGAAGATGTTGAAACAAACGCTGTGAGTTATGAGTCTATTGTTTAGTCGACCCAAAAATAAGATCACAACACAAGAGGGACGATGTTGAAAGAAACGTTGTGACATCACGTGAAGGATGAGAGAGGGTAGTGGGGGGGGGGAGAGGGGGAAAGGGAGAGGGAAATGGAGAGACAAAGGAGAGAGAGAAAAAAGAAGGGGATGCACTCACATCAATGCGTGAGGAGTCTATTTTTGAGGCGCCTCAAAAGTAGACTCCTCACGAATGGAGAGACAAAGGAGAGAGAAGAAAGGGATGCACTCACATCAATGTAGACGGCAGTGCTCTGTTTGACATGTGTCATGTTGAGACTGGTCGATTCCACTATGCTTCTGACGGCAAGTGACGGCTGTAGCCGCGCATAGCAGCGGTGGAACTCCTCTAAAACTAAACACCCCACCACCTTCTCCTGGAGGGGTGGAGAGGGGTGGTGGGGGATGGAGAGGGTACAATGAGGGATGGAGGGTCCGAGTGAACTGAGAGCCGCGCACAGCAGCAGTGGAACTCCTCTAAAACTAAACACCCCACCACCTTCTCCTGAGGGGTGGAGAGGGATGATGAAGGATGGAGAGGGATGGTGAGGGATGGTGAGGGATGGTGAGTGACAAGTGACTTAACAGCCGCGCATAGACGCAGTGGAAGTCCTCAAAAACGAAACACCCACCACCTTGTCCTGTGAGAGATGGGGGGGGGTGGGATGAGAGACGGAATTTGCTCTAGAGTCGACTCAAAAGCTGAGAGAGATAGGGCGGATGGGAAGAGAGACGGGATTCTGAATCAAACGTGACCTATCTGACAGCATCTGACAGCATCTGACAGCATCTGACAGCATCTGACAGCATCTGACAGCATCTGACACCCTGGGAGGGCAACAGCCACCCACAGCAGCAGCAAAACTCCTCTAGAATAAGCATCCCACCACCTTCTCCTGGTATAGGCGGGTTGAAATGGAGAGGCACAGGGAGGATGTGATCGCAAGTTCGACTCAACGCAAGGCCTGCTGTGCTGTGCCCTACTTTCAGCTACTCAATGCCCAGCGCTTGTAAGCACTGTGCTGTGCCCTACTTTCAGCTACTCAATGCCCAGCGCTTGTAAGCACTGTGCTGTGCCCTACTTTCAGCTACTCAATGCCCGGCGCTTGTAAGCACTGTGCTGTGCCCTACTTTCAGCTACTCAATGCCCGGCGCTTGTAAGCACTGTGCTGTGCCCTACTTTCAGCTACTCAATGCCCGGCGCTTGTAAGCACTGTGCTGTGCCCTACTTTCAGCTACTCAATGCCCGGCGCTTGTAAGCACTGTGCTGTGCCCTACTTTCAGCTACTCAATGCCCGGCGCTTGTAAGCACTGTGCTGTGCCCTACTTTCAGCTACTCAATGCCCGGCGCTTGTAAGCACTGTGCTGTGCCCTACTTTCAGCTACTCAATGCCCGGCGCTTGTAAGCACTGTGCTGTGCCCTACTTTCAGCTACTCAATGCCCGGCGCTTGTAAGCACTGTGCTGTGCCCTACTTTCAGCTACTCAATGCCCGGCGCTTGTAAGCACTGTGCTGTGCCCTACTTTCAGCTACTCAATGCCCGGCGCTTGTAAGCACTGTGCTGTGCCCTACTTTCAGCTACTCAATGCCCGGCGCTTGTAAGCACTGTGCTGTGCCCTACTTTCAGCTACTCAATGCCCGGCGCTTGTAAGCACTGTGCTGTGCCCTACTTTCAGCTACTCAATGCCCGGCGCTTGTAAGCACTGTGCTGTGCCCTACTTTCAGCTACTCAATGCCCGGCGCTTGTAAGCACTGTGCTGTGCCCTACTTTCAGCTACTCAATGCCCGGCGCTTGTAAGCACTGTGCTGTGCCCTACTTTCAGCTACTCAATGCCCGGCGCTTGTAAGCACTGTGCTGTGCCCTACTTTCAGCTACTCAATGCCCGGCGCTTGTAAGCACTGTGCTGTGCCCTACTTTCAGCTACTCAATGCCCGGCGCTTGTAAGCACTGTGCTGTGCCCTACTTTCAGCTACTCAATGCCCGGCGCTTGTAAGCACTGTGCTGTGCCCTACTTTCAGCTACTCAATGCCCGGCGCTTGTAAGCACTGTGCTGTGCCCTACTTTCAGCTACTCAATGCCCGGCGCTTGTAAGCACTGTGCTGTGCCCTACTTTCAGCTACTCAATGCCCGGCGCTTGTAAGCACTGTGCTGTGCCCTACTTTCAGCTACTCAATGCCCGGCGCTTGTAAGCACTGTGCTGTGCCCTACTTTCAGCTACTCAATGCCCGGCGCTTGTAAGCACTGTGCTGTGCCCTACTTTCAGCTACTCAATGCCCGGCGCTTGTAAGCACTGTGCTGTGCCCTACTTTCAGCTACTCAATGCCCGGCGCTTGTAAGCACTGTGCTGTGCCCTACTTTCAGCTACTCAATGCCCGGCGCTTGTAAGCACTGTGCTGTGCCCTACTTTCAGCTACTCAATGCCCGGCGCTTGTAAGCACTGTGCTGTGCCCTACTTTCAGCTACTCAATGCCCGGCGCTTGTAAGCACTGTGCTGTGCCCTACTTTCAGCTACTCAATGCCCGGCGCTTGCAAGCACTGTGCTGTGCCCTACTTTCAGCTACTCAATGCCCGGCGCTTGCAAGCACTGTGCTGTGCCCTACTTTCAGCTACTCAATGCCCGGCGCTTGCAAGCACTGTGCTGTGCCCTACTTTCAGCTACTCAATGCCCGGCGCTTGTAAGCACTGTGCTGTGCCCTACTTTCAGCTACTCAATGCCCGGCGCTTGTAAGCACTGTGCTGTGCCCTACTTTCAGCTACTCAATGCCCGGCGCTTGTAAGCACTGTGCTGTGCCCTACTTTCAGCTACTCAATGCCCGGCGCTTGTAAGCACTGTGCTGTGCCCTACTTTCAGCTACTCAATGCCCGGCGCTTGTAAGCACTGTGCTGTGCCCTACCCCGCTTTGCAGCACACAGGGCTTACAAGCGTTCATGGCATTGAGTAGCTAGCTGAAAGTTAAGCCGGTCTTTTTGAGACGCCTGTTGAGCGCCCTCACAGCTTGAGCGCCCTCACAGCCACCCACCCACGCGTGTGTGCTTCCAGATCCGATGTGGCCAATCGGCCTGCAGCACACAGTGCTCAAAACACAGTATGGCTCAGATCTGACCGCCCCCCCAGTACTCACCAACTTGGTGCGGTTGAGCGCCCTCACAGCCACCCACCCACTCGTGCATGCTACCAGACCTGCTGCTGTGGCCTCTCGCTCGGCGCACAGTGCTTCAAGCACAGGACGGCTCAGATCCGCCCCCCCAGTACTCACGAACTTGGTGCGGTTGAGCGCCCTCACAGCCACCCACACGTCTAGAGATAGCCGCTCCGCTTCAGAGGGATCGAGTGCTGCGCTGCTGCGCCCACACTGCCCGAACTTCATCTGGCGATCGGAGGCGGGAGGGAGGGGGGAAGGAGGGGGGGGAGGAGGGGGGGAGGGGAGGGGGAGGGGGGATATGTTTGTACATCCCACAGAGGGGTCCAGCACTGCGCTGCTGTGCCCGTGCTGCCCGAACCTCATCTGGCGATGGCAGGCCGGTGGGAGGGGAGATGGGAGCGGAGGGTGGGGATGGTCTGGGGTGGGGCTTTGGGACAAGGAAGAGAGAGTGGGCCACCCACGTCCAGAACCAGCCGCTCTGCCTCACTATTTTTGAGGCGCCTAAAAAATAGACTCCTCACAAGGAAGAGAGGGTGGGCCACCCACCGGTCCAGAAGCAGCCACAGGAAGGGATGCGGGTGTGGGGGGGGGGGAATGCACGTGATAGGAGAATAGTTTTGAGAATTCTCATGAAGCACTGCCCAACCGCGTCTCGTGATGAGGAGGGTCGGGCGGGAGGGGGGGGGGGGAAGAGGGGGTGAAGGGGGGAAGAGGGGGTGAAGGGGGGAAGAGGGGGGGTGTGGTGTGGGGGGGTGGGAGGGGAGAGTGGGGCGAGGTGGAAGAGGAGATGGACGGAAAAAGCACCTGACCGCAGCATCTTCCTGCCCGCACCCTGCATTTCGTTCTGCCCGCTGTTTCTCCCCTCTCTGTATATCAAACTCCCCAACCCCCCCCCGCTCCCCCCACCCTCCCCCTCCCCCCTGCCTTACACACCCTCCACCGCACCGTTTTGGGCACAAAGGGATGCGCGAGAAACGCCCTGGTGGCACTAACGGGCGATAGCAGTCCCCCCGTATCAATCACAACCGGCCCGCCTCCCCATCCGCCCCTTCCTCCTCCGCCTGCGCCTCCGCCTCCCCCGCTCTCCCCCGCTGTAGTCACGTCTTCCCCCTCCCCACCCCTCCATGTTCTTCTTCCCCACGTGATTCCCCCCCGTGATCGCCGTCCCCCTGCGGCTCCCCTTCCCCCTCCCCCTCCCCCGCCGCCCAAAAGAATATCACTGGGCGGCACGTAGATCATCCCCTCGTCTTTTAGCCAAACGACACGGAGAGAGAGGCGGGAGATGGCGGCAGTTGCGTTGGCTAAGCAGAGGGTTTGAAGACGGTTCGGGAGTGGACCCATGGCGAATGCGATCATCTTGTATCGCGAGCACGTCGCAGCGCTGGGGTTCACGTCGCACGGGTCGCGCAGCTCGCCGCGAACGAGCATTTGTCGGCTGTCGCCCGCGTCGTCTGCGAAATTGATGTACTTCGCGTAGCGTCGCAGGAGCGACGAGTGCTGCAGGAATGCGACGGCGGTGAGGACGAAAATCGCCGCAGGGACTAGCGTCGCCCTGCGACTCCATGGCGACGCTTTCGCGCCAGGTTTAGTCGCTGGCGATTTTCGCGATCCTCTCGTAGTTGCTCCAGAGGAACTATTCGGTCTAGGGACCTCCGTTACAGCCATGACTAGCAATTAATTAGCCATAAAATCCACGTCGCGAGAAACAGGGGATAATTTGTGAACCCTTATCATTGCGCCCTAGACTTAGCTAAGAGAATGTGGTAGGGTGGTGAGCTAAGAGCATGCAGACTACGGGCATATGGCTGAATCAGGCCCATGCATGCACTTAGCTCTTTATTCGAACCTAGAGATCAGCTGCAGGTGGATTCGTGATAGTGCCGGCTAGCCCTAGATCCATCAGCCAAGCTAGTGTAGCCATGGAAGGTTTGGCAGGTGCAGTGCAACGTGCTGTAGCGGGGGACTGGCTGACTGACACCCACCTGCACCCAGAGATCTGGCTGCTGTGTAAAGACGATATGCTTCAAACGAGAATAAAATTTCGGGATGGCGGGAAGGTGATGCGATGCGGTGAACTACGCCCACCTATTCTGGTCTGCATGTTCAAAACTTCACTGAGGGCGTGTCCAGCGCGTTCGTTTACTATTCACATTGCATATCAGGCACAAAATTTTGATCTGGTAACCCGGAATTTCGTGTCCATTCGGACGCGCACGATAATTGACGTTTTTGGCGGACACCCTCCAAACGTGCCCACAGACGTGGGCCACACGTTTCCGAACCGAATGAAAATCGTGCGCAAATTATGTACACGGCAGAAACGTCCATAACCTGGCTGGCGAAAGGTAGAACGCTTACATTCGCCAGGCTTTCGTGACGCTTGCGAATTACGGCGAAAAAAGCGGGACCTCTTTCCCGGGGCGGGGCCTCTTTCCCGTGGCGAAATTTTGTTACCCTGCTGTTTTCGCGTCTGTCTGTTATGTGCGCGCTGCGCACCCGCTCATTTGTCGAGCCACGGGCGGGGCTCGTGTCCGCGCGTTTTGCTGTTGATACGGTGGGTGTACCTCAACACATTCACACTAGGCGAATCAATATTTCGGCGTGTTAAAAAAAGTCAAAAATTCGTGTTGGGAAAAAATGAACGCGCTGGACACGCCCTGAATATTTGCTAACGAACCAGACACGAATTCTGTTTGCTTCGCGTATTCTCACACATCCGCAGGGAGTGCGAAGGTTCGAAATCCAATACCCTACCCAACCGTAGTAGAATGTTATTTAATCCCTTTGACCCAGGGGGCACCCCACCCAATCGCAATCAGATGTAGTACGCTTGGGGGACACACCCCCAGGGCGCGTTCCAATCGTGTGAACCCTCTGCACGCACTGCAGACAAAAAGAACATTTCACCCTCCTCTTCCCATTGGCTGTGATGTGTCCAAGTTCCACTCCTCTTACTGTACTTTATAGCCCAGATTGGATATGCTTTCAACCTTTCAGGTCCCGGTCGTTTATTTCTACTGTTGATGGATGGATGCTCGACTTCACAGTTTGGTAACTCGTGCCAGAGATTTCGCACAGGTCGCAGGAGGAAAGACTAGGAAGCGCCACAAGCGCCCGTTTCGAGCACCAGTTACCCGTTCGTGACTGTCGCATACGTGATACGAAGCGCAACCGACTCCCAAACTGCACACCTGCGGAGGCCAAACCGAGCCGCATCCCCGTTCGATCCAACTTCAACGTTCAACTGAGCCCGTTTTCAGCTGAACAAAATGCCTACCCCAATATCAGCAAAGCAGTTTCTTTCTTCCTTTCCGCAAATTCGCCCCTTGCAAAAAAGCAGATGGCTTTCGCTCAGAGGACAGCAGGAGCAGTGGTTGTAGTAGCGGTATCGGGAATGACGGCTGACTCGCGCATCCACTTTCATCGCTTCCGTCCTCCTTCCCACGACTGTCGGATGAAAGCGTTACGTCGAATTCGCCGTACGGCAGATTCGAACGCTGCTAAAGTAATGTGAAATGGGAGCCCGTGAAAGTCCGCACGAACGCGCAGCACCCCTGCGGCCCACAGACATGTCCCAGTCTACCCATATCATTTCTCCAAATTCGGGGAATTTGGCTCCTCGTAGTAGCGACAGACGACGTGACATGCACAAACATGATAAGGGGCTCCGGCCGAGTGAAGAGGATTGTTTCGCGATTTAGAACCACTGATCGCTAGTCTGGCAGACTACCGTGACTCTACTAGAGCATGTCGAGCATTCGTGTGAGCTAACGAACCTGTGCATCAAGAGAGCCTTTCCTGGGAGCCAAAGGCTGCGGCACACACCATTCTTCGCGAAGTTGGGGCTCATTAAAACGCGGATCGGGGGCGTCGAGACGTTGGAAAACTATCATGGTGCGTTGGAAAACTATCATGGTGTGTTTAAACCGGGATTCTGCGAGACGTACACCCTTCGAAGCTCTGAAAGGACCGAAACTACGAAACTAGGGTTTTGGAACTTCGTTCCAATCAACCAAGCGGCGTTCGCCTGCTGTTAGCAGTCAGCGGTCAGCTCTCTAGCTTATTATTTTGGTAACTTAATCTCGTCGCGAGTTTGTGCGTCCTTGAACATTAACCTCTGATACTTAATCTTTCTCTCTCTCACCTCTTGTCCGCAGGGTCCTGTGTTGGTTCCGCGCTTCGGTGAGTGGAACGAGCCGCCGCTGTCACAGTCTCCGGACGTTCTTTCGCCCACAGGAGTCACCGGTGTAACAGGTACCACAAGAACCGGGTTTCGCTCCCGCCAGTCCTCTCGCCAAGCCTCTCGCCAGTCCTCCCCTGCTTCGGCACGCCAATCGTGCCCCGCGTCCCCAAACCTCCGACAGCCATTGATCGCCATCCAGCGGCGATCCGACGGCTCTCCTTCAGCCACTCAGCCAGATCTCCGCAGGAGCAGCAGCAGCGGGTTCACAGGATGGGGCCGCAGACGGCAAGCCAGCCCCACTGCAAGTGCTCCTACTAATACTAGTGCTCCTAAAAGCACTAGCAGTACTCATACTCTTACTCGTTCTATTAATACAACTGGTGGCGCCCGGGATGCATCACTTGTTGCTCCGGCACGCCGCCATGTCAGCAGAACCACAGCAACAATGCCAACCGTGGCATCAGTCCCCTCCGCGGCATCGAGTGCAGCAGCAAGGGCAGCTGCAAGCGTGCCTAGCAGCCCGCATGGGGGTTCCCAAACGAGCTTCGCGAGCAGCAGGAGGAGCGGCCAGAGAGGCGACATGTCAACGCCCATCCCGCCCCTGAGTGAGATACTGCAGCGGCAGCAGGAGGAGGGCCAGGGGGGGATCTACTCGGGCGAGTTCCAGAAGGCGCGCCTTGCCAGAAGCGCCAGCGCCTCCCGTGCCTCCCTGCTCCAATCCCAAGGGCTTACATCCCAAGGGCTCAAGCCGGCCGGTCCAGCAGTGGTTTCAGCAGCAAGTGGACCTTTGAGGACCACTGAAGCACCAGGTGCAGCTCTCACCGGGTCCAGCCTTCCCCAGATGGCGCCTGCCAGCATGTCCCTGTGGCGGCGACGCGAGAGCAGTGGAGTGAGGTCCAACCACAGCAGCAGCAGCAGCAAGTATGGGTCGTCTGTACAGAGCATAGGTCCAACCACGGGACACAGCTCGTCTCAAGGCTCCTCCAAGGTTTCTTCCAAGAGTGCCTGGAGTGGCCGCAGCAGTGGAGGCAGGTCCAGCCTGACGGCCAAAACCAGCCGGCCAGTCAGTTTCCTGACGGCTAGCAGCAAGGGTGGGGTGGGAGTGGGAGATTTTGAGGAGATGGACTCGGGTGGGAATCTGACGGCCAGGAGTGCGGATTCTGTCGGTTTGACAGAATCTGTCAGCTTGACGGATCCCTTGACGGATTCTGTCAGCTTGACGACTAACAGCTCAATGGACGTGAGCAGGAAGTATCTGATGGATGATATGAGTCGAGTCAGCATGGCAAGCCAGGTCAGCATGGGCTACAGCCACGTCAGCATGCAATCCAGCCATGTCAGTGCGGGCTCCAGCCACATCAACAGCACCGACAGCGTATCATCATCGTCATTATCTTCCTCATCGAGCCACGTCAGCAGGGTGTCCATGTCAGCATGGTCGCCACGTAGGCTTGGGAGCCCCCTCAGGTTCGGCAGCCCCTTTTGCTCGTGGCGAACCAGCAGCACCCATACCTCCGCTGCGAGTGGCCATGACAGTAAAAAGAGTAGTGATAATAACAGGAGTGACTATAACGAGAGTGACAGCAGCAGAAGGTGGGTGGGGAGCAGCAGGGTATCGTCGGCTCGTGACAATAACGAGGGGACGAGGAGGTCTGGGAGTGCCAGTCGAGCTTCGGATGGTTCTAGAAGGGGTGGGTGGATCAGCAGCAACAAGAAGGTTCCTAGAATCAGTGCTGATGTCAGCTTTGTCAGCACCGACATCAGCAATGGCAGTAACGATCGTAGCGACATCAGCAGTTATGTCAGCCACATCAGCAAGGACGTCAGCTACGTCAGCAGCGCCATCAGCACCAGCCAGAAACTGACCGATCCCAGCATGCCAGATCATCGCGATGAGGTCAGCTGTGCAGACGATGACATCAGCAACCTGAGTGGGAACCTGGACGCCAGCGGCCGCATCAGTACACTCCGTACCCCTTATAGTCCCACCAGCAGCACCTGCAGCAGCAGTGGGGTTACAAGCAACAGTAGCAGCAGAAGAACTGTCATTCCTAAGTTCGGTGAATGGTTGGAGCCAAGACGTGAGTACACCCACACTGTATACAACAGTGAATACACTCGTGAAGTGTACAACGATCGTTACACTAGTGATGATCGTTACACTGCTACTAGCAGCAGCACGCACAGCAACCACCACACAAGCACCACTGGCAGGACCAACACCAGCAGCACGAGCTTTCTTGGAAGCATCCACGGCAGAGGGAGCAGAGGGACTGGGGAGACAGAGTCTCGGGTCAGCTATAGTGGCAACCACACCAAATACACCAGCAGCTGCAGCGGCAGTGGCACCAATAGAAACATCAAATACAGCAGCAACTGTAGCAGCGACACCAGCAGAAACAGCAACTGCAGCAGCAAGTGCAGTGGCGATTCTGCGTCCAGTGGCGTGAGAAGCACCGAGGCTGGGAGCAGTGCCATGGGGAGCATCAGCAGGGCTATTGGCCCTGGTGGAATAGAGACCCTTGCCCTCCCCACCACCCCTGTCAGCCGCACCGGCAGCAGCAGAGGCAGCACTAGCACCGGTGGCCGCGGTGGCAAGGGAGAGGGAGGGGAAAAGGCAGGGGTAGAGGCAGAGGAGAGCTTTCCTTACTCGGAGGTGTTTGAGAGAGCGAGGAGGGAGAGGCGAGAGAAACAGGATGCGAGGGAGAGAGGGGTGGAGGAGGAGGAAGAGGAGGAATTCGGGAGTGAGAGGGAGAGTGTGAGAGAGAGTGAGGTAGGGAGTGAGAGAGGGGGTGAAGTGAGCGTCAATGAGAGCAGGGGGAATGGGGGTTATGTGCAGCAAAGAAGGAGCTTGGATGAGCACGGCAACGGGCATGTGGCGAGGGGGAGTATGGGGGTGCCAGCAGCCAGGCGGGTTGTGGGGGTGGCAGCAGCAACGCCAACCGAGAGTGTGGGTGTTGTAGCAACGAGGAAAGCACTTGTTACATGTGAGAGCAGCAGTGAGGCGGCGGCACGGCTACAGCAGAGGACGACCTTGGATGGGCACACGAGCGGGAGTGCGGCAAGGGGTGATGGCGGGATAGCAGCAACGAGAAAGGCGCTTCTTTCATGTGAGAGCAGCAGTGAGGCCGCACGGCTGCAGCAGAGGATGGTGCGGGAGATGGCTGCTAGGAGACTGGGAGGACGAGGAGGGGTGAACAAGTTGATTGGGTCTCTTCACACTCAATCAACTCAAAAGGGGTTTGAAACGCAAGAGAGACATCGTGAGGCGCAGGGAGGGGAGGCAAAGGGGAGTTTTGAGTGTGAGAGAGAAGAAGATGGAGGGGAGGAGGAAAGGGAGGATGAGAAGGTGGAGACATTGGATGAGGGAGGCACGACGGAGCGGATTCGCGCAAAGAACTACTTACCACAACAACAAAGCCCTGTGGACGGCAGCGAGAGCCTTAAAACGAGCACGGAGATTCTCTCACCCACCACTCTTGTTTCCTCTGGCTTTCACCCAGGGGGGTCGCTCGTTACTGCTGCAGAGAAGAGCACCAAGAATGCAGAGCAGAGCAAGAGTGGGGGAGAGATGAGCAGGGATGGTGCTGGGAGGAGCATAAGTGGGGAAAGGCTGTGCAGCAGTGGGGAGGAAGGGTTGTGCGTAAGTGGGGGGGGAGTGCTGTGCAGGAGTGGGGGGAAAGGGCTGTGCGTAAGTGGGGGGGGAGAGCTGAGCAGGGATGGTGCTGGGAGGAGCATAAGCGGGGGAGGGCTGTGCTGGGGTGCGAGCAGGGGGAGTGTGTGGGTGGGGACAAGCGAGTGGGGGAGAGGGAGTGAGGGAGCGACCAAGGGGCTGAAGCAGATTAGTGAGTGGTTGGAGAGGCAGGACGAGCTAGAGGGCTTGCAAGGACGGGAGGGAGGAGTGGGGGGAGTGGGGGGAGTGGGGGGAGTGGGGGGAGTGGGGGGAGTGGGGGAAGTGGGGGGGGTGGGGGGGGTGGGTCGTGGGGTGAGTGGGGTGCTAGGGGTAGTTGGTGGTGGTGTGGTTGGAAGGGGAGAGGGTGATGATGTGATTGGATCCACACAGCAGCAAGGGTCCCAGCAGCATGGGTCCCAGCAGAAAGGGTCCATCAGCAGCAGCCACAGCGTGGTTCGGATCACTCCAGTGATCCGAGCCCCTCCAGCACTCCAGGAGCCCTCACAGCGGCACTTCTGGAGGAACCTCCCTGTGGCAGGAGCCGCAGCAGAAGCAGCAGCAGCAGCAGCAGCAGCAGCAGCAGGAGCAGCAGCAGCAGGAGCAGCAGCAGGAGCAGCAGCCGCAGGAGCAGCAGCGGGATCAGGAGAAGGAGCCACAGTCCTCTCATCATGGGACTCTAATAAGGCATCATCCCCAGCATCCACAGCAGCAGCCCTCATTGTACAGGACTCGAATAAAGCAGCAGCTACAGCAGCAGCAGCAGCAGCCCTGCGACCTTTAAAGCCGTCCCATTGTTTCCAGAGGACCCTCTCGGGCAGCCGGATGCTTCCGGGAAGCCCGGCGGGCAGGCTGGCGGGCAGCTGGGAGAGCATAGCCCTGGGCGGGGACCTGGAGGATGGTGGCGGGCAGTTGAGCGCAGTGCGAGTGAGAGAGTACCAGATGCTGCAACCACGCAAGGTGAGAGGCGTTCTCCACACAGCACACGCACTCTCTCCTCACATCCCTCTTTAGGCACCTCAGCAGGTGAGCGCAGTGCGAGTGAGAGGGTACCAGATGCTACAAGCACACAAGGCAAGGGTTGTCCCACACATCAGGTTTCTAAAGTTGTCGCTTGCATGCTTCCCTCCAATGCGAGGCTTGCAAGCGACTGTCCCATCTTCCTAACTGCCCCATTCGTTACTGCCCCATTCCTTACTTACTGCCCCATTCCTTACTGCCCCATTCCTTACTGCCCCATTCCTTACTTACTGCCCCATTCCTTACTTACTGCCCCATTCCTTACTTACTGCCCCATCGCTTCCCTCTGAGCAGGCATCACCATGGCGCCTGTGCTGCGGCCTTCCGTCCGTGCTGCCCTGAACCCATGCCATCATGCCGTGAGACAAATGCTTCTGAGGTGCCAAGACGTATACGCTGTCAGCCTGACTTATGAGGTGCCAAGACGTATACGCTGTCAGCCTGACTTATGAGGTGCCAAGACGTATACGCTGTCAGCCTGACTTACCCGTAATCCCCCGTATATAACACCCTATGGTGTATATAAAAATTCACTATAAAAATGACTGGGTGTTAACAGTGGCTCGGAAAAATATAGTGCCCATGTGTTATGTAAAATGCAATTTGAATTTGAGTGTTTCAGGCCATGTGTGTTCACAAATGCGTGGAGCGATTGTTAGCGAGGTACAGCATCCGCTAAGACGAAACTCACAAGCCAATCGTCGTTAGCCAATCTATGCTGAGTGTTGTGGTCAGGGCCAGGTTTGTGCGGCACCTGCGACCGTCATGATCGCGACAGAATCCGCGACTTCGACGAGAGGATTTCGCTCGGGAGGATTCTGACCGTCAAATCACAATAGAATCCGCGACTTCGACGGTCGAAATCCTCCCGAGTCTCGACCTTTGCTGACGTTTCGATTTCGCGCTGCAACTTGTGTTGATGTTTCTTGTCAAACATGTGTATTTGTCATGTTTGTATAGACTGTATAGAGTCACCTCTTAGAGGATACAAAACTTAGATATATTTGTGTGTACTCTCACTTTACGATCATTCAATTATTTTGATATGGTATCACGCGTAGGTAGGATCCCCCCCCCCCACCTACCGCTTCCGCTCATGCCCCCTAGCGCCCCTCCTGGGCCCCGTCGCGCTCCTCCCAGGCCCCGTCGCGCTCCTCCCAGGCCCCCTAGCGCCCCTCCTGGGCCCCATCGCGCTCCTCCCAGGCCCCGTAGCGCCCCTCCTGGGCTTCGTAGCGCCCCTGCCAGGCCCCGTCGCGCCCCTCCTGGGCTTCGTAGCGCCCCTGCCAGGCCCCGTCGCGCCCCTCCCAGGCCCCGTCGCGCTCCTCCCAGGCCCACTAGCGCCCCTCCTGGGCCCCGTCGCGCTCCTCCCAGGTCCCGTAGCGCCCCGTCGCGCCCCTCCTGGGCCCCGTAGCGCCCCTCCTGGGCCTCGTCGCGCCCCTCCTGGGCTTCGTAGCGCCCCTCCTGGGCCCTGTACCGCCCTCCCAGGCCCCGTCGCGCCCCTCCCAGGCCCCGTCGCGCCCCTCCCAGTCCCTCTAGCGCCCCTCCTGGGCCCCGTCGCGCTCCTCCCAGGCCCCGTAGCGCCCCGTCGCGCCCCTCCTGGGCCCCGTAGCGCCCCTCCTGGGCCTCGTCGCGCCCCTCCTGGGCTTCGTAGCGCCCCTCCTGGGCCCTGTAACGCCCTCCCAGGCCCCGTCGCGCCCCTCCCAGGCCCCGTCGCGCTCCTCCCAGGCCCCCTAGCGCCCCTCCTGGGCCCCGTCGCGCTCCTCCCAGGCCTCGTAGCGCCCCTCCTGGGCTCTTTCGCGCCCCTCCTGGGCTCCGTAGCGCCCCTCCTGGGCCCCGTCGCGCCCCTCCTGGGCCCCGTAGCGCCCCTCCTGGGCCCCGTCGCGCCCTCCTTGGGCCCTGTAGCGCCCCTCCTGGGCCCCGTCGCGCCCCTCCCAGGCCCCGTCGCGCCCCTCCCAGGCCCCGTAGCGCCCCTCCTGGGCCTCGTCGCGCCCCTCCTGGGCTTCGTAGCGCCTCTCCTGGGCCCCCCGTCGTGCCCCTCCTGGGCCCCGTAGCGACCCTCCTCGGCCGCGTCGTACCCGTCGCCGCCGCCCGGCCCCGTCGTGCCCGCCCGGCGCCGTCGCGCCCGCCCGACCCCGTCGCCGCCGCCCGGCCCCGTCGCGCCCGCCCGGCGCCGTCGCCGCCGCCCGGCCCCGTCGCGCCCGCCCGGCGCCGTCGCACCCTGCCCGGCCCGTCGCGCTCGCCCGGCCCCGTCGCAGCCGCCCGGCCCCGTCGCACCCGCCCGGCCCCGTCGCACCCTGCCCGGCCCCGTCACAGCCGCCCGGCCCCGTCGCACCAGCCCGGCCGCCGTCCCGCTCGCCCGGCCCCGTCGCACCGGCCCGGCCCTGCCGCACTCGCCCGGCCCCGTCGCCCCAGCCCGGCCCCGTCGCGCCCGCTCGGCCCCGTCGCCCCGTCCCGGCCCTGTCGCATCAGCCCGGCCCCGTCGCGCCCGCCCGGCCCCGTCGGGCCAGCCCCGGCCCCGTCCTCCTCACTGGTACGGTCCCCCCCCCCCCCCCCCCCCCCCCCACCCCGCCCTGCTCCGTGCCGCCCTGCACCGCACTGCACCGCACTGTACCGCACTGCACCGCACTGCACCGCACTGTACCGCACAGTACCGCACTGCACCGCACTGCACCGCACTGTATCGCACTGCACCGCACCCCACCTAGCTGCACCGCCCTGCACAGCACTGGACTGTTCCTGATGGCGGCGGAGCTTCGCTTCGACGCTGAAGGTCAGCCCCTAGAGTTCGAGGCGTGGCTTGCCGACCTCCGCCGCCAACTCACTGGCCAGCGGCAGGATGGTGAACCGCTTTCCGCACACCTTGACGGTACGCTCCCCTGCCCAGACCCTCCTGCTATTCTGCCCGCTGACCCCACACCCACTGAGCGTGAGTCTACTGCTGCCACTGCCCATGCGCGCTCTGTCTGGCTTTCTCGCGATGCTGTCGCCCAGCTTGCCATTAGCAACGCCCTCCCCCCGTCCGAGCGTCCTCGCTTTAGGTCCCTCACTACTGCTCAGGCATACTTAGATGCTGTCATCAAGCGCTATTCCACCCCTCCGGCTGCCTCGGTGGGTCGCCTGATCCTCCCGCTGCTCTTTCCTGACCTTGCTTCGTTCCCCACTGTCTCTGACCTCGCTGCCCACCTGCGCTCGATAGAGGAGACCTGGCGCGCCGCATGCACTGACGCACAGCTTAGAGCCCACCAGCCGCCCATTACCTCTACCCTCTACCTGCTTGCCACCCGCCTCCCTGACCGCCTTGCTGTCGCCCGCGACCGCTTCCTTAGTGTTCACCCCGCAGACCTCACCCTCACTGACTTTGTCGACACCCTGACTGTGATAGAGACCCGTCACCGCTCCATCGCCCAGGCGAGCGGTGTCGTGCCGGTCCCTATCTTTCAGGGTTGTGCCCCCGCTCAGTGTACCTTCTCCGACGGCTCTGCCGCAGTGGCTGAGACTGCTGCTGCAGCGCAGGCCCGTTCTGGGAAGGGCCGCCGCCCCAAGGCTGGGCGCGGCGGAGGGGGCGGCGGGGGTGCGGGCGGGGGTAGTGGTGGGGTCGGGTCGCCTGGTGCTGGAGCGGACGAGGGGACCCTGCCCAGTCCAGCTGAGTCGCCGCCCCTGCAGTTGCAGCAGCCGCAGCAGCCGCCGCAGTCGCAGCCTTCGCAGCAGCCGCAGCAGCCGTCGCAGACGCGGCAGACGAGTGTTCTCCCGCCAGGGTGGCCCGGCGCTGGCGGTGGACGGGCGCGTGGTGGTGTGCCGCGTGGTGGCTCTGCCGGCGGGCGTTGTCAGTACCAGATCCAGACCGGTCCTCGCCGCGGTTTCGTTTGCGGTAAGATCGGTCACTCCACTCCCCGCTGCTTTCGTCGCCTGGACGACCTGTTTCGTCAGCGTTTCGGCCCGTCGCCAGACCTCCCGGACTGGCACAGTTTGCTTAGTCGTCAGATTCAGATCTTTGATATGGACATGGATGCCATTGTTTCTGCTCTGCATGTGATGTATGCTGATGACTCTAGTGTGCTTCCGACTTATTACTCACTGTTGCCTAGTGTAGGTGTGCCTAGCTTAGCCTCCCCTGCTGCGTCAGGCGTAGGATCCCCTGCTTTGTGTAGTCTTGGTGCTTCTGCCGTCGTTCCGTCGCCAGACCCCTCGGCTTCGCTTTCCTTCACCTTGGACTCTGGCGCCTCTCGGTGTTTCTTCCGCGACTCCACCACCCTGACGCCGCTTCCTGTTCCTGCTGCCGTTTCTCTTGCTGACCCCTCCGGCGGCCCGGTAGTCGCCCGCAGTTCCACCACCCTTCCCTGTCCGGCGGTTCCTTCGGGCTCTCTTACAGGTCTGCATATCCCCTCGTTCTCCAGGAACCTAGTTGGTGTCGGCTGCCTCCAGGACCTTGGCGTCACCACTACGTTCCCTGGTCACGAGCGGTATGCTGTCTGTACCGAGGCCGCCACTGGTGCCCCCCTGTCCACGTTCCCCCGGGACCCGGTGTCCGGCCTGTTCACTCTGGACACCGTGCCCCCCCCGGCTGGAGCGCCCCCTCAGGTGGCTGTGTCTACCCAGGTTGCTGCTGCCTGCTCCTGTCGCTCCCTCACTCACCCGACCCTCCTGTGGCACCACCGCCTAGGTCACCCTGCGCTCCCGCGTCTGCGTCACATGTCCCAGCACGGTCTTGTCCTTGGTCTCCCAGGTTCACTCCCCGCGTTTCCCTCCTCCCCAGCTCCACCTTGCACGCTTTGTGTCGAGGGTCGGCTTCGCCGTGCCCCTCACTCCTCCTCGTTCCCCCCTACCGCCGCGCCGCTGCAGACCCTGCACCTGGACGTCTGGGGCCCCGCCCCCGTCCCTGGGCCGCGTCGCGAGCGCTACTTCCTTGTGCTTGTCGACGACTTCACTCGTTACACCACAGTCTTTCCCCTGGAGCGCAAGGCCGACGTGCCTGGCGCCCTCATCCCCTGGCTTGTCTCTGCGCGTGTCCACCGCGGTCTCCCTGTCTTGCGTCTTCACTCAGACCGTGGTGGCGAGTTTGCCTCAGGTGTCCTTGGTCGCTTTTGTCGTGCGGAGGGCATCACCCAGACGTTCACCCTACCGTACTCCCCACAGCAGAATGGGGTCGCTGAGCGACGCATCGGCTTGGTCATGGAGGTCGCTCGCACCTCCATGGTCCATGCCGGTGCACCCCATTTTCTGTGGCCGTTCGCTGTGCGCTACGCTTCTCACCAGCTTAACCTGTGGCCGCACCCTCAGCAGCCGCAGGTTTCGCCGACCCGTCTGTGGACTGGGTCTCCTGGTGACGCGTCTGCGTTCCACGTCTGGGGCTGCCTTGCTCACGTCCGTGCCTCCGGCACGGACAAGCTCACTGCCCGCACCCTTCCCTGCGTCTTCCTCGGTTTTCCCCTTGACGCGTCCGACTGGCACTTTTACCACCCGCCGTCTCACCGCTTCTTTCACTCTCGTGACGTCACCTTTGACGAGTCCGTCTCCTACTATCGCCGCTTCCCCCACCGTGGTCCCCCGGTTACCCCCCCCCTGTTCCTGGTCACCCCTTCCCCGGTAGTCCCTGCCCCTCCTCCTCCTCCTCCCCGTCCCGCCCCCTCTGGTGTCTCCCATGTCACCCCCCTTCCGTCCGTGGACCCGGTTGAGGAGTCTTCTGACTCTGGTGGCCCTCCGGTGCAGTCCTCGCCGGCCGCCCCTCCCCAGGTGTCCCCTCCCCAGTCCCCTCCTCCGCCGTCCCTGCCGCCACTGCAGCCGTCGCCGTCGCCGCCGCCGCCGCCGCCGCCGCAGTCGCAGCCCCCGTTCGCTGACTCTGGGGGTGCTCGTCCCGGTCGCCCTGAGGGTGGTCCCTCTGGGGGTGCGGGTGTGGAGAGTGCCGGTGGTAGCCGAGGAGCAGCTTGCGGTCCAGGTGTCGCCGTTGTGCCGCCGCAGCAGCAGTCCCCGCCGGTGTCCGCCCTTCGCCTGCTCGGCCTTCCGTCCCCCGACCCTGCGTCGGTTCCTCCCCGACCGTCTCCTCCTCTTCCTGTCTACGGCCCTGTTTTCCCTCCGCCGGACTCGTCCCCGGCCCGTCTCCCCCCTCGTTCCCCTCCTGTGTCCCCTCCCCTGTCTCCTGACCCGACTCCTCCATCGCACGTCTGGTCTCACCGTCCCTCCCGTGCTCGTCCTGCCTCGCCTGTCCTGCGCTCCCACCCTATGTTGCTTCGTTCACACGCGTCTCGTCCTCCCCTTCTGCCGTCGCCTCCTCCGTCCTCCCTTGTTGTTGCGCCCCCCCCGCTGTCCGACTACCTTCGTGCCGCTCGTCCTCTTGTTCCTCGGGTCCTTGCCTCTCTCGTTACCGACCCGTCTGTTCCAGTCTCGTGCCTTGACGCTCTTGTCGCTGCTGTCGCTGACTTCGCCTCTACCCGCCGCCTTGACTACGCCACCGCTCTGGTCTCTGACCCTGCCTGTCCTCCGTCTGTCGGGGGTGCTCCTGCCCTTGGCAGTGACGTCCTGGAGGACCGCCAGTTCGAGCTTGCTTTCCTCTCCGAGGCTGCTCCCCATCTCTGTTCCATGCTGCTAGTCCCTGAGGGTGACCCAGACGCTTTCGACATCCCGACCCCTCGCACTTACGCTGAGGCGACTTCGGGACCCTGGGCCTCGCAGTGGATAGCTGCCATGGAGCAGGAGATGGCATCTTGGAGATCCACCGGCACCTTTGTCGACGCAGTTCCCCCACCTGGGGTGAACGTAGTCGATGGCCGCTGGCTCTTCAAGGTGAAGCGCCCTCCTGGAGAGCCGCCTGTCTTCAAGGCGCGCTATGTGGCTAGAGGCTTCAGTCAGCGCGAGGGGGTGGACTTCTTCCAGACTTTCGCTCCGACCCCGAAGATGACTACTCTTCGGGTTCTGTTACACCTAGCTGCTCAGCGTGACTACGAGCTTCACTCCCTCGACTTCTCCACTGCCGTCCTTCAGGGCAGCCTACACGAGCAGGTCTACCTGCGCCGCCCTCCGGGCTTTACTGGCACCTTCCCTCCTGGGACCCAGTGGCTCCTGCGGCGCCCCGTCTACGGCCTGCGCCAGGCTCCCCGTGAGTGGCACGACACTCTGCGTGCTACGCTTGCTGACCTGCAGTTCTTTCCGTCTTCTGCAGACCCTTCACTCTTCGTTCGTGCTGGCCAGACTCCGTTCTACATCCTCGTTTACGTCGACGACCTGGTCTTTGCCACAGCAGACAGGGACGCACTGGCCTCCGTGAAGGCAGAGCTGCTGAAGAGACACACCTGCACTGACCTTGGAGAACTGCGCCGTTACCTTGGCTTGCAGATCTCCAGGGACAGAGCTGCGCGCACCATCACCCTGACTCAGTCACACTTGGTGCGCCAGGTCCTTCAGAGGTTCAGCCTTCAGTTCTCCTCTGCACAGCCCACCCCTCTGCCTGTAGACCACAGGCTCTCCGCTCCAGTGCCTGAGGAGTTGGTAGAGCCCAGCGGCCCCTACGCAGAGCTGGTGGGTTGCCTCATGTACCTGATGACTTGCACTCGCCCAGATCTCGCATACCCTATCAGCATCCTGGCTCGCTTTGTGGCCACAGGCAGACACCGACCGCAGCACTGGTCTGCCGCTAAGAGGGTTCTGCGTTATCTTGCTAGTACATCGGGCATGGGGTTAGTGCTAGGAGGACGCAGGCCAGCGGTCCTTACTGGGCACACAGACGCTTCGTGGGCAGACGACGCTGAGACACTCCGGTCTACCCAGGGCTACTGCTTCAGCCTTGGCTCAGGTGCCGTCTCGTGGAGAGCTACTCGCTCCTCGTCTGTTGCACAGTCCAGCTGTGAGGCTGAGATCTACGCCGGTGCCATGGCGGCACAGGAGCTCCGCTGGCTGACCTTCTTGCTCACTGACTTAGGTGAGCGACCTAGCTCTGCCCCGGTCCTGTTCGCTGACAACAGGGCCATGATCCTCCTGTGTCAGGAGCCTCGACTCGAGGGCAGAGCGAAGCACATTCAGCTGCGGTACTTCCTCCTGCGTGAGCTACAGCAGCGACGTCAGGCTCGCGTAGTACACTTGGCCTCAGGTGCCAACACGGCTGATATCTTTACGAAGGCGCTTGCGCCTAAAGATCATCAGCGGCACTGTGTACAGCTTGGTCTAGTTCCTGTAGCCTCTCACTTGCTAGGACCTTGACTTTGTACTGTCCTTTATATGTATACTCAGACTGGACTTGTGTCCTCTCCCAGTGGCTGGACTAGTAGTGCCGCCCTGCTCTTGTGCTTGCCTTGTCTGTACTCCTTCTGACCGGTCGCTCAGACTCTTGTCTCAGAGGTTGGACTAGTAGTGCCGCCCTGAGCTGCTTGTTTAGGGTATTCCCCTATGCAGTCTAGGGGGTGTGTCAAACATGTGTATTTGTCATGTTTGTATAGACTGTATAGAGTCACCTCTTAGAGGATACAAAACTTAGATATATTTGTGTGTACTCTCACTTTACGATCATTCAATTATTTTGATATTTCTGCCCGTTTTTTCGCTGCTAATGGTAGTTGACATTGCCTTTTTCATCCTGTTCGTTATTTTTCTCAATCGATCTGAGCTTGAAAAACTACGAAATATTGTTCTTTGCTGCATAAAACGAGGAGGGTGTTACGGTATGTAAAATGCAACCCCCGAAAAGCGGGTGCTCTCCTAGATTCACCCTATCATAAGCTCTCCCCCGCATAAACCACCCGCGGCGTGACTATTTCAGCGGGTGTTATATACGGGGGATTACGGTATGAGGTGCCAAGACGTAAACGCTGTCAGCCTGACTTATGAGGTGCCAAGACGTATACGCTGTCAGCCTGTCGCCTTGCCGTGCAGTGATGATGAGTAAAAGAAACCATTTTTAAAGCTCAGATGCTGCTGCTGCAACCTCCCTCCCACCAGTCTTATTTGCCTTAGCACCAAGGACTACTGGTACTGTTATACTCTATGGAATCAAACACGTACTTCTACCACGGAGAGATGGATCAACAAGAGTGCCTCCATATTCAGATCAAATCATTATACCAGGAAGATGAAAACTACCAGTACCAGAACAGAAGTAACAATCCTGCCAGCCACCATGTTTCGCCCTCGAAACAGGATCTACCTAACACGTATAGCCAAGACAGAGAACAAGTAGACCAACCAGTGCTCTGGACCCCTGAGCACAGAAGCAGACAAGCCGAGAGGAAATGGCAACATCCATAAGGGCAACCAAGAGTGCAAGGTGAAGGGCACTACCAGCAACCTGTCCTTCTCAATGCCGCCCAGTTCATTTTTCGCCAAAAGCTCCCATCTCCCATGTCCCGTCTTTCGATCTATCCAACTTCCCCTCCACGCTCACAAGGCCAGCACCTCCAGGCCTGAGCCAACCCCGCTCTCTTCAAATCCTCCTCCAGCCGCCTCTTCGCCTCCCCCTCGTCCTGCCCCTCCTCTGCCACCACCTCACCCTCCTCCTCCACTTCCCCTTCCCCCCTCCCTCCTCATCACACCAACCACTTGATTCGTCTGCTCACAACGCCAGCACCTCCAGGGCCAGTCCAGCCTTCTTCAGGTCCTCTTCAAGCCGCCTCTTCGCCTCCGCCTCATCCTGCCTCTCCTCAGCCACCACCTTACCCAACTCCTTCGCCCCAGCTTTCATCAACACCTCCACCACCCCCTCAGCCTTCCCCGCCTCACTCCCCTCAGCCGCCTTCAGAGCAGCAACTACCACTGCGCGCCTCCTAGCCCCATCATATGACTTCTCACACACCTCCTTGAGTAAGTCAAACTTTGCCGCCCCGGCTGCCAGGAAGCCGCCCAGCCACTCGCCGAGGAACCGCGGCGCCTGCGGCACATCCAGCGCCAGGTCATCGAGCTGCTCGGCCAATGACAGCATGCCAGCTGTCAGCGCGCTCTCGCCCTTTTCGCCGGCTGCGAACGCGCCGTTGGAGTGCAGGTGCGAGAGCAGCCGCCCGACCTCCACACACTCCTTCTCCTTGCCGCCCTCCAGGGCGAAATTCGCCGCGAATTCGACGAATCGCGACGAGACCTCGTGGGATTTCTGGGAGCCGAGCTCCTCCATACAGAGCTGAGCCTCCTTGAGATCCAACACTGCAAAGAACTCCTTAAGGAGCGACTCCGACTTCCGCTTCGCCACATCGTCCCACGTGCCCGATACAGCAGCAGCAGCTGCTGCTGGCTTCGCTGCTGCTGCTGCTGCTGCCGGGCCATTGCTAGCAGCGGCGGCGGCCACCGGTGCAGCAGGCTTGGGCGGCGCAGGTTCGGCTGGTCTGACCGGAGCAGGCTTGGCACCAATCAGAGCGCTCGGCTTGCCGATAAACGCCGACGAGCCTCCCATTCCCGGACCCATCCCTGGGCCCATCTTAAGCCCCATGCCTGGACCCAGGATCGGTACCGAACCTGCTGCAGCAGCTCCCTGCCGAGCCTGTCCAGCAGCTCCGGCGGTGTCCTTCTTCCCGCGCCTGCTGATAGAAACCGTCTCCCACCCATCCAGATCCACAGGTGGCACCATACCTGCCACCAAGCCACCCGGCATGCCAGGCATTCCCGGGCCTCCGGGCCACCCAGGGCCTCCCGGGAGCATCATGCCTCCCGGACCTCCGCCGATCCCTCCCGAGGCTGCGCCAACCCTGAGCGACGCAGCGCCCTTCCTCAGCCCGAGCGTGGCCTCAGCTTCGGCGTGGATCTGGTCCAATTTCTTAGCAGTCAGCTCCTTCCTACGTGGCACCCAGTTATTGGAGCGCATGTCAACCAAATCCCGGCACATGAAGCGGATACGCGAGGGCAGCGTGGGCGAGCGCGAGAGCGTCTTGAGGCGCTCGAAGTAAGCGTTGAGCAGCACGGGGTTGGCCTTGCCGGCCTTCTCCTCCATGCCGCGCCCCGCGGTGGACAGCAGCTGGCAGAGGGCTTCGATGTTCTCCTCCGGGGGCTCCGTCTTGCTGTCGCCTTGCAGCTCCTGAACAGGAGGACAAGAGGAGGCAGGGAGGGGGGTGGGGTGGGGGGGGGGCGGGTATAAGCGTTGAGCAGCACAGGGTTGGCCTTGCCCGCCTTCTCCTGCATGCCTCACCCCGCGGTGGACAGCAGCTGGCAGAGAGCCTGGATGTTCTCCTCGGGGGCTCCGTCTTCCTGACGCCTTGCGGCTCCTGCGTGTGGGGAGGATCAAGTGAGTGGAGGGGGGGAGTGCAAGTGTTGAGCAGCATGGGGTTGGTTGGCCTTCCTGGCCTTAACCCAAACATGCCTCACCCCGCTGTGGACAGCAGCTGGCAGAGGGTCTCTATGTTCTCCTCCGGGGGCTCCGTCTTGCTGTCGCCTTGCAGCTCCTGCGGATGGGGGGAATCAAGTGAGAAAAAAAGGGGGGAGGGGGGGAGAGTGTACACGTTGAGCAGCACGGGGTTGGCCTTGCCCGCCTTCTCCTGCATGCCTCACCCCGCGGTGGACAGCAGCTGGCAGAGCGCCTCGATGACAAAGGGAGCGAGGGAATATAGCAGGTGGCAGAGAGAGGGCGCCAATACTCTCTTCTCGTGCCTTTTCCGCTCTCCTCACTCCTCTCTGCTCTCGGCTGCATGCTACCTGTTGCCTGCTACCTGAGATCAGGAATCATCTTCTGCTTGTACAGCTCTCCGATCAGCCGGATGTCAGAATCATCCCACTATATGCCCTCTGTTGCTCGCCTCAGATGTCACCTGTCCCACATAGCACCTGTCCCAACCATTACCTGCGCGCATGCGTGCACGATCTTCTCGGGAATCATCTTCTGCTTGTACAGCTCTCCGATCAGCCGGATGTTGCCCTGCGTGCGCGCCTTCACCCTCCTCTGCACGTCCTCCCTCTCCGCCGCCTGAGAAAAACACAACGGAGCAGAGCAGAGCAGAGCAGAGGGGCACACAGGGGCATGGGCAGGAGGAGCAAGAGGCAAGGGGAGCAGCACTTAAGTTTCCCTGCGTTTGTGCCTTCACCCACAGCTGCACGTCCTCCCTCTCTGCCGCCTGAGGGAAATCACAGGGGAGCACAGGGATGTACAGGGGTGCACAGGGGTGCACAGGGGTGCAGAGGGGCACACACCAGAAAGGGGAAGGGGGGTGCACACCAGTGAGTGGCAATTTCAGGCGCCTCAGCACGCGCCTGATCCATGTCCCCGTTCCATCCGTCGCCCCCCCTTCACTTCCCCTACCAACCCCTCGCCTTCTCCGCCTTGGCGGGCCCTTTGAGCGCCTGCCGCAGCTTCAGCACCTGCTCTAACTCCTCCTGGCACGTGTTCAGCAGGACCCGCCTGAACGTGACAGGCTCATTCCCTCCTTCCCCCCCCCCCCCCACACACACACCAGCACCCTGCACCCCTACCAACCCCTCACCTGCTCCACCGTGGTGAGTCCCTTCAGCTCTTGCCACAGCTTTAGCGCTGCTCAGACTCCCCTCCCATCCCGCCCCCCTTTTCCCCTTCTCATCACCCTCGTCCCTCTCCCCTCTCCCCTCTCCCCTCTCCCCACGCTACCAACCTGCTCCGCCTTGGTCAGCCGCTTGAGCTCCTGCCGCAGCTGCAGCGCCTGCTCGAACTCCTCCTGGCAGATGTTCAGCAGGATGCGCCTGAAGGTCACCGGCTTGTCGGACCCCTCGGGCCCCGGGAACTGCGGCAGCACATGCGAGAGCTTGTCGCACAGCTCCGCGTACACGGGGCAGAACGTGGGCTCGTGCCCCTTCCCCCTCTCCCCCCACCCCAAAACCACTTCAACCCCTACCACACCCTCACCTGCTCAGCCTTGGTCAGTCCCTTGAGCTCCTGCCTGAGTTTCAGCGCCTGCTCGAACTCCTCCTGGCAGGTATTGAGCAGAATCCTCCTGAAGGTCACAGGCTTATCCGACCCTTCAGGCCCGGGGAACTGAGGCAGCGCGTGCGAGAGCTTGTCGCACAGCTCCGCGTACATGGGGCAGAACGTGGGCTCGTCCACGGCCTTGTCGAAGATGAGCGAGATCACCTCCTGCAGGCGCTCAGCAGAGGTGATGCCCGAGTCCAGCATCTGCTGCAGCAGCACGTCGAACTTCTCCGGGGTCAGCTTGTTCAGAATACTGTTTGGGAGAGTTCAGGATGGGGGTTGGTGCCAGAAGGGAGACGGGGAGAGGGGGGGAGATGGGAGAGATGAGAGCTCCGCGCACATGGGGCACAACGTGGGCTCGTCCACGGCCTTTTCGAAGATGAGGGAGATGACCTCCTGCAGGCGCTCGGCGGAGGTGATGCCCGAGTCCAGCATCTGCTGCAGCAGCACGTCGAACTTCTCCAGGGTCAGCTTGTTGAGATGCTGTTTGGGGGTGTGGGGGGGAGAGAGAGGGTAGGCGTTTCGGGAAAGGAGAGGGCGGGTGGGCGCCAGGGGAGGATACGCCTGGGTCTGAGGTGGTGCCCGAGTCCAGCATCTGCTGCAGCTGCACGTCCAACTTCTTCACAATACTGTTAAGGGGGGGGGGGGGGGGGGGGTTGGGTGTGAAGGGGGAGGGGGAAAGAAGGATGAGAGCTTGTCGCACAGCGCCGCGAACATGGGGCAGAGCTCCTCTCCCACTGCCTCACCCCCCCTCCCCCCCATCGCCTCAACCCCCCCTCCCCCCAATCGCCTCAACCCCCCTCCCCCCAATCGCCTCACCCCCCCCTCCCCCCAGCGCCTCACCCCCTTCTCCCCCAGCGCCTCACCCCCTTCCCCCCCAGCGCCTCAACCCCCCTCCCGCCCAGCGCCTCACCCCTTGACGGTACGAAGAACCTTCTCCTTCTCGTCCACAGCTCCGCGACGTGGCATCCACGGATTGGCCGCCTTCACTATGGCCACCGCAGGGCCGTCCTGGGAGAAGGGGGAAGGGGGGGGGGCACATTTCGAGCAGAAAGAGATGGAGAGGGTGAGGGCGGACGAGAAGTAAGAGAGAAAGAAAAAGGGGGAGGGGGGGTGTGGGGGGGTGAGAGGGAGGGCGGAATGGGGTGAGGAAGGGAAAGAAGGAAGAAGGGAGAGAGAGAGAGGAGTGACTCTCACATTGCCTCCGCCAGCAGCACCCCCAGCAGCACCCCCAGCCTGCCCTTGCTGCCCCTGCCTCCGCCCCTGCTGCCCCTGCCGCTCCTATCCGCGGTTCTGCTAGTCCAGGGCTAATTTTTCGTTTTTCAAGACCCAGCGGTCTCAGGATTCGCGTCACTAAAGATCCTGAAAATTCAGCATTCCCTGGGAAATCTCTCTTTATTTCAGGATGACTTTGACCTTCAATCTGAAATTCAGAGTTTTTTGGGACTCCCTACATATCAGCAGAACCTGTGGGCACTTCGAGTACAAGCAGGAAGGACATCGATGGAAGAAACGATGGAGAAGAATACAGAACACACGCTTGCTGCTGCTGCTGCTGTCCCTCACGACCACACCAAGTTCGACTCTTTCCTTAATCGCGACAGAAACGCGTACAACTTAGAGGGACAGTGCGCAACCTGGCTAAGGTGATATTAAGGGGTTGTGATAAGTCTGACAGCCCTGCACTTCAGTAGTTGTGAAAGTTCCACGGGTCGCACCTTGAGATTGCGTGGAAAATTGGTCAGGGTTGCGAAGGAATTGGGGGGGGGGAGGGGGGGAAGGGTGGGGTTGCAATTCCAGCACGGGTAGTTTCCATGCCAGTCGGATGGCCAGGATAAAGTTTCGCACAATCCGGATTGCTCAGGGGGTTCCTTGGAAACACCCGGAATCAATCAGGAGGTTTGTGAGTCAGAAACCCTCAAAATCAGGATTTCAGCGGTAAAGACCCGGAATGTACCTGACATTCCGGATGTTTACCCTTGAACCGAGAGCCCTGTGCCAGTCCCGCTCCCCGTCCCCGCCCCCGCCCCCGCCCCCCCGGCCCCCCCTCCCCGCCCCCCCTAGCCCTGACTGCCCTCGTGCGTGCTAGGGCTCTGACTTTGCCAGCTGTCTACAGAGTACAAGGACCGAGAAACAGCAAGACTCACATTGCCAGCAGCCCCTCCCGCTTGTCCTTGCTGCCCCTGCTGCTGCCCCTGCTGCCCCCCCTGCTCTCCGCGGCTCTGCCAGTCGCGCTCTCCGCCACCACCGCCGCGGCCGCCCCCGCCTCCCCGTCCGCCCCCACCCCCGCGTCCGCGCTCGCGCTCCTCCTGGGGGGGAAGGGATTGCCGCGCCCGCCAGTCGCGGTTGTCCGGGACATCGGGTGCGCGCGCCTGCACAGGGGGAGGGGTAACGGGAAGTGGGGGATTGGGGGGGGGAGGGGGGAAGGAGGAAGGGAACGATGCGGTTGTCAGGGACCTCGGGTGTGCGCGCTCGTGCAACGAGCGCACGCGACAGGGGGAGGTGGGGAAGGGGGACGGCGGAAAGGGAAGGCGGTACTTAGAGCAAAGGAGATGAAATTACCCACCTGAATTCAGTAGCACTCACCTGCCAGAGCCCAAGGTTCACCCACACACCTGCTGAGTCGATTCATAAGCCCCTCACCTGCTGAGTCGACTCATAAGCCCCTCACCTGCTGAGTCGACTCATAAGCCCCTCAGCTGCTGAGTCATTCAATAACTGAGGAGCACGCACCTGCTGACCGCATTGGGCTGGGACGGCGGCGGCACGCTCGACCCGCGCGAGGACCAGTCGGGCTCCCTCGCAGTACAGGAGGAGCTTTAAGCCAGCCGTTTGCGCGCGCGCAATAGTCACTGACCAGTACTGACCTGCTGGCCCGCATTGGGCTGCGAGGGAGGAGGCGCGCTCGACCGGCGCGAGGACCAGTCGGGCTCCGCCGCTGCAGACGAGGAGCGGCCAGACGACGACGCGATGATGTCGCCCCCGGTGTTCAGAATCTCGGGCGGCACGTCCACGCACTTCTGTGGAGGGACGATTGAAATATGCCGCGAAAAGGAGGGTGGGGGGGGAATGGTGGAATGTCAGGGTTTGAGGCAGCAGCAGAAGAGCGGCCAGACGACGACGCGACGATGTCGCCCCCGGTGTTCAAAATCTCGGGAGGGACGTCCACGCACTTCTGAAAATGGGGCGATAGCACACGCGTGGGGGTGATGGGAGAATGTATGTACGCCAACTGAGGGCCGGACGACGACGCGATGATGTCGCCCCTCGTGATCAGAATCTCGGGCGGCACGTCCACGCACTTCTGGGGAGGGGGTAGAGGGGGGGAGGAGGAGGGGGGAGGGAAAGAAGTGGGGAAAGGGAAGGGGAGTTGACCAGCTAATCCTGCACGACTAACCTTACCTGACGTGATGTTACAACATAAGACAAATGCTACCTGCCAGTTCAAACCTAACCTTCTGTGCGCCAACCCAAAGGTACAACGAGTGCGGACCTAACCTATGGTCAAAACAGGTGCCAACTATACCTGTCGTGACAGCAAGCGCTAGTCTCACCTCACGAGACGCAAGGAACCTTGGGGCAACCTCTTGCTACGACAAGTGCTGCAGACCTCACCTCACGGTACGCGAGAAGCTCGTCCCTCGAGTACTTGACGCGAGGGCCCTTGGGGCCATCGTCCTGTGCGCGAAAGGGGAAGACAAGGGTAAGAAACACAAGGGGAGGGCAACAGACAATCAGCAAACCAGGCAAACGCAGGCTCGTCCCTCGAGTGCTTGACGCGAGGGCCCTTGGGGCCATCGTCCTGTGCGCGAAAGGGGAAGACAAGGGTTAGAAAACACAAGGGGAGGGCAACAGACAATCAGCAAACCAGGCAAACGCAGGCTCGTCCCTCGAGTGCTTGACGCGGGGACCCCTGGGGCAATCGATCTGTGGGTGAGACAGAAGGAAATGGGGGGCAGGGTGCACACGGGGAACCCAACAGACGCACAGCAAAAAAGTCAGGAATGCACAAAAAACACCATGCATTGGCGAACGTGAACGAGGCACTCGAAAGCTCATCGCATGAGAATCAGCGATGCCGAAAAGTATTTCAGGACGGGAAAACAGTAAGCCATAACAAAACAGCGACATTGCCTCCGAGCCTTAGATATCTACGAAAATCGTTGGCCGGATCCAGTCCAAGGACAAACCCTGGCCTGGGCGTTCGACCCCATCTGCCCCGGGCCGCACGTAGAGACCCGATGGCTTGCCTCCAAGACGAGGGACAGCTTACACCAACAAATAAAACGTCGGTGTTGGATCCATCCTTGGCCAAATCGTTGGCCAAATCCAGCCCAAGGACTACAGTGGAGTCATTTTCCAGAATTCTAAAATTGACCCCACGGCGTGCCTCTAAGTCGAGGCCCAGCTTACAGCAACAAATACAACCCCGGTGTTGGATCCATCCTTCGACTAACCTGCGCGTTCGAACCATATGGCCCAGGAGCACGTATAGGTGGCGCATGGTATCTTGACACGTGCTAACTTGGGCGTTGGAGTTTTGAATCGACTCAAAACACACTTCTGAGTCGACACAAAACGCACGTAAAGACGGCGCATAGTACCTTGACAAGAACTAACCTGGGCGCTGGAGCCATCTGCCCCGGGGCGCACGTAGAGCCCCGACGGCTTGCCTCCTCCCGGGCGCAGCGACAGCCCTCCCCCCAGAGCGCCACCCCCCGGCCTCAGGCTCACGGCCGCCGGCGCTGCTGTGGCACGCGGATACATTTGGGGGGCAGAGGAGAGGGGGGGGGAGGGGCGGGGGGAGAAGTTCAAGGAAAAGAGATTGGAGAGGGGAAACATATTGGACGGCTTGCCTCCCCCCAGACCACGGCCCCCCGATCTCTTGCTCACGGAGGCCGGCGCTGCTGTGCCGCGCGGATAGGTTGGCGGGCGAGGAGGGGTGGGGTGGGGGGGGAAGGGGAGTGGGGTCAGGTTGCAGGCGGAAAAGGGGCTGACGGCTTGCGTCACGCAGACCACTGTCTCCGGGCCTCAGGGCCAAGGGGGCGGGCGCTGCTGTGCCGCGCGATATATGCGATGGACAGACGGAGTGTAACAGGTGCGATGAAACAGATGCAACGTAACAGGTGCGATGAAACAGATGCAACGTAACAGGTGCGATGAAACAGATGCAACGTAACAGGTGCGATGAAACAGATGCAACGTAACAGGTGCGATGAAACAGATGCAACGTAACAGGTGCGATGAAACAGATGCAACGTAACAGGTGCGATGAAACAGATGCAACGTAACAGGCGCGATGAAACAGATGCAACGTACACACGCGATTCAACAGATGTACCGTAACAGACGAGATGTAACGGATGTACCGTAACAGATGTGACATAACACATGCAACGTAACAGACGATGCTGCAACGTAACAGATGATGGTGCAAGTGACAGATGAGAGAGATAGGAAGCACGGGGTCAATAAGGCGAATGGGTTGTTATGAAGGAGCAGCCTTGAGAATGCCGTACTGGCAGACTGCGGAATCAGCAGAATGTGTATTGTGTAATCAGTGAAGCAGAGATGGTCAGCAACATAAACCGTGCGGTGTAGAAAACGAAATACGGCCGAAAACTAAAATCTGACAGCAAACACGCGGAGGATGCTCCTACAGTGAACGACCAGGCGCGACTCAGGTCAGTCTTCTGGTGCCTAAATCTTAAAGCACGGTAAGTAGACGAAGACGGATCTTCTGGTACAGGACGCATGTATGCGGCTCCATCCGAATTCGCCCCTGGGTATGCATTTCGACCTGTCATTGCCGTTCCGGATACCTCTAATCCCCGCCTAACCTAGCAAGAATCGGATTGAGACGAATCCGGGTCAATTGAAACATCGTCAACAAGTATACCCTAAATTTCACCCTGCTTCTACTAAATCCATCTAGAATGTCCCATCAACGGAAGCGAGAGTGCTACTGACAGTCCGACGGCCCACATTTGGCGGAAAAACGCCATAAAAAACCCTGATTTGAAAATGGATCTATGTTCCCGGTGTCTGGTCAGGGTATAGCGGACCTCAGAACTACGCTATAGGAACGAAATGCGAGATTAAGAAGCGGCTGCACCTTTGGTCTCCGAAGCTGCAGCCTGAGAGCTATCCGAAGCGGGCTTCGCGTCAGCGGCGACGGTAGCGGCGGCAGCGGAGGATTGGTCGTTGTCAACACCAGCCATATCAAGCGCAATCACAGATATAAAATCTGGAAAAAAAAGATAGCGAATATCGTGTAGCGTGGCGACCACAGTTCAAGCTAACAGGAACCTGTAGCTGTATGGGGATAAACGACGCTAACGACGGCTGGGGACGGATAAGGACAGATAGGGACGGATAACGACCGCTGCACCGTGGAATCTAAGCCGAGTTAGTGGCTCGCCCCTAGGCTTCGGAATCTGCGGTGCGCCGCTGCACCTACGGGCTAGATGCTACACCTCTCTGCCTAGAGAGACCGGGCCTGACAAATGACTTCAAAAGTGGTAGGGAAAGGAACCTCCTAGCTTACTCGGACCTTCCCTTGAGAGCTTCCGATGCCCTCCCTCTTCTCGGTTGGGATCGGTTCTCTTTGGTCAGATTCACCTAGGGCTCTGCCTGTCTCCCCTCAACCCATCGCTCTTGATTTCTTCCGCTGCTATCCAAGTCCAACCACTGCCCTGTCTAACCCAAGGTGGTCCCCCTCTCCCCATACACACTGCCAGGTGGGCTGGGTTATGTGGGCAGGCGAAAAAGTGCTCAGCCTCCCAGCCCGCTGTGGATTGGGTGAGGCACGTGGCGAGTATGAGTACCTTTCTGGGCGTTGTTTTGGGCCTAGTTTCGAAGAGACTAATAAAGTATAGTGAAGTTGAAGGATCAAGACCACGATGAGGCACATTATCTAATAGCTTCAAATTACTGCCATGCAAATAGAGAAAAAAAAGGCCGAAAATTGTATGAGTGCTCATGACCTTTTTTATTAACAGCAAGTGTTACTGGATTGTTATCGTGTTACTAGTATAGTCTAACTATTAATCAGGAATGCTGAAATGGTAACTCTTTCGAGTGTCACAAGTGTCAGTATGATTATCAACATTAACGCATTACACAAATCTTTTTTTTGTATTATATATTCACCACATATTTACAATTACATAATGATCGTACTCGCAGGACTCACCACTGAGTGGCGACCTGCAAGGCACTTTTGCGCCAACGGGGCGAAATTTCTGAGGCGACACTCAGCTCGACGCTGCAGACCGAGCAGCAGGACATGGATTTCTACAAAGGGAAAGCCCCGCAGACAGGAAGGGTCACCTTCTACTCGGGCCAGAAGGAGCCTCGCCGCAACACGCGAAGTCGCCGCTACTTTCCAAACACCGCAAAATCTTCGGACACTCTAAAGGGCACTACAACAGCCAAACAGGAAGCAGCGCAAGACCATCATTCACGCATACCACAAATAGTAGGCAATGGGTTGACTCTCATCAGAGAAGACCCATCAAACCCCTCCGACAGGACTCGCGTCAGACTAGTCGCTCATTCCACATGGATCAGCGACCAGTCCCGCGTCCTCCTGCTCCTATGGAGCCTCGTCCGACTCAGCCAGACACACATGGTCAAGCAATCCACCACCAAGCCTTCATGGCGATGAGGACACTTGCACACAGATAGCAACGCGCGCCAACGCGCGCTTCTGCCTTGTACAAACCAGATCGAATTTACCCTGGACGTGCTTCCCCCTGAATTCAACAACCCATACACCGAAGACGTGGACTACACTTACGAAGAGGAAGAGCAAGAATGGCACCTGCCCATTTCCCTACTTGAGCCAACACCGTACATCCCTGACACTACCTTTAGGTTGGACCAACAGAGTTTGGCTCCTTCCCCAGGGACCATCCTCTGCACGACAAAACCGACCCTACCTTCTCACCCCGCAGATCGCAATGATCGCACGCAACAACAGAAGCAACTACAACGCATGGTACCTGGACAAATGTTGCGACCAGCACATGGTTGGGTCAGAGCGGTGCATCTCTCCAACGCCATCCCGACACCCGAAACTGCTTACGTGAATGTCACTAACAATGAGCACTTGGAGGCTAAGTATCAAAGGGATCGTGGTCCTTCAAGCTCACAACTCCAGAACACACATCACACTAAACGACATACTCATTGTTCAGAATCTTCGATACAACCTGCTAACGACATCCCAACTTCTATCTTGTGGTGTCGAGATCAGCACTGACCCTCAAACGAGAAACCTCCTACTTCATTACCGGAAACCAAGTCCACCTAACCAGCCCTTGAAAAATCTTCGGTACATCGGAAGGGCACAAGCAGTCGACGGAGTCTACATTCTAGACTTCGACATACCTGACTGCAACGGAGACAACTACAAACTGATCTACCTCATCCCTCTAGACTTCGCATAGAAGGACAAGAATGACTGGACACATCCTGACGGACGACCATTGGGTACTCACCATATGCATCCAGCTGAAACGGACCTGCATAATCCTGGACCAGACAACATCAACCATACTTGTCGTACACCAACAGCCTCCACCAGCAACATCGCTGGCACCAGACTTGAGACACTCCATGAAGGAGAGACAGAATCACTTCGCACTAAAAATAATTGGCATGATTATTTCAGAAATTGTTGCAGCCATCACCATAGTTCCTCCTCTGGGAACAGTGACCCCCCCCCCCCCCCCACATAGTGAGGCACCGCTTAGACATCGTCCTAACTTATATGGGACCAGGAACCTTTGATGACACTGGACGAGCAACCCTGTGGAAACTAGCCACATACATGGCTTTCCATCCCAACTGGAGAGAGCTCACACCACAGGAAAAGGGGGACCAGACTACAAAACTCGCACTTGACATGAACACCTGGGCACGCTCCCTGACAAAAATTGCCACAAGGACCGACCCTACGACACCAAAAGCGGAAGAAGCAGCAACAACATCAATGATTGCAGTTTCAGCAACCCGAGAAGCAGCTCTAGCTTGAGCAGCAGCAGAGGCAGTAGCAGCAGAGGCAGCAGCAGCAGTAGCTGAGGCCGTAGTAGAGGAGGCACCGGCGGTAGAGACAGTAGGCACAACAGCAGAACAGTCAGAACAAGCATGCCAGATCATCGAGCCCAGAGTCGAGATCAGCGCACCCACCTAACATCAAGTCCCTCCCTGGGCTACCTCTACCGTTGAAGAATGGGAGAGGACCGAATTCCCAGACCAACATGGCAAATGAGCAGAATGGGGGGCAAAAGAGCACAACCGACAACCGGCTCCGCAAAACCCCTGGGTTTGAAACCCGTCTACTAGGAGATACCGACTCAATCATGACATCTGGTTTGGAGGGGAAGATGATGATGAGGACGAAGAGGAAAAAGGAAGAAGCGCTTACGACGCATATGTTCCTGTTGGTCATCCTTCCCAAGCACCAGGAACATGGGCCGAATACGACAAATCCCCCTTTGCCGAAGATCCAATTAACTGGCACTACTACAACCACATCTCACCTCCGCCCCAACCTCACAGCCCTCATCCTCTGACAGCAACCCCAATTGGGCCTGACGACGAAGACAGCCTCAACGAGGCCAGAACCATCAAAGGTCCTCCACAAACTCATCTTCCTCGTCCCACCACTGCCCCCGAAGAAGAAGCTGAGAGTGAAGCTAGACCAAGTCACTCCCTACAAGCCAGAGAATTTCCCATGGATGTCATTGATTGAGGATCCCTCTCTCTTTCCGTCACAACCTCTGCACACACAAACGATGAACCTGTACCTCCTCCCAACATCTCTTGCGAGCGTTATCAGCGCTCCCGAGGACATCGCGCCTCCAGAGACATCTGGCACCAACGACTCGGCCACCACTCATGAGTAACTCTCAGCCACTCACTCAGAAAAAACGTCTTCGCCACTGGAGCTCTCATAGACTCCAACTGACAGGAGCTTCAAGTCAGCCAAGCCCCTCGCTCCTGCATAGTCTGCCTCAAAGACGCTCTCACACACAGTCCCTTCCCAGGTCTCTCGCGCTGCCCGACTTGTTACGCACAGATGGACAAGGTCTACAGCGACTACCTTGTCCTCACATAGACAATACTACAGGACGAGCAGTACACACTGACCTTCATCGACGCCAGCGCCTGCTATGTCTGGGAAGTCAACGTAGAACAGAGGAGGATTTCTCAACATCTTCTGTCCCTGGCTCACTCTCACCGAGCGCGCGTCTGGAAAAAAACTAGATATTGGCAAACGGATGGAGCTCGGGAATTCCAGAGTGAAGAGCTTCAGACTCATCTCCAAGAACTCGGGATCGAGCACAATCTCTCCCTACCTACGCTCACCTACAGCAAGGCATCACTGAACAGAGCAATTGCACACTACAGACCAAAATAAGGGCAATGATGCACCAGTCCCGACCACTGCCTTCACAACCTCCGGTCCACCACTGCCAACGAAGGGAACCAGTCCCCCCATCTGGCCTAGACAGGAAGGCCGGATGACACTACCATTCTGCAAGTTTGGGGTTGCATGGTCCAGTACCGACCTCATCAGGTCACCACCGGAAAGTTCGAAAGGCGAGCTCGCTGGGGCGTTCACCTTGGAATCTCACATGAATACCAGGCATGGACGATCCTGGACCTGGAGAACTCCAACATTATCCCCTCCAGTGACATGCTCTTCTATGAAGGCCTCACACTAAAGCGGTTCCAGGAAGATCGATCTACCAATCGATTAGTCGCGTATGCATGAGGAGATCGCAACTTTGCCTGTCCTGAAGACCAAGCTGCCGCTGCTCGAATGGACCTGGACCCACCAGACGAACCCCCTGGCGAAAACCCAAACTTTGACGATGACGACGATGTAGATAACGCTCCTCTCGACCCCTCTCATGACACACTATGTCAATATGGAACCTTCGAGACTCTTGTGTCTCCCAAACTCGACGCCGATTCAGACGATAACGTGCAAGAAGTCACCGAAGGCGTGAATCGTTTCACCGGCCTCTCCGGACTCCACATCGTCGGTCTCCATGCGGTAGCTCACCATGGCCCCCCCGTGATCGAGCCAAAAACACCTCGTCAGGCTCTCATCGGACCCCAACGCGCCGAATGGCGTAAGGCCATGGATGCTAAACTCGCCGCACTTCACTCTCGAGATACCTGGGTCTTGGTGGACCATGAAGCAGTAAGGGGGAGGAAGTTCCTTAATGGCAAATGGGTCTACAGTATCAAGACGGACGCTGAAGGAAATATCAAGTGCTACAAAGCATGATGGGTTGTACGAGGCTACGATCAACGCCAAGGCATCGACTTCGACCTAACCTTCGCCCCCGTCAGCCGCCACACCTCAGTACGCATTCTCCTCGCCATCACCGCATGCCGACACCTAGAGCTTCGACAGATCGATGTCAAGAATGCGTTCCTATACGCAATAGTTGACGTACTAATCTTGTCGAGCAACCACACACCTACGGCTACGGGGACCCACG